TAATATTTATAAATTTATAAAATCAAAATTTGTACCAAAGTACTCGAAAAAATGTTATTTATATCAGAAATATTATATTATAACATATTATATATATAATGTTGGAAAACCTAATGATTTACCAATATTAACAATAAAATTATTAAAACAAAACTATATAATTAATTAAAAACTATTATTAATACAATACGTTGGAACCCTTGCTCTACCATTAACCATAGTACCTAATGCACGCCATGCACTAATATAAATATGATCATCATTATTCACTAGTTAAGTCAGATCACTTACAATTATTCCTTCGACAAGTCTATACTAAATCTCTGTTAAAAATTATCTTCCTTTAAACCTATATCCAATATTAAATAACGAATATTATTAGTTACAATACAATTGTTTTGTAAATTGAAAATTACTTAAATAAATCTCGTTGGAATACAACAATAATTACATTCTTTCGCAGAGATGCTAAATGTACACTGAGAAAAAAATTTACTTCATACAAAAAATATTTCATTCGATCATTAACATCGAAATTTCAAATAGTTGCAATAAAATATTTCTTCGAAATTATGAATATTTCATTGAAATCATTTTATTTACTTAAATGAATGAAATGTCATTTGTTTTCAAACTTGTCGCAACATTGAAACAAAAGACAAAATGTGTTTTTGATAACACTACTATTAGTCTGAATAAAATATTATCTTGAGAATATTCCAAGTTTCTTTTATTGATTGGATAAAAAATTCTTTCATTTAACGAAATTTTTTTCTCAGTGTAGCAATATCAGTTTTAATATTTTTTTAAATTTGAATTTTTAAAAGAGAACTTGATCAGTAAATTAAATTTTAAATTCAGCAAGCGATCGACAATAATCGGTGTCCTGGTTGTAATTTTTCGTCAGCTTTAAGTAAATTTTAATGTGCCAATTCTCTAAATATTATTATTGAGTTTTTTTTATTATTAAAATAAAATTTTTTTGAGAAACATTGATATTATGTTTATAAACAAATGGAATTATTTATGAAAATAAAGCCATAATTAGTTGAAAAATGACTTTATATTCAACCTTATGTACTTATGCTTTAAATGAAACACTAATCAAGCTCTTCAACACCTCGACAAATGACTTATAACTATTTATGCAGAAAAAGTGAAAAAATCCCCAAAGTCAGTTTTCTAACAATTTTTTTTCTGTTTTATTTGTTGTTTTTGAGATGAAAAATTGACATTACAAGTGGTTGAAAATGAGCATTCTCAAAATTCTCTAATGTTCCAACTAAAAATTAAAGACCCGAAAAATTACTAAATAAAACTATTTTTTATTGAGACAAAAAATAATCCTTGCAAAACTTAAACAATTATCACTCCTAAACACTTATCACTCTCTGAATAAAAATTATTATTTCTTCATAACATCTTATTGATTTATCTGTTATTTAGATAGAACGGTGATATTTAATTTTTTAATTTCTCATAATTGTGACGTAATGACAGTCTTTTAGAAAAAAAAAAATTTTTTTCATGAAAATAAGATAAGAAATCCATATTGCTTCATATTTATACACATATATTTATTCTTTTTTTCTTCATATATATGTATGCTTCTGTACGACATTTATCCCTTTTTCATATGTGCCCCAACTAGAGGTCTGCGCCACATATGCTGACGACTTTCAAGATGGCAGAAGACGACAAAAGTTTACTCTCAATGTGTTAAACAGATGCTCAATTGACTTTTTTTATTAGTAAATTCGATTTTTCCATTCTATAACACTCGAACAATTTGAAATGTACACATCAATCATCAACGATTATTCCATTAAACAAGTGTAACAAAAATAATAACACCATTATCAACAAAATGAAAGAAAGAAAAAAAAAAGAGTAACAAACAACAAAGTAATACATGACATACTCATTTGAAATCTATTTAAAGCTCAATAAGACAGGAAACAGCGATAAAATACTGCTTTTCATAAATGATAACTATTATCGGATGTTAACAAATACATAGCCATAGTTTTAACTTGAATTATAAGTAGCCATTAATTTTTGCTTTGTTTATTTCATGTAAATTAATCACACATGTATATTCAATAACATTAAATGTATATAACTGCATTTTTTGTAAGTTGAATTAATTTTCAAGCTTTTGTTTGAGTTAGAATTTAGATAACAGAGTCTTACATACATCTATTTAGATTGAGACTGATATAGAAGCAAAAAGGGGACTTGCCATTCAGAAAATAATGGGAGTTCAAACCTTGAGGTCGAGTAGTTTAACTGCCTGATCAGGAAACGGAATTACAAATATATACGTTTGTATATATGTATATATATTTATATAACCATCGTATCTACGATATAATAAAATACATCAAGTCTTCTAGGTCTTGGTTAAAGCTGAAGGCCAATTGTCGTTGCTACTGTACCCTCGAAATTTCGTTATTGAAAAGGCTAGACATTAAAAAATTAACAAAGAATGAGGAAATAGTAATACATACTTGAAGATAATTAATTATTTAACTTCAAAGTCAAGTATATTCATAGTAGGTATTGAGTTGATTGTAAAAAATAATTGTTAAGTTATAAATGAAAATAAATAATTTAAGACTGGAGAATATAATCAATGGTGAACTATAACAAAAACAGTTTTGTTCTGTTCAAGTTATCTTTTTTAGTACACGTGACCGAGTGTAGGCTCGCCTGTTGATATATACACACAGTGTCAGATAATATATGTTGAATGATAATAATAATAGTAATGGTAGCATTTTATTCATGTGATACTATACGGGTATATGAGGGTATCAGTTGTTCTCATGCAAGGGCGCAATCTCCCAACTTTTATAAGGATGATTTATTTAGTTTATTATACAAAATTGACACTTTTTTCTATTTAAATACCATTTCTATTCACTATTAAATACATTTTTTATTTGTAGAATTTATTGTACATCTTTTTTTTTTAGAATAAAAGAATAACTTTTCAAATATTTGTTTAATTGGAAAGAAGATTATTCATAATGTACAAGATTAAAGGTTATTTTTTATTGTTGTTTCCTTATACTAAGAAAAGAATTTTCTTTGTATGAAAAGATGGTCATTTAATCAATAAAAAGAATTTAAAATATTCGCAATTGAATGTTTTATTGAATTTAACCAAATTTTGCTAGAAAAATTCCAGTTTTTAGTAATAATACACTTAAAGTGTGTAATAATAACACACTTGAGTGTTTATAATGTTGAATACCATAAACAAACTGTAGCATTTTGGTCTATATTCAAAACACTGGAAAAGTAAAATTTGAGGTTATACGGGAAATTATTTATTCCAAGTTATTTTAAACTATTATTAATCAGAAATTATTATATAGGTAATTATAAAAATAATTTCCCTGTATAACCTCCAATTCTACTCTTTTAGTGTTTTTACTATACAATAATACACTACAAATCCCAAGATTTAATAAATGTGTTAAAATAACATGTATAAAGTGTGTTCAATGTAAAATGTCCATAAACAAACTATACATAATTTGTCGACATTTGTTACACGTTTCGTAGTGTGTAAAAAATCTATAGTTTGTTTACGGCATTTAACATTGAAGAGGCTTAGCGTGTTAAAAGTATTTACACACTTAGATCTGCGCTAAAAGTGACTACAATTTTAATAAAAAGGGTGACGTCATATTTAACACACTTATCCGCATTAAAATAATGCATTTTGGAAAACTGGGATTTACAGTGCACTTAGATTTAAAGTGCAATTATTTTAAATTTGAAAGTATTTTTTTTTCAATGCACTCAAAGTGTTTAAAAATAACGTCACCTATTTCATTAACATTGTGGTCACTTCTTAAACACTTTAAGTGCATTGCAATAAAACACTACAACACCATCGATCTTAATTATAAATAATTTATTCAATGAAACACTAAAATAACCGAATAAAAAACTATTTCATCAATTAAAACTATTTTAAATTTTGATTTCATTAGTGAAAAAATGTTACTTTTTCACAATAAATTTTTTTCTCATTGCACTATTTACAAGATGGTGTTATATACATATATGTTTAGTAATAACTCCATCTCTAATGTGTATGTGCCGCGTGAATAATAGAAGTCTACAGACTTCATTCATGCTCACTTTACTTGGCTTTAAGTCACCACATGCATTTACACATATGTAATACCTACATACCCAAGCTCTTATTGAGATTCGCTCCAAGAAAGAAAAATGACTAAACATTGTCCAGTATCTGTACACCCATACATTTTTTCTTAACATGTATTAAATTCACTTGCAATGAATTGTTCAGCAATTTTTTATCCTTATATCATTCTCATCAAAAGAGAGACTAATCTTCTTAATGAATATTCCACACAACTACTAAACAATTTGTTTGAATTCAAATACATATCATTTTTCACGTTACTTATAAATTAAAGATTCTAAAGATTATGCCAATTAAAATAAATTAATTATCATTTCAATACCATACATAAGAAAGAATCATAATATTATATTTAAAACAGATCGTAATATAAATTGATATTAAATTCAATTGTCTTAGCTGTACTGTCAATCATCAGCATTCAGCTGCGTCCAAAGTGTCCCCAGCTAAAATATTAACGAAAAAAATTGAATAAATAAAATGTGGTGTGTTATATACGAAGAGTTTGCAAAAGCTTTTCGCAAGATCTAACAACAAGGCGAGATCTTAGTGGCAGTGTTGCCAAGTTTATGAACGAGACATTGTGAGGAGTCGAGCAGGGGGCCGATCAAGAGGGTCGAGGAGGAAGAGAACGTTTTGGAGAAGTAGAGAGGGTAAATTCAAAGAGGAATAAGATTGCTTCAAGACTACACTGCTTGAAGAAAGAACTAACCAACTGGTTACGCAGACTGCGAACGACGGCACTGTATTTTAGTGGGGGCAACCCAGGTCTTGGTTTGAAGTCCACCATTGGTTGAAACTTTAGCGCCGCCTTACGCATATTCTTGGAGCTGAACCCTTGCAAAGCGTCGGTGGCGTGCACAATCCACACAATCAATCAGTCAGCTTTCGGGCGCTTTGTAAGTTGCTTCTTTTAGTTTTGCGTTATAGAATCGTAGAACACGTAAAAGCAAACTAAATCAAACCTTGAAAAGTGGAAGAAGAGAAACTTAACAGTTGCATATATTTAACAATATTCCATATTTTATCAAGTTTATTATTTACTGTTACTTGAAAAGTCCCTAGTATAATAATTATTACATCTAAAGTGCTCAACATTTATGCTGTTTCGACTTTATTGTTTCAAATAAAATTGAAGCAATCACTGCTGCTCATATACACACAATTATAAATGCGTTATTTCGTAATAAACATCATACAAAGTAATGAACACAAATGCTAACCTACTGTTATAACGTCGACAATTTTTTTGGAGAGTGGCAGTTTTTTTGTGTTGACAAAGAGTTATTATTGTTGTAATAAAATCATTAAGTAACGATATAATTTTATTGAAAATCATCGTAGTATTTTTTTATTGAAATAGTGAATTAATAGTATCGACCAAGCAGTAGTCGTAATAATAATAATAATAATAACAAAGGAGAAAAGTGAAAATACAGACACAAACGAACAAAAAAAAAAGAGAGATATATAACACAATACACAAAGAAGTGAAAATTGTGAGAGGAGAAACGAGCCAAAGAAGAAGAAGCTGGCTGGATCTGTAGACTCTAAGTATTATATACTGAATCAGTTGACGCGGTTTCACAAAGGAAAGTTGTTGGAGTGTAATTGTGCGTAAATAAAAAAAAAAAGAATTTTCATTCAAGTAAATTATTAATAATAATCGATTATCAACATGTCTACTGCTGTTATGAGCACACCAATGTTCGACTGTAATGAACATCTTTTTAAGGTAAGAATTATTTAGAAATTCTTTTATAGAAATCCGTCACTCTAGACTTATTGATGATTTCTATTAAATTAAATGTAGTTTTTAAAAGATTATAATAATAATGATTTAAAAAAAAAAAAGTAACTAAATTATTCATCAATAAAAAATGATGAGAGTGAAAATAAAGATTGGACTCTCTTTCACCTTGGGAAATTTAACCTATAGCGTTCAACCAACACTCTCTTTTCATAGTCTCAATAGTTTCTCCCGACCGTCGGCTTAAAGTGAAATTCTTCTCTTTTATTCGTACCCAAATAATTTTAATTATTCTCTACCACCATTTGCATCACTCTTTATTAATAATTAGTACTCACATCCTAACCTATACTATATTCACTTCAATTTACTTTGCTCATTTTTTTTTTTTGAGACAAAAATAAATTAAATTCATTTCAATGATATTCAGTCATGACCTATGTCACAGAGCAACGAGCATTGTTATAAATTACTACTTTCAATTAATTCAAACTCACTAATTGCAAGTGAATTTATTTGTTCATTTAATAACAATAATAAGTAATGTAAAAAAAAAATCTATGAGATATCTTTCAAGTGTGTGTTTATAAACAACACATACTCCAATATGAAAATTTGTAATTTATTAATGAAAAACCTGAAATGAATATGACGATTTCATAACCTGTTTCTCTTTTTTCTTTGGTGTCATTAAAAAGTATTTAGATCAAAAAGTACTTGTCAATAAGTTGGAAAAAAAAAGGTTAAACATGACTTACCCACGGATACGTTGGAAACCTGTTGCGTTGATTTTCGTTCAAGGGTGAAGTATATACAGGGGAGGAATATAATTTAACACCCCTCATAACCGGATTCATTGTCATGGAATTCCTCTTCCCTCCATATAATCTTGCACGTGTACTGCACGCTCTGTGTACTCAAAAAATTTGTGGACTATTCACGGTTGAAACATCATCATCATCTACACACATATAAAAACATATGAAGGTTAAAGATGTAAAAAATTTTCCCATATTCCTGTAAAGAAACCTGACACATAAGGGCCAGGCCAACTCCTCCACCTTGTGTGTGGTGGTTCGATCTTTCTATTTTGCTCTCGACATTATTTACCATCTGGGTGTATATTCAGTATGTATTTTTCAACTGAAACGAGTCTCACAAAGAAAAAAAAAAGAAGGAGGGACGTGGGACGAACGTTAGGCTACCGAGAACACGGTATACACAACAATCCACAACTTGGTAGGATTTTCAAAGCAACTTTTCTGTAAACCGTGCGGTAATATAATCGGAAACAATTTAAAAACTGTTAGTTAGTCATGCAATTACTTAAAAATAACAAGACTTGGCTTGTTAAATATTTATCGTTGCTATCAACAGGTTTAAGTTGTTGAGTTTGTAGTAGAGTTGAATAACAAAAGCATACAGTGAATACGATGAGTTAAAATGTAAAATAAACTCATGCGAAAGGGCTGGTCACGGTCTTTTGCTCCGGAAAGGGAAACCTAATAGCTATTACGGTCTGTTGACTTTTGTTCGACCGATATTATTCTCCCCGAGTTATACTTTATATGTCATTAACTCAATTGGCTAGGATTCACATCAGCAATCCAATTAAATGAAAATATAAGCAAAAAAAAATTTAATCCACTATTTATATCGTTATTAATCGTACTCTGATAACCTCCATTTTTTTAATAAACTATTCTTTTCAAAATAATGTCATTTTAGTTATAATTTTTTTATTTTATTTAACAATAAACTTCATTAACGTTTAACCATAACTAATTCATCAAATATTTTAGTTCTTCACAGTAATCAATAATAATTACTCCAAATAAAAACATTGATACTAAATGTGTTTCCACTTATTGATTACAATCAGATATAAATATATGTATTAAGGATATGACTGGGAAAAAAAAAACGTCAACCACTAAATTCTTCGAAACATCATCATCATCATCATCTAAATTTAAAGTTTACATTTTATTATTTTATCTTTCCTCTTTTCCTCTCGGGTTTCCGTTATTCCACGTTGCTGATTAGCTAAAATATTAGCAACTTTCAATATGGCGATAAAAAAAAAAAACGCGCGAAACCGCCATGATAATTATATCCAAGCTATATATTTATATTTAATCATCAATTACGTTTAAATATTTTAATAATCATCAGATGAGTCATCAATAGATATAAATAAATAGCAATAATCATGTGAAATAAATAATAACGGTAATAGGAGATAGGTGCAGGTTGTATACTACCTTTTAGAAGGTCAATTCGAGTGAATGGCTAATAGGATGAGTATACATATATACTCTTCTATACATATACGGTTAACTACAGAATTACGGGTAAATTACGCAACATAATCCACCTCTCAATCGTCCCAACTGTATGGTATTAGTATGTATATTATATATACAATGTATAGAAAGAATTAAAACTATTACTGTTTGATTTCATGCCCGTCGTAACGTTTTCTCCATTTCATGTATATGTTGGATGTATGTCCACTTTATTTAGTCAGTTGAAAGTTGTTTAACAGTTACAAACTACTTTTGACCTTCAGCTTGAAGAAAGAGAAAGTTAATACTTTTCTGACCATTCACACAATCACTTTAATTATTTATTCACTTTTATACAAATTACACAATTTTCTCAATCATTATTCCGAATTGGAAATTCTTTAAAGGTTGAAGAATTTTAGTGTTTAAATACTTTTATGTCATTACATCAATAGTGCACTTATTCTAGAGTGTTTGAAATTTTTATGAAAACATTTCAGATATCAGAATAAGTCTATCTTTGAGATTATAATAGTAAACTTGAAGCTTTAGAATTTTTTTTAAAAAATTGTTTATAAATATGTTTAATTGAGATAGGTTAAGTATTTTATAATCATAATTTACTTAGCCCTGACATAGATAGTTTAGCCCTAGAATATAAATGAAGGTTAAAATGGTCAAATGGCCCTTACGTAAGGTCTGGATTTCCTTAATTATAACCGTAAAATTTGAAGACAAAGAAATGGTATCAGTATCCAAATTTAAGTGTTCCGTAGTAAAATAATGATATAAGCATTGAAAAATGTCGTAAAAATTGGCATGAGACGTAGAAAAAGGTCTTTGAATTCACAAAACCTAAAAACCATAAGAATTTATGAGTACCCAGCTCACTATTCACTAGGGAGAAGACTATACAGATTGAAAAGATAAAAAAAAAATCCTCTAAGACCCTTATTCACCTTTTTTGTCAATGTCTATACCTGTTGAATGATAGTCAAACCCCCTGGATCCGTATAGAATCTAGATGAGGGTGAACGCTTTTCTTCCCTTTATAATTTTTAAAACCTCCAAAAGCTTTTTTTTTCACTTTCAATGTCAAAATAAAGACAACTACAAGAGATAGGTACACATTAGGCTTAAGAAAAGAGCATTTAAATGTAGTAGATTGATGTATTAAATATTCTTAAATCTGATTACAGAATGCTGGAACACAATCCAAGTCGAAGGAACCAATGCCAACGACTCATACAACAGGAGGTCATGCACCTCTTCGACGCAGCTACACATCACTTGTAACACTGATCGAACAACACCGCAAGTTGGACCGTAGCGTGAGTGAACCAACGTCCCGCTATAAGACCGAACTTTGTCGTCCATTCGAAGAGTCTGGTTCTTGCAAATATGGTGACAAATGTCAATTTGCTCATGGCTACAGTGAGCTACGTAATTTGACACGTCATCCTAAGTATAAGACAGAACTCTGTCGCACTTTTCATACAATTGGCTTCTGTCCATACGGCCCACGCTGTCATTTCATTCATAATTTTGAGGAAGCTAGAATTCATAATCAAAAAGTTAGCGCACAATTAGGTAGTGCACAGCCTAATATTGTAGGACTAAGTCCACTATTAAATGTAAGCGCAGCGGCAGCAGCAGCAGCAGCTAACCTCAACGTCAATACCATTTCCTTATTGGAACAAATAGCTACTACACCACAGACTATACCCAATGCAGCAGTAAATAATACGCAATCGCCACTGTTGAGAACCAATTCTTTGAGCATAGGTACTCACCAGACTGCGTTCACTGGTAACAATCCACCATTGTTCAGAACCAGTTCACTCAATCTGCCAAGTACCCACCACCATCATCATCAACAGCAGCAAAATAATTTACACTCTCATCATCATCAAACTAACTCTGTGATTGGTGCTGCACGACCAAAGCCTCTTAACCTCAGTCCAACATTTTCACTTGGAAGCAATGCTGAGTCTGTATCACCTTCTTCAAGCCTCAGCCAGTCTCCCACTAATTCGATGGTTAGCTTCTTCAGTGATGACTGTGGTAATAATCCAGCTTCTACTGCCTTTAGTTTTGGTCAAGATTTTGGACTTCTTGCAACGAGGCACAGTCCAAGTCCACCAAGCATTGCCAACCAAATTTCTGATGATCTCATGCCGAGAACTCCATCTCCATTGTCTCCAAACACTGAGTCCAGGCTTCCAGTCTTCAATAGAATTAGCAGTATCATTGGTGATATCGATAATCTCAAGATGTAATTTACGACCATTTTCTCTTTCATTTATGTTTTTTTTTTTTTTAAATTCCTTTCTTTACTCTGTCTAATACTTCTCTTTTACTACTTTCATACTTTCTCGTCATTTCGATGATGATCTAATCTAATGATTATCATGACCAAGTAAATTAACATTGCAATTTTTACTTGGACTTATTTATCAGTTATGATATAAATCTTGTTGTCTTAAAATAGACAATATATATATAATACATATTATTTCACTTTTACTTTTCTACGTTTCTACAGCGCATTGACTATTTAAATATTTTCTGTAGCATATTTTTATTTAATTATTTTATTAATCGATTAATTAATTATTTACGATTGTTTTTTCACGATGAAAAAGAAAAGAAAAAAAAAAACTGTGCTACAAGACAAAATAGATGACACAGAAATGATTTAAAAATCATTGTTCTAGTTGGAGAATTTTTTTTTATTATGAATCTTTTGCTATATTCGGACATCTGTGCTTGCGCAGTTTTTATATTTCGATTATTGGAAAAAGTTTCAGAGGAATTCCTTAACTAGAACATTAAGCATGCAGTACGATTCTAGATAAATATATTAATCTTTAAATGATTAAGAAAATGAATGGTGATTGTCTTCCAATGTTTTGTTTAAGTGATAATGAATGTGATCAGAACACAACTCAAAATGCTTCATAATAATAACACATAATTGGCGTGTAAAAATTTTTTTTTTTCTTATAGATTGATCACTCGATACTAAATCAAACACGCATAAAGTTAAAAGAAAATTATTTATATATGTTTATAATAATAAAGAGCGAAAGGTAAATGATAAAGAGCAGGAAAACTCTATAAATGTTAATTCAAGAGTTGCTCATTTCGTTGTCCTCTCCGTAAAAAAAATAAAAAAAAAATTTTTAAAATATAAAAAACAAAAAAAAAAAAAGAAGAAAAAATGCTACAAACAGAAATGTGATATGTAATTATTTGCAATAGAAGTATTTTACTATTTACAAGCATTCTATTATCATGAGTTATTTATATAAAAAATTAATGAGATGAAAGAATGAAAAATGCGTTATAACAATGAAAAAAAAAAAAAGTACTATTTCAATAATAAGAGTGGATGATAATTGCTAAAATTTTTTTGTATATAATCCTCAATTGAAGCGAAAGATAAAAAAAGAAAAAACGGAGAGAATTTTTTGTTTAATTTATACTTTATAAAATATTATTAATTTCGTTTATTATTATATTATTATTATTATTATTATTATTTTGTGTATATGCATTCATAAATTTATACCATGGAATGAAAACTTAAGGAATTACCTCATAGGGGCTTTTCAGTGTCAAGTAATTTTTCGTATTTTATTATATATTATTATATTATATTATATTATTCTTATTATATTTAAATTACGTTATACAAGTTTATATATCGTAGGTGTTAATGTTTTTTGTTTTTAATTTTAGTTGAAAAAAGCCATATAATGTGATTGCTTTCAAATAAAATAGCCCCGACAATTAATTAATAAAAAAAATAATGGCCCAATAAATGGATAATTTTTTTGTTATAATGCTACATTATGTTCATCGAAATTGATTATAAATTAATTGAATTTAATTCATATCCGGTCGTTTGCTTTTATCTATTGATTATTTTTTATTTCTAAAATAAAACATAAGTTTATTATTTTTAGTAATGATTATAATCATTATAATGATTATTATATTATTATATAGAGAAAAAAGCGCTCACCAATAAAAACGCCCTTCTCTATCGGAGTTATATATGTTCATAATAATACTATATATGACAATAAAATGATCGCGCCGTAAATTATTATTATTATTATTATTATTATTATTATTAAATTAAATATCGAATTTAGAATACATCTATTTATCAATTATTTAATTTTGTACGATTTATAATATTTTATTAATACTCCACACATGTATATGCTATTTTCCAGTACTTGTTTCTCTTATGCACGTCTTTCATCTCTCTATTTTACACTTAAATTATGTAATTTATTAATATTATTATTATTATTATATTATATTGAAACAATGTGATGAGCTGCACAAATGAAAATAAACAAGTGCCTTTCAATAGTTGAAACGTTATTTTATTATTCTATTTTATAAATAATAATGTAAACGAGCAAAGTGCAAGAGAGAGATGAATGGCAATTTTTTATTCAACTTTTTCTTTCTGAATTAAGTTTCCATACAGTCAAAAAAAAAAAAAATAATCAGTTAAATTATTCAAATATAATTGATGTCTAGGATCTCTTGGTGTGGACAATGAAATGATAAGAAGGATCATTGGAGTAATGAAAAATATATTTAATAATACAAACATATGTAGCTATATATTTAAAGACAGCATTTATAATGATATCAATTCATTTCATTTTTCATTAAAATAATAGTTAAACTGGTTAAAATAATAAAAAAAAATAAAAAAAAGATTAATATATTTTATGAATATCTCTGAATCCTTCTTATTGTAATTTTCCACAATATAGACTTGATCACAATAATTATAATATTAAGAAAAATCATATATTTTAAGTTTATGTTTAACTTTTTTAATTTAATATATTTATTTTTTCAACCATATTTATAATATATTTATATAATATTTTATACTGCGTTTTTCTTCATTAATGATAAAATAAAAATAAATTAATAAAATTATACACAATGTTAAATTTGTAATGCGTTTATATATTGATATTAACGAATAAAATAAACAAAGGTCGATCTCTTGGCTCTCAAAGTGATTAATAAAAATAAAATACTGTGTTTAAAATTGAATATTTGCTCTTTTTTCATTATCCAAATATTTACAAGTAAATAAATTAAGTTAGAGATTGTTGTTATAACATAAACAAGTTATTTTCTGTTTCAAATACGCATTTATTTTTTTTTTTTTCTATTATTTATATTGTTAATACTATATAGAAAAAAAATCAAATTTAACTTTTTAATGTAATAAATATTTAAATCGTAAAAAAAATGAAAATTTATCCTTATAATTTCAATTTAACCATTATCCCAAAATGATAAGAAATTAATTTATTAAAATTCCTTCCAATAAAATAATTCATAAATTTTTCATTTTTATATGGGAGTCAATTGATAGGCCAACGAAAATTACTTGAATCATTAAAATTAATTAATTACAAATTACTTTATCTTCTTGTTTATACTTGAAAGTTTTTTTTTTTTTATATTGCATTCATTTATATATATATATATACATATTTTTTTCTATTATATTAATAAATAAATTGGAGTAAAAATGACTTCAAGACGATTTTCGTTGAACTTACAATGGGACCATAAAAAAATTTATAAGAAACAATTTAACGTTTTATATAGATGAGGCATAAAATAAATCTGACTGTTAAACAAAATCAATTATTTGTACGAGGAAAATTGACGCATTGTGAAAAATATTAATAAAAGAAAAAAATAAAGAATCCATTTAAATTAAATTACTATTATGTTTTTCTTTCATTGTATTTCCATCTATAACATCACAAGTGTATAAATTAAATCTATTATTTCTTTAATAAAATAAAAGTTTATTATAAAAATTATTTCTAACATTATAAATTGTTAATAATCATTAAAACAATCAATTAATAATATAAATATTACAATTTACCCTTCAACGAAGAATTTAAAATAAAAAAAAAAAAACAAAAAAGAGGATTGTTATTGAAAAATGAAAGTAATAATTGGACCAAGGCTTAAATAATCAACTTGAGTATGAAAATCTAACCGAAAATGTATGTTGAAAAATGTTTTTAATCACGCAAGTTCTTTTTACCATAATCATAAATATATATGAGTCAACACATAAGAGCAGAGAATTAATAAGAAGAAAAAGAAGCAAAGTTTGACTGAAGAAAAAGAATAAAAAAGAGGTATATAACAAGAGATAGAGGATGAGAGTTCGATCCTCTCTCAAGAGAAACAGGCTTTGATGATGACTTCTCCTTCTCTTTTTTCTTCGCTCCTCTCTGTCGACTCAACTTATTCGAAAAATAGATAAAAATGTGCAAATAAACGGTGCTCGAGGCGCTCAGGGACAACCGGTTGCCATCTTGTTTTCTTATATAAGTCCCTCCCGTGTAGTCTTCTCTCAAAGATGCCCCATTCGCGATCCCTTCCCGATATATTATTCCTCTCTCCGAAGAGGCCTTCTATTCTCAGCGTGCCTTATATTATTGCTACTATTAATATCTCTCTTTTTTTTTAATTATTTTATTTATTATCTAATAAATATATACTTAATCAATGATATTGGAACTTTATTGAAAACTCATCCAGGACCTCATCATCCAAAACACATCCTTGATTACAATGTTAAAATAGATAGAATTAATACTAATTTATGCTTTAATTATTTCCTGTGTTTTTTTTTTTGTTATTCGTTTAATAACTTTAATCATTTTTCGATTTTTTTTCATACTTCAAAAGCGAGTATTTAAATTAACTTCAATGAACTCTACTAGCTAACTTAGTAATGAATATTTTATAGAAATCATGCTTTTTTTTTTTTTTCTTACTACTTGTGGTTGAATGGTAATTCAAATTTATAGCTCCTGTGAGTAAGCTACAATCAGGATGATAATTTTTTAACATCCTACTAATTTGGAAGTTAAAAAGAAAATAATTCAATAAAATTAATCTCACTAAATTGGAGTAAAAATATTTTAAAATCTCAAATAGATGACTTTTATAACTGATAAATTTAACAAATGTTCATACTTAAAACTTTGTAATAAATTTCTTAAAACTTTAAACCTAAGATATACTGTTAGTAATAAGTGCAACTGTGATAACACATTATATACTATGTATATATTGTATAGATATTGTAATCGGTGAACAATCATGTATCATACTTGACTACATTTCCCCTCAAAGTCTAAAAGTATGATAAAGACATGATAAAATATATATGATTGAGAATTTCCAATGATTAGATTTTTTTTATCCAACTCTTACACTGACATTGTATATATTATTGAAAGCCAGTATCGACTTTGATAAATATTAACGTCAATATAAGTAGAGTTTAATAAAAAAAAAAAAAAAGAAAAAATGTTAAACATAATTTTGCTAATTAATAGTCAAAATAATAAAATATTCATGTATGAATGAGTTTGGTTATTTTCTCTTAAAAACACATGTCGGAAGGCCTTGAGTAAATATTCAAACTCGTGTCCTCGAGTTATTTTAAACGTATTATTATCACGCGATAATCTTAGTAGTTATTCTCTTATTTTTTTTTAATTTCTTTCTCTCTCTCTCTCTTTATTTTTTTCTTTCTCATTCTTCCATGTCAATTTTTTTTATTTATTTTATTTGTACAATAAAGACAATATATGTATATATTTATATCGTTTATAAGAATTAAATCATTGAGCAATGGGTCATTCAACTAATTCACTCGACATACGTGCCAAGTACATATATACATCACTGATCATTCATTGAGGTAAATGATCGATGCACAGCAGGCGTAAAGTGTGAGTTATTACAAACAGCAAAGAAGAAAATTCACTAAATTAATTTCACCGTGTTTATGTCTTAATATTTTTTTTATAGTTTATTTCTATTATCCAAATGAACTTGATAACCTTGTGAAACACATAAAATATGGGTTTAAATATAAATTGATTTTTATAGAGATTATTCATATGAATGGAATGAAAAATAATGACTTCTTTTTACACATTATAAACTAATAGTTTCGACAAATAAAAATAATTTAGAGAAAGAACCTTTTTTTTCGTTTTTGCCTTTAACTTTGGAGTAATAATTTTTTTAAAATTCATTTTTTGGAGCAACTATCAAAATAAGTTTTACACAATACTATTCTATATTAAAAAACAAAAATTGGTTTTTCAAACAAAGACAAACATGGAAACAATAGAATAAATGATTAAACTTCTAGTTGATAAAGTAAGTTATATAGTTGTTGAGTAATAAAATATAATTAGTTAATTAAAAATATGAATTAAATTTACATAACGTATCCTCAATATGTAGTTTATAAACAAGTACTTAAAAAGCCATGAATTACTCAAGTAATAAAAATAAATAATTTAAAAAAATATTTAATCTTATTGAACGATTATTCTAAATGGTTGCTGTAAGCAGACTCAGACCATCAACCTAATCATTACAGTGTACATAATAAATAATTAAAAAAACACACATCGATAGAATTCATGATTATTATTAAGGTGAAATATGATGAAATAACTTGCGAGTTAAGATTACTGTAATCTATAGTTTTTTCCCCTTTCGAAATGGAAAGTCATGCCGGCCATTTCTCCCGTTACAATTGAAAGTGGGCACTTACTACTCGACGATGTAACTTTCGATGGATCAAACATCCGTTTATATACTCATACTCTAGCGAAAGTATTCAATATAAAACTTGTCTCTGTTTCGTTGAAATTAAATATAAATCTACATCAAACCTTCTCTCTTTTCGGCTTCTACCTATCAAGTATACCATCATACCTATACCTACACCCATATCTTCTTCTAGACCCATATTGATTGATTGTATTAAATATCACTATCTAGATCTATTTATCAACTGAGTCTTCTGCAGTATCATCACAATTATTACATTCCAAAACCATTCGTGCTTTTTTTATTCCTTTACATTGATGACTCCATTTAGTTTTAAGTAAATAAAAAACAAAATAATTCAAACTCATCCTCGAATTACTGTAATTAGAAAAAGAAATTACTGTATTTATTCCTGGTGTTGAATTGTATTGATAACATATTTTCATCAACTTCTATATTTTTGTGATTATGATAAATAAGCATACATTTAAATATCAAATAAATCTTTTATATAATATGGAACTTTAAATTGAATGGAACCATCTTATGAATTTTAAACTTTTAAATTTTAAGGTATTCATTAGACTATTTGATGAAAACTCATATTCATGATGGACCATCAATTGAATTTAATGAATACATAATACAAAAAATAGATAAATACTTAATGTTAATCAACGTCATTCTTCATACTATTTCAAAGCCTTAAAGAGTATTGGATATACCGGTTTATTTTCTTTTGAAAAAGAAAGTAACTCTCAATGAATATAGGATTAGGTAGACCTAATAGAAATACGATTAAAAAAAAAACTTTCTATTTCTTCCGTAGATCTTTATGTACACAATACTCTATGCATATACATAGATATATAAATGTATTTACAGATAATCTACACTTTTACACACGGATGTAAACTTTCATTTAGAGTTTTGTCATTTATTCCGGATGTTGGATATATTTTGAAACGTTTTAATTGATGCAATGTATTTAACACACATAATATTGTGAATGATGAAAATTAAAGAAAAAGTTCCTTTATCTATTCATATTTGATAACATGATACACTTAATCGTGTGATTTATTTAAAGTATATTTAATTAATTCATTGTACAAGTTGATTGTTTATTGTTGTACGTAATGTACATGAAAAAAACCAATTATTCCAGGAATAAACATTTTTTTTTTTAACTAATTACAATTTATAAAGCTACTTTCAAACCCAAGACTCGGTGCCAGCACCGTCTACTCGATGTGAAAGTATAATTAATTACAAGACACAATCTTACGTTGGCTTTTAAGATTCAACAACAATAACAGCACCACCGATGATGCCATGTTACAAAACTTTACATGTACACGCAATATAATCACCCTTTTTATGGTTAAACAAATAAAATTGTTTAATAAACGTTGTTTGCTTTTTAATTTCACTATTTGAAATTGTTATTTGCTATAAATTGTTATGGATCTTGATGTGAAAGAGAAATTTAAAAATCAAGATAAAATACTTTTACTACCCCTAAGAAACCTAGTTAAAAATGATATATTTATAACCATTGAACTGTCAAAAATATATATTCTGGAATGACCACAATAGAATTCGGAGAAGAAACAAAAAGTGAAAGTTGATGTTTGATTGTATTACAACGTAAAAAACACGTTGCTAGAGAACGAAATGATTTCACGTAATTTCAATTTTACAATGACATTAACGTTTGTAAACTTACATGGTTATAATTACACGGCTTATGATGTATCATTATTTATTATGAAAAACAATTTAAACATTAAATAAAACGTAAAAAAAAACCGGGAAAATCCTATTCTTATTATTATATACTTAAAAAAGGAAGTGCCATATTTAAAGATGGCTGCTTACATGTAAGATGCCATATTGAAAAATGGATAGAAATAACTAAATTTGTTTTAATCACATAATAAATAATAATTTAATAATGTTGTATACAGATATAAAACTACCAAAAATTATTTACAACTATTACAAAAGAGCCCAATCAAAATTGTAGAACGATAACAATATCTCCAAGCGACATTTGGCCAACACACTATAGTAACTGCATTTCAATTGAAAAATTACCGACGGTTGATATTCAGAATTGATTGTTGGTAAAGTACATTTGTTAAGATAACTAAGAAAATTTTAATACTATCCGAGCGATTATCGATAAACTTAGGTTTATAATTATTATAATCAAACTAACATTAATGGTAACGATTATTTCGTGATGACTGAAGAGGTAAGCTTAAATTATAATTATTATTATTTAAATTAAGGTTCAAAAATTTTTTAGTGGGGATAGTCTATTGTTATAGGGACTATCTAAAAGGGTATTTAATCATAAACTTTCTAAATTAATTTAGATGTGGAATCTCTATTTGAAAGAAAACTACTCTATCGATAATTGCTCGGATGGTATTAAAATTTTCGATAGACCAGGCATTTATGACGCCGAGTGTACCACTTAAAAATTCCTGTTCAAAACAGTCAGTAAAACTATTTTCTAATAAACTACTTCATCGACAAAGATCTGAACATGGATTCTTCAACACAGTAAATTCACGTGTTGTTTCAAAATTAGAATTTGTTCAATTAATTGGATATGTCTCGATAAATAAACATAATTACAGTATTTTTTCAATTGTCTCGATCAGTATTGATATTATTTGAAAGTATCATTTGTTTAATTATTGAAATCATCCTGTTAAATACTCTTTAATCTACTTTTTGATATTTTTGTAAACAATGGATTCAGACGAAGCCCCGAAAAAAAAATTAAAAATGCCAAGTTTATTCGATAAGCTCATTGACAAAAGAAAGGAAGTGAGTATTTATTTAAAATTCAATCATCTGATTTTAATCATGCAACTATGTATGATCAAAAATTGATTTTAATTATTTTTATTAACATATTCACATTTGTCTAACAGACTGCTGATTCAATTCTTCAATTTCCATTCAAAAAGCAACGAGTTAGAGTTTTGTCTAAAGTTGATGAGGTTCCTGTAAATGCCAAAGGAATTTTGTATTGGATGTTTAGAGATGGTCGAGTTCAAGGTATAAATAGAATTTAGTTTGTCGAGTTTCCATTTTATTTATTTTTTTATTGAATATCATTATTTATTTTTCATAGATAATTGGTCATTTTTATTTGCTCAAAAGCTTGCACTTAAAAATAAGCTACCTCTCCATGTCTGTTATTGTATTTTGCCCAAATTTCTGGATGCAACTCTGAGACACTACAAATTTCTTGTTGAATCACTAGAAGAAGTTGCAAGCGATTGCAAAGAGTTAAACATAAATTTTCATCTTTTACATGGAGTTCCCAATGTTGTTGTTTATGATCTTATAAAGAAGCACAACATGGGAGCTCTGGTAGTTGATTTCTTTCCATTGAGAGTTCCTATGGGTTGGGTTGATGATTTGAAGAATAAACTAGCGAGTTCAAAAATTCCAATTTGCCAGGTAATTTGAAAAATTCATCTAACAAAATAAGCTAATAGTAAAACAAAAAAAAATTTTATTATTCACATTAATTCAAAAGGTTGATGCGCATAATCTTGTTCCTTGCTGGGTGACATCAGATAAAATAGAATACGGAGCACGAACGATCAGAGGAAAAATAAAGATGAACTTGGAAGAATATTTAACTGAGTTTCCTCCCCTAATAAAACATCCATATGATAGCGACTTCAAGATTCCAACAATTGATTGGAGCAACGCGATAAGGGATGTTGAAATCGATCGCACAGTTGACAAAGTTGATTGGTGTAAGCCAGGTTACCGTGGCGCACTTGCTGAGCTGGAAAACTTTTTGAATAAACGTTTACCAAAATATCACACCAAAAGGAATGATCCTACTGAAGATGCTCTGAGTAATTTATCTCCTTGGTTTCACTTTGGACAGATATCTGTCCAACGTGTTATTCTTGAAGTCCAAGAACACAAAAAGAAATTCAAAGAATCAGTGGAAAATTTTATGGAAGAAGCTATTATTAGAAGGGAATTAAGCGATAATTTTTGTTTTTATAACAAAAATTACGATAAATTAGAAGGAACTAATGCTTGGGCTATAGAATCTCTAAACAAACATAGGAACGATAAGAGGGATTATATTTATACTCGTGATGAATTTGAGAAATCACAAACTCATGATGATTTATGGAATGCAGCGCAGAATCAGTTAGTTAAAGAAGGTAAAATACATGGATTTATGAGAATGTATTGGGCAAAAAAAATACTCGAGTGGACAAAAACACCAGAGGAAGCATTGGAGTGGGCCATTTATCTCAATGATAAATACAGTATGGATGGTCGTGATCCCAATGGTTACGTAGGATGCATGTGGTCTATTTGTGGTGTTCACGATCAGGGATGGCAAGAGCGTAACGTATTTGGAAAAATTCGATACATGAATTATAAGGGGTGTGAAAGGAAGTTTGACGTCAAAGCATTCGTGAGAAAGTATGATGGTAAAGTGATTAATAAGAAACAAAACACCCTTGAGGGGATGTTTAAGAAAAATAAAAAATAAAAGTAAAACGATAATTAATTAAAATAATGAAACTAAAAATCAATGAATATTTTTTTATAAATGAGTGTTAAAAAAAATAAATTTTTCACTGTTCATTTTGATTTTTGATACAATATAAAAGCGCTGTTTATGCAAAAATGAGTTGATTAATTATTCAAGAAGTGCAAGAGCTTGGGGGACATTTTCAAAAGACTTCAAAGAAACAGCAGCGGCCTTGAGACCAAGTGTAATACACATCTCTTCACTTAAGCCTCTTAAAATTCCAGTAATAATTGCCGCAGCTAAACAATCACCACATCCACTGACACTTACCTTATTGATCCTTGGTGATAAAATTCCTTCAGTGTTTAATTCAACTGGAGGGTGTAATCTACTTTGAATTGTAGTTCCATCTTCAACTAAATTTTTCGTACTAATACCATTTGAATTATAAAAAGGTTTTTTGCTTGAAGAACATCTTCGGTTAATCTAATAATAATATAAAATAATTAACAATTGAAAATAAGTTTCAAAAAATATTAACTTTGATTAATATTCATTGATTTTTTACCAAGAGTCCATCAGGTCCTAGGGTTGTTATTACAACTGGAATTTTTTCTGCTAATTTTACAGCCAGCTCCTGAATATCATCAACTTGTATGTTTGGTGGTGGTATTGCGGATTTTGTTATTGAAAAATATTCTAGCATTGCAAAAAGCTCTTTTATGTTTGGAGAAACAAAATGCAAAACTTTGTTCCATTCTGTGGTTGATTTAAAAATTTTACAAGCTTTCTTGGCATCTGTTGGTTCAAACCAAACTAGAACATAAAATTAAAGACATTTAATTTAAATAATTATAGTAATACATACGTGATTAATTGATTATTAAATATGATTTTTTACAATAGCAAAAACTACGCTGGAAAAAGATGATTTCATTTTTCTAGAAACATAAATTTTTTTGAAATTTTCATTTGTATTACTTCAATATTGTCATTTGTATTTTTTTTTGCATATTTAATGATTTAATGAATACGTGAGTCAGTTAAAAAACTCTTACGTATTTATGTTTCATAGAAAACGACCTGTCAGACTCGTGTTTATGTCGCAATCGCCACACACTATAGACCCCGTAACATATTGTAGTAAATATTATGCTTTAATGCAGTTTGATGTGCATTTGTGTAAAATTCCAGTTTTATTTCCCCATAAATATTATTTATATTGTTAAACAAAGTAGTTAAATAATATATTAAAATTTTATAATAACCAAAAAGCTAAAAATAACAAAAACAATGGGGAAATCAAAAACAGGAAAAACAGCCGTTGTTAGTTTAGTGTTAGCATTCATTTTTGTGCTCATAGCATTCACCACACCCTACTGGCTAATAAGTGATGGCAAATTAGAGAATCCACAGTTCTTAAATATTGGTAACTAGTTGAAATTAATCTATCATTTAATAGTAAATATTATTATGTAAAATATGTTCTTTCATGTAAATAATTTTTTTTTAAATGAATTTCAGGACTTTGGTTGGTCTGCTTTAACAATTTTCGAGATATTCGTCATCTATATGACATAAGATTTAACACTTGTTGGTGGGTTTTTGAAGAGGAATACTATATAATTCGTGACACATTGCTCCCGAGCTTTTTTGTAGCAACACAATTCTTCTTCACGCTGTGCTTCACTCTTATGTTAATTGGAGCATTTTTGACGGCTCTCTACACTTGTTGCTCACGGCAACATGCTAAATACCAGCTTCTTTTGTGGACACTTGGTGCCATTATTACTTTGGCTGGCATTTGTGGAATCATTGCCGTGATAATATTTGGAGCCCGAGGTGATGGAAGAGATTGGATGCCTGATTGGGAACATAATGATATTGGATGGTCATTTGCACTTGGTGTAGTTGGCAGCTTTTTACTTTTGAACTCTGGAATTTTGTTCTTTATTGAAGGAAGACGTTTTAGAAAAAAGATCGAAAGAATGTTAGTCGATGAACCCAAGACTCATACTAATATTTAATAACCTAATTGGAATTATACTTGTAATCATAGATATTAAATTATAAAATTAGCTAATGAATTTTTAAATACTTCTCTCATAATTCTAAACTTATAAGGCATTTCATAAAGTATTGGAAAAATTCATTAGTCAGTCTAGCAGTTGGAGATGGGAAGCTAATTTATTTTTCATTGTTGTAATTCATATTTAATATGAAGTTTGAACTTTTTCAATGTTTCAAGTGAAAAATTTGTTAGCAAATTTAAAGATCTGATTATCACTAAAAATCATTTAGTGTTGATAAAAATTCCAGATTATATTAATGTTAATGTTTTAAGAATTATTACCAATATAAAATCCGTCCATTAGTATAATTATAAGAAACATTACGTAATGAAATAATTTTTCGACAAATATGTACATATCAAATATTGTTGACAAATTTTAACTAAGGTATTAAAATCCGACATAGTTAAAATAAGAAAAATAATATTTAATTTGATATACTGATAAAATTACCACACAAATGCTACCATGTCACTCTACTTTAATGTAATTTTATGTAATAATTACATTTTTTTGTAATAAAAAAAAAAACATTTTCATGATTAAAAGTAAATTTCTTTAATTTAATTTTCGAGATTGAAATTTGTAGAATTGAGTATTGGACTAGAAAAAAAATACGATAAAGAACTTGTCCATACAATAAAAAGTAGAATTGGATTTAAATTCAATTACATTCAAATTACAAACCTCTAGTACATGTAAATATTGTGATAACGTTTTAACATGATTAAAAAGAGGAATATATCACATTTCAAGAATTTATAGATAATTGTTAAAAAATAACTATTTGCAAATCTAATTTCATGCAATTTGATAATAAATAACAAGCTCCGTTAGAAATAATCCTTTTTTTTGTAACAAATTAAATTATTTAAACTGTGAAGTGGATTAAATTTAATGATTGAAGCCTACTAGATGTTGAAAATAGAGTATACCATCTAAAAATTAAGTTCAATTATCTCAAGAATTTATTTTACAGTACTTCAAAATTTTAAAAAGTTAATTTTAAATAATTTACTCCAAAACGCTACTGTTTTCTGAAAAATAATAACCTCAAACTTTCTAAAAAAAAAAATTCAAAAGAGAGCTAAATAATGAATCTTGAAAATAGCAATCTTCTGAAGTCATTGTTATTGTTTATATTATCATTTTCAACGAGCCGGTAGATAAGGTAATGAAAAAACGAAAAAATTAAGTATACTTGACCCAACTGTATACTTAACGATGCATAAAAGAAATGACTGTGCATATCAAGTCCGTGAAAAAGTCGTGAGAAAAATAATATTATAATGATAATAATAACAACAATATCAATGCAAAACATATACATTTGAGTTTTTTATGAAGAAACATGAAGGTTAATTAGTAATAGATGACAGTACATGTAAGATCCGATGTCACCCGACTCTTACCGAATAATCACGAAAAACCAAGCCCACCATTGACTCAGGTTGTTCATTGTGTACTTGTTTCAGATGCAAGCAGGTTAGCCTATTCTTACTCAGTTGTTTAGAGTCTTGTCATCATTGGCAAGTCACATTGTACATACTTGTGTCATAATCCACCTTTGGGTGTGGTTGTTAATAAAACAATAAATTTTAAATTAATTTATAACTTACATACTGGACAGTAAGTTGTGTAAAGTTAATTTTTTATTACCATAAAAAAGTTCACTGCCGAATTTTACAATGAAAAAACGAAGTTTAAGTGGAGATGTTGGTGTTGGAGTATTTATTGTAGTCCTCGTGTGTGTATGCGTCGCTTTTGGGACACCTGCATGGCTCGTAAGCGATACCAGGATAACTGGGGCACGATTGGATAGATTGGGTCTTTGGAATCATTGTTTTAGATCCTTAGGCAATCCTCAAGAGCCATCAACTGCTCCAACAAGATTTTTCGTTGGTTGTCGTTGGGTTTATGATCCATTTACCACTGGTTATTCAGAAATTCGTGGATTTCTTTTACCTCGTAAGTTTTTAATTAATTTTTATTAATAATTTTTTCTTTGTATAATCTAATTATTTATTTGTTTTTCAGCATTCATGGTAGCAACCCAGTTTTTCTTCACTCTATGTTTCTTTGGATGTCTGATATCCTTCGGTCTAGTATTATTTTACACATTGTGTTCTGATCCAGAGCAAAAACGATATGTCCAACTAATCCAAGTAATCGGATTTTTATTACTATTTTCTGGCGTGACTGGATGTATAGCCATCATAATTTTTGCCTCTTTGGGTAATGGAGAAGGATGGATGCCAGGTCATGAAAATAATTTCTTAGGGTGGTCCTTCATCATTGGTGCCATTGGCAGCGTTTTGGCAATTATTGCATCTATTTTATTCCTCGCTGAGGCTAATGTGCAAAAGAAAAAACGAGACTATCTCAAAGAATCTCAAACACGTATCCAAATGGAATCCAAAACACCCATAACATAATTTTCAGGCTATTAGTTTAAGTTATAGTAATACTTTTTATACTTTTTATACAGTCATAAGTACGTTACCAATCCGTCCAATAATTGTGACTTATTAAAGTTTTATTATAAAATTATCAATAAATTAATTCCGTCCTTAAGTACAAACTCAAAGTGTTGAATTAATAATGTTTAATACTGATCTTATTTTGCTTGAAAATAACTCAACATGACTTAGTATTTTGAATGATATTTTATGTATTATCAGTAGTTTTTAAAAATTTTGGTATTCCATTATTTTTCTTTTTTCATTTTTATAATTAATTTTTGTATTTACTATGCTGTAAATAGAATTTAAAAAAATCATGCACTGGTAAATTTATTCATAATATGTATTATTTAACTGCATAAATTTCGGTATGCAACATGGTCTTTTTGATAATTATTTATGTAAATAAATCTTGAAAAATAAATAGATTTAAATAACATTTTTAGTCATCTTTATAATCCATTAAATCCTTCAATTAATTTTATTCATAATAACAATATGTTATTCAATTGATAATGAGATCAAAATATGTATAGTTTATGTTTGTAAACGCATTATATATATAGGCGTATAATATTTTTCAACATATTGTAGATGCATAATACACAAACAGTGATGAATAGAAGACAGCATTGAGGTGTGGTCATACGTGCGAGAAAATAATTTACAATTTTTATAACTTTAATTGTGCCTTTTTAATGAAAAAAATTTCATTAACAAACATTGAAGAAGTGACAGAAGAACGTTGGGCCTCGACTAATTAGATAAAACCAAACAATTGTTAATTATGGGGTCACATAATAATCAAGACTATCATCGAGCTTCCAGTAAGTAATATAAACAGATTCTTAGTGACATTTACGAGTCATCAATTCTAAATTATTTTATAAAAAATCTTAACAATAATTTATTGTATTTATCTAGATGCTTTGGTTTTTGGAGGTCTTATTACTTATGTTGCTGGTGTTTTACTTGTTATGGCGTTCACCAGGTATGCTATTTTTTGCTCCAAAACAAAACATTTTATATTTATGTAAATAACATTTTGCGAAAACTTGATTTTTGCTAGAATATATTTAACCTAGTTTTCGAAGAATTTATGAGGTCGTTTTAAAGGAGAATTAATTTCTAACCTAGAAAGATAACCTTTTCAGTGCTTGAATTTATTAGCCTATAATGTTTAGACATGATCACGATGAATAATAAAAATACGATTTTCACACAGTTCGTTAATCAATGTTTAAAAGCAAAAAATATAAAGCTTATCAAAATTTTTCTACTTTAAAAAAATGAAATTTTTGATCAATTATATGTTTACCTGTCAGTCGATTATTTTCAAAAATGAATTGAATCATCAACATGGAAATTATGCTACTTTCAGAACTTGCGTGTTTGCATATAATTCAATAATTGATATTTAAAAAATTATTTTCTTCTGTCAATTTGTTTTTTTTTTTGAATATTAAATGATTTTGAAAAATTATAAATACAAATCAAAATAAGAATTGATGTCATTATAAAAATGACATATGTCTTATTTTATTTAAATTTACTTTCAACTTTCAAATAAAGTTAATCTGAAATATTGTCAATAAATCATGTATTGACAAGGTCTTATATAGTTTCTTAGAAAAATACTTTGCCTTCTATTGACTAGCTATTTTCGCTATCATCTTCGACCAAGTTATATATATACAGGAGTATAACAACTATATTATACCAACATAGATGTCTTTGTCAGAGTTCGTTAAAAGTTTCATCAACTATCGAATAAATATTTTTTTCTCCATCTTTTTTTTTCTATCCTGAACAAATAAAAGATCCGTAGTTACTAATGAATGTCGAATAAAAACTAATAAACATTTAATTAAATTTTCAGCCCATATTGGATCGAATCTTATCAAGAAACATTCAGTAACTTTAAGCACATGGGCTTATGGGAATATTGTTTCTATCAATTTCGTTACCCTTATTACCAGTTTGATAAGATGTTCGAGGGTTGTCATCACGTATTTTCAGGAGAATTTCATGTGATTCGAGAATGGCTACTTCCCCCATGGCTTATGGTAGTCCAGGCATTTGTAACCCTAGCACTTCTGCTATCGTTTTTTGGGCAGGCAATAATAGCTTTAGTCTTGATACGTTGGCCATTAAGATTTGTTTTACGATATGAATGGATGCTTTCATCAGTCGCATTTCTATGCGACGCCATAGTTGGTGAGTAGTCATTGCATTTTATTTATTGTTGATAAAAATACTTTGGTAATATTCTCATATTTTTTTATTGTTTTTTTAATACTAGGTGGACTGCTATTCTTAGCTGTGGCAATTTTTGGTGGTCAGTGTTGGCGCAGAGACTGGTTACTTTACCCAAACTTCAATCATCTGTCGTGGTCTTATGCTTTAGCAGTCATTTCCTTCATGTTTCATGCAATTGGTGCCTTCTTTTTGTATCTTGATGCTCGTGCGGGCTACAAATTACGTAAACAGTCGCGTAATTTGGTCGTGCAAATGCAACCAAATCCTCAAAGCCATCATAGTTCTCATCATCGTTTAGGTTATATTTAATTATTTAATTATAATTGTTAATGAACGATAACATATTTTTTAGCTCTATGAACAATGCGTAATTGAATCCGTCCAATTCACGATTTTGAATATCGCACCGTCACATGTTAAAGTTATTTTTTTTATAATTATTGTCGAATTGACTTCGAAATTATAGAGATTCTAAACTTGTATGTACGCTTAAACTAGTGTATTTTTTATACAATGAACATTTACTAATAATAAATGAGATTAACGCTAAATTAATTGTTATCAAGTTTTTGTTTAAAATAACACTAATTTTCAGCTAGTAATTTAATTAATATTATAAAGTATTACTCACCTGGAATGGAACATCTAGAAGCTATATCAATAATTTTTTGTATTGTTTTTAATGGTGGATTTCCATCAAGGATGATAAGTTGTGCCTTTTCAAATGCAGATAAATTATTTTCGATCAACTGGCAATCAATTGAATTGAAAATTTCCATTTCACCGAACCCAAAACGACACTCGCCATTAATATCAATCACACTGGTGTATCTATTGAAGTTAAGGGAAGCGAGATCTTGAAGATAACTTATTGAATGCTACCATGATGATGAAAATTTCATGAGCATATTTATAAATAAAAAATCTATTATACTTGCCTAGCCGTTGATTTCTCCGGCAATTTAATAATAATCTGTTTAGCCCCTCCAAAACTCTGAGTAATCATTTTACCAGCTTCATCATCTCCAACTGCCGTAACAAATTTAGTATTTTTCGCTCCAAGAGTAATAAGCGCTGATGCAATGTTCCTGCCAACTCCACCAAAACTTTTTTGACTTTTCCCTCGGTGTGTTCTACCATCAAACTAAAAGCAAAAAAAAATCATTCTATTTAATATTATTTACAATTAATATTTAAAAATTTTAATTAAATAATTGACATTTTGTTTAAATTAAAAATCTTCATCTATAATTTGAAAAATCCATTTATTTTCATCAAAATGTGAATAATTTAGTTTTTAAACTCACTTAACCCAACAAGAATGTGTAACTGAGCCATTTGAATTTTTGCTGTATAATAAAGTTGCAATTTAAAACGATAAAAAAATCTTTTCACTCTTTGAAAATAGCTTAAAGTGTACCTCAGACGATGAACTTGCCATTTAAATTCTATTGCTTTTACTACATTAATTAATTTTTTTTTTTTTTTTTTAAATCTTTCAAGTTAATTTTTATCTATTTGAAAGATAAAAAACACTTAACAATTACTAATAATTATTATAAATGATCTGACAAATGAGATATTCCTATAATAGACCAATTTTTAAATAGACGAAGCAAGTCGCTGGATGTTAGGCCATGATAATATTTGCCAACTGTAATAATAAATGGTTTTAAAGCCGGTGTTAGTAAAATAAAAGTTGAATGAGGTGGTTGTCCTCACGTGCTAAATTTAAATCTAAACTCTGTTACTTACCCTCTGATTATAAGATCGATAAACGCATAAATTGGAAATTTTTCTCCCTCTATTTCTCACAATAGAAACAAAATGTGCTGAGGGAGGAGGGTAAAGGAATAGAATCGTTGTGTAGAGGGGAGGTATGCGCAAGCTCTCACCACTTTTCATCCGTCGCAAGCATTCGGAAAGCTGTATTCCACAGTAGTTAGAGTTGCGACGAATAAATTTTCTCTTAAGAGAAAAAAGAGAGAAAGATCAAACATCAAGTGTCAGTTGTTGTCAATAGTGAACTATTTTATATACATATATCTACATATACACATATATATATATTAATATATCATTAGAGTTAAGTGTATTGTTAATACAACTATCATCAATTGATCGTAGTACAAGGTGGATTTTTTATTAATCAAATAGAAGAAATAAATTGATCAGTATCGAAGTTATAGTTTTTGAAGACTCGCCATGTTCGTGATATCAAATACTTTCATTTCGGCTGCATTCCAGATGCCGTTTCAATGTCAATCTCTCCAATTAATCATACACAAATATCAACAGTAATTATACGACACGTCCTCATCACTCCACTAATTAAATTTGCTTCAACAACTCTTTCATTTATTTTTAACTTTTTTCCTATTTTCTCATGAATTTCACTCAAATTAAATAACAGCTGAATATTTATTTAATTAACTCAATTATTCATAATAACATTACATGCATCATGATGTGTCTAGGATATTGTGATAAGACTTTACACAAAATAATTATAAAAACAATAATATGTTCAACGATAAGAGAAGAATCAAGTAAAAATAGTAAAAGGGTAGTGACTTCTTGATGGGATAAATATAATAAAAAATTATCATAATCATAGTTGACTAAAGAGTCATTTACATTGGATAACTTGATATTGAACATGAAATGTCTTAAGACAAGTCAAAGAAAAAACATTGACCAAAATGATTATTGAAAGTAAATGATTCTCTTTCAAGAAGACATGACCAAGAAATATCTCAAATATTCACAACACAAGGACATCATTTATTCCCTTTAGATGATATATCTTCAGTCCTTACTTCAATTGCAAGGTTGGTATCATTTATTTTTATTACATACCATCAAATGCAAGTAAATAAGGGGATGAAAATCCAGGGAGCATGAATTGAGGGCTAAACTAGCTTTTTTTTTTTGTTTAAATAACAGATTTGATCTAACTTTAAGTCGACTCAAATCATTATATTTCTTGCCAAAAAATTTATTGATATACTTTTAGCTTCTTTCTATGTCTCTTATTTGCTTCTATGACCATCAATAGAAACATAACTTCGCTTTACTTGACACTTTAATCAATTTATTTATTTCAGTATCAACATGGTCAACATAGTAAGTTGACAGGTCTGTAAAATACATTATTCCCTATAAATATAAGTGAATAAAGTTTGCCAGTAGTTAGACAGATAACGGATTTTTTTTTATTACAAATCATGAAAATCTAACAACTATGAATGACATTTTTTTTGTACTCATCTTCAAATAGTGAGTATTATAAAAAAGCTTATTCTACTATAGATCCAGTCTAGATGTTAATCCAATGACTAGTTGATATTAAAAAATAATGTTTCAGGAATCATTAAAGCTGATAAGATTGATTTTTAAAATACAAAAATGTTTGAATTTAAGTTTCAAAAGCAGTAATGTTTGGCAAGACATTATTGAATACTGTTAAGTAAAAAAATTGATTAAAGTACCTTTTTTAAAAGACATACATTTTAACACACTTCAAATTATAACACATTTTCCACTGATCTTTTTTTTCGCCGTATTTTAAGCCATCTAATATTGGCTTTGCAATTTCGCTTTTAAAATAAATATAACATTTTCCGGTTGACTTTTTTTCGAGTCCACCGGATATAAAGACTTGGCTGTGATCTTAAAATTTCAAGCAAAACATGCTACAACTTTACAAACATTGAGTTTAAGAAAATGACTGTATTTTAAAAAATTATTATCTCCTATTATTCTTTTATTGAGCGATAAAACAAAATAATCTGATATCCAAACACACCCAGATTCGGTTAAATTTTAATTTTCTTATAAATTTAAAATACTTTCAATTTGCTCTTGAACTTTAAAAACAGAAAAAAATAAAATAACAATCAAATACATTTTAATTGCTCAAGGCCATCGTGGATGGACGGATGAAAAAGAGTAATTAATATTCATTATGATATTACAACAATCGGTGTATTTTACTTAATATTGAACCAGATGACAGTGAAGGCTAATTTCAAGGATTCCTTTTTGAATGACATTAATTTTTTTTTTTTTTTTGAATCACTCATTAAAAATGGCTCAGTTTAGCTTTATGATAACCTGAATGATAAACTATTTATACGCACTCATTTAAACTAAAAAAAAACAACAAATATCAACCTAATGAAGATTGATTTTAGTGAGTTTTACCTCTCTAGATTGGATGAAAAAAAGTTTTGTTTGAAGATGACAAAGTAGACTTTTAAAAAACCTAGCGATTAACTTTTTTTTAAATCTAGTTATAATAATTAATCGTAGACTACTTATTATATAAACATAGGTATTATAAACAATTGATAGTCATCATCTAACAGAAATAGAAAAAAAAAAAAAAACTTAAAAAAGATCTAATGAGGGGTAGAGAGTGAAGTATATAAATATAAGTGTGTGCTCACGACAATTGTTTTATACTGAACAGTATTGGAAAATAAAATGTCATCGTGACAGAAAATAAGTAAAATCATGTATGCGGTGAGTTTATAAAGTACAATACGGAATTAAGTGAGAAGGATGTAGATATAGATCATTTGATGCACTGCACTCGAGTGACAATAGAGGTCAAAGAGTGTATTGTATAATGTTACCAATCACACAGTTGTAATTCTAGCGTGAGCACCCTTAACTTTCTCCCTTCTATTTTCACGTCACTCTCTTCCTCTCTCACTCTTTTAATATATGTACTCCAGGTACCAGGTTTCGTGTCAATCAGTTTGCACGTTACATATTGCCTAAAATAAAATATGATTTATTATTATTCCTATAAATATCATTATCAGAAAGTATTTGAACTCACTAAAAATGTAATTCATTTATTTTTATGATTATTTTTGTTATTTTAAAAAAAATGTTATTTCACTTGGGGGTAAAAGTAGGCTAGGTAGCTTTTTCAAAGACGTAGTTTATGAATGAACTAAATTCAACAAAAGTTAAAATATGATTTTAAGGGATGTTTCAAGTCCTTCCAGCAACTCTAAATGTTCTGATATTTTTGGAAAAAATTACCCTCATTCTGGTGAATATTCTTGAGAAGTTAAAAAATCAGGTAACCAGATTATCTTGAAATTTATTACTTCGGTAACTTCTGACCTAGAAAGAGCTTTTGATTTTACTAATTAAATGGTTAAATATCATTTATAAAGATTAGTTCAATTGAATTTGTATTGCTAAATGTTGAAAGCAAATCTATCCATTTAGTTTATCATAGTTATGACTTGGCTAATTTGATAGAAATGATGTTTCATGCTTTTATTGAGTTTTTTATACTTTGCTTTTGATAATTACTTTTTTATTCATCTTTTATGACAGTTAAACTGTCATTTTTAAATAATAAATCAGTTATAATTATTTATTGACAACTTTGAAGTAGAAAAAAAAATAATAAAATCTCTGAGTTCTTAAGTTCAATGACATTTTCATGTGACAATTTATTTAGCTAGAGTAATTCAATAATCATATCTGACAATAGATAGATATGATCAATCATAAATGGCCCACATAGCCTTACCCTACCTCAAGAATAACGAAATTGAATTTCGAATGCGAAATTCGGGCATCCATTTGTCCTACTTCACAAGTAATTTATCACATTGTTTCGTTTAATTTACTCAGAATGTATAATAAATAATCTGATCTGGTATGTTGTAGAATTTATGAAATCAAGTTGTATAGAGCACGTGATTGCAAGAGTTGAATTATTCTCACTTGCAGGAGCTTTACCCCGTTGTATATCCAATGCTGCAGGATCGATGATAGTATCCTATTTACATTCTACATTATACATATATGCATGTATCTACGAACGATGCATCCTATACAATTGTTAAATAGAAACGGTTGTTGTTTCATGTATCACATAATAACTGATCGTAGGAAGGAACAAGATTGCAAGATTATGACAAATACGCTTGTAGTAAAATGAATCTATAAATGCAAGTAATGTTACAAACTATTATACAAGCTGTCATATTGTTTTATCAATAGTCTGATCAATTTTACAACAGTTGATTTGAATATTTCCTATCATTATTTATTTATTCACAATAAAAATAGTAAATAATGAGATTTTTCACTTTTTTTTTCTTCTTCTTCTTCATTAATAAAAACAACGAATTCTGTTTTTTTTTAGTTATATCTGCTTGAGAATACTGTTATGATTACTCGAGAATTATTTTCTTCAGTTTTTAATACAAATGTATTTTAAAATTTTTGTATTTTCATTTCTTGGTTGACGAGTTTAATTATTTATTCCACTTCTTTCATTACTCTTCAACTACAAACTTCATTTTGAATAATTTTAACACGTTAAATTAGAACAGTTGTAGTTAAAAATTTCCTTTCTTCATGAATTTGAATCACTGGCGTGATTTACTTTTTTTCCACTGACTTTCATTTCTATTAAACATTCAAGAATTATTATATTTACATTTTTCTTTTTTCTTGTTTACATTTTTTCATATAATTTCAAATCACTTTATTCCGTATTTGAGAAAATATAATACATAATATAAAGTGTGATAAAAATTGTATTTTTATATATATATTATTTGTTCTCTCAGGAGAGGACAAAATTGTCAATTCACTGTGTTGATCATGTTATATTTACTTGAGAGAATTGGGGGTTAAATTTTTTTACGATAAAAATTTCTTGGAATTTTAATATTCGATTTATTTTTTATAATAAAAAATTCTATAAACATTTAAACACAATTGTGCCTTCAATTTTCGACAACTATTAATTTTAAATTAATTTTTTTTATACAAGCTGTAATTTTTTTAAAACTGTATTACCACTTAATAGGTAAATGCAGATTTAGCAAGATGTCACGTGATCTCCATAAGAGCTTGTGTAAAAAAATTAATTTCAAATTAATAATTCTCGAAATTTTGAGGCACAATTGTGCTTAAATGTTCATAGAATTTTTTTATTATAAAAAATGAATCGAATATAAACATTCCAAGAAATTTTTATCATGAAAAATAAACGCCTCAACTTTCTTAACCTTAACTTGTCCATGTATAGCTATAATGTATGGAGTTCATATAACTTTGATCACTTTTACTTAAATTTTCTTTACTAATAATATACATTTTATTCATTTATCTAATTTATTATTAAACGTTCTATAACTTGTTTTTATTCTTTTTTATTCATTCATATTTTTTATTAATACTTTACTTTCACTTTTACTGCAAACTTAAAGCTTTTTGAAGTATTATTATTATTAAGACATGAAGAATTTTCTTTCATATTGTAATCGCCGTTTTTTTTTTTCAAGCACTCTAAAAATGTAGTCCTCGTTTTTTTTTTTTTAATCATTTACATTATTGATTTTACTAATAACCCCCAATAAGAATAAAAAAAAAGAAAGAAAGCAATTTAAAGATAAGTTCAATTTCATTTAATTGCTTCCAACCATGTTACAGAATAATTACATCTAAATTTTTCTAATTGAATTTAAAAGATTATATCTTGAGCTTTAATTATTTTTTTTTTTTTTATAAAAAAAAGTATCTAACGACAATTTGTTCTCAAGTAATCAAGTCATAAAACTGAAAGAACGATTTTTGCTTTCAACTTAGAGAGCACTTGATGAAATAAAGACCAAAGAACATAAAGAAAATGAGTCTAAAGCTAAAAATATCAACTTTTGTGTTCAATAGTGAAAATTTAATTGGGGTTTTTTTTTCAAAAGATACAATCAAAAATAAAAATGTAAATTCCTAGTATTATTAATTTGATTTTCATGTCATTCTAGTTATGATATCATCACTGTCCATAGCTAATAAAGCAACTTTTGATTCTTTTATAAAATAAGACACGGTAGCTTTTTTCTGGCTTCACATTTAAATTGAGTAAGCTAAAATCCTCTTAAATTACCTCTCTTTAACTTTCTCTCAGGTTATAAATCCTCTATTATTACCATTATTTATAAATAATTGTATAACTGAATTGTAACAGAACATTTCACCTTATTTGTTTTAGAAACATCAAATGGAAATCAAGAGTCATACAATAAAAATAACTCATTTTCATCGTTGGCCAAAAACAAATTGAAGCTAATTAATAATAGCATCATAACGAAGAACAATAAATAATAAATAGTATATTGCGATAGAGTTAAAGGGGCAAAAGGGAAATTCGATAGCATGACGGTGATGCTGCTGCAACGTTTTACCACCTCTCAGTCGACATTTGCTTTGAAGAAAACTAAGTATCTTAGCAATTATGAGGTTGGTACTGATGTGAAAACACAGCCATTTTCCTTTCATCTTGAGAATTCTAAGAATAATCAGCAGCAAATTAGCTGCGATAACGATTCAAATTTGATCAAAGAGAGCAACATTGATTGCCCAATTATTGACAATTATTACTGTATTAGTAATAATAGTAATAATAACAATATCAACAACAGTAACAACAATTACAGTGAGAGGACTAGAATTAATGATACCATTGACTCTTGTAAAAGTGAAAAATTAAGACGTTCTAGTGGATGTTGTCATAGTCGAGCTGTTGCAAGTAACAATAATAATAATAGTAATAGTATTAATAACAATTGTAATAATAATAACAACGACGACGAAGACGATAACGATCACGCTGAAGAGGACAAATTATTAGCTCGTAATAAAATAAACAAGAGACAAGAGACGATAACTTCTGGAGGAACAACCTACACTTTAACAGCATCTGGTACGACAGGTATGACTTGCGATGAAGAATAGCGTAATGCTTTTCTATAAGCAACATTTTAATGGATTCCATTAGAATAAACATTGTGTCTCATTTAGAGATAAGAGGATTGGTGAAATTAAAGTTGTTTATGGAAAGGTTTATAAGCTTGATGTTGTTAATTTTATAATTGATAACAATCAGTAAATCCGGCAGTAGAAAATCGTTCTAATAAATTGAAAATAGTTCTTTTGAATCACCAGGTACAACAACATCATCGGCATCACAAAGCCGATTTTGCGAACAAGGTGTCGCGATGCGATACTATCGATTATGGATATATGCATGTAATATAGTCCTCCTTGGAAGTGCTCTTGGTCTTGCAGCGGCGGTAGCACAAACGTTATTGTTCTCTGGTGATCCACGACGATATCTTATCCCAGGTGTACCAAGGGCTTTAGACCCAACTGCACTCTACGCGTACCTGGCATTAGCTACTCAACTAGGACTGGTCCAATTGCTTGGCTGTATAGCAGCACGTAGATTAAGTGCACGACTTCTCAATGCATATTGGGTCCTCCTACTTGCATTACTTTTTGGTGATACTGTCATCGGTGTAGCCTGGGTTTTTCGATTTGAAAGAATGCGAGCTGAATTGAGACCCACACTTAGACTACGCTTGCAATTGGACTACGGCAAAGATTCACGATTTAGTGAGCAATGGGACAGACTGCAAAAAGATTTTTCCTGTTGTGGAATTGTTGGTCCAGTGGACTTTGATAGTCGATCATTGCCCAATACTTGTTGTCCAGATGTTGACAACAGTCATAACAGTTATATCAATGATGATAGTTATGACAATTATGTTTACCGAAATTCCCAAAACATCCAATTAAATGAGACTACTGGTTGCCAACAACCATTTAATAATGGCTGCGAAGAAAGTCTCATGAGTTGGTTGAGAAAAACGGCAGATTTGCTGTTTGTTTTGGGCTTTTGTGTAATTGCCTTTGCCAAACTTTGCTTTCTTGGAATTTTAAGGTATGAAATTCGTGAAATGATTCAAAAGATTCGACTGTTAAGAGAACCACCGCCACCAGCAACATCAACATTCATCCAATCGTTTTGTCAGCCAGCCACTCAATCAGTACCAATTGCTACTGTCGTTATAACTACCACCACAACAACATCAACAACTACCATGACTACCATGACAACATCTACTTTGCCTGGAGGCTCACCATATGGACCAGCTTCAGTCAATATTACAAGTACGCATGATACAATGGGCAACAGTATTACATGCTATGGTGGACTAAGACGTACAACATTACCAATTGTGGTCTCTACCACTTCCTCTTCCTCTACTACTAATAATCACAACAACAACAACCCATCGATATTTGGTATGACCAAATACTCCGAAATTTCTGAGATTGCTTTTAGTTAGTTCTTAATTGCTTTTAGAAATCGATTATTGGTCAATTAATAATGTTTGAATCAACTGAAAAGATTCTATTTACTCTAAACTTATCATGAAATTTTCAACCATCAATAAAAAATTTTATTTAGTTGGAAATAAAGTTTAATAAAAAGAAATCGAGGTAAAGTTTTAAAATATCCAATAATTTTCGCAGAAGTATTTGAAAAAAATTCCACAAGTTCTATTGATTTCATGAATATTTACTTTATTTACAGCCTTCAAATTGTTCCAGTAAAATATTTTAAAATGATAATTAAATTATAACGATAGAATGGAAAATAATTATAATTGACATAAATTATCCATTTTTTTCCAATCAGAATTAATGATAAAATCAGTTTTAAAACTGTTACAAAACAATTAATCAAACTCTGTACTTCATGAAAAATGATCATTTAACTTTATTTTAAGTCAATTCACAATATAATAAAGTTTGCTAATAACTCTGAAATAATTTTATATTAATGATAAAACTAACTTGACAGAAAATATACCTATTTTAAAGTAACTACGTGCTATTAATAATTAATATCTACTAACTGCTTTTTATTTTAAATATCAAAAATTTGAAAAATTATTTCCACTTAATTTATGAGGGCAATATTTTATCTTGACACTTTAACCTTTTTTCCAGCTCTTTCAGCCCTAATATAATCTTCAATAAAAAACTAAATCAAAATATTCTATTTCTGTAGGCAACAACGGAGCTATTCTACAACCACAGCAATTGCAGAGTAATCAGGAGTACGAACCTAAGCATCCACTCCTTTATACCAGCAATCTCCAGCAAGACACAGGTGTAGATAGTGATACTAATAGTCATTGTGCATTAATTCTTGAAGAGACGACACCAACACCAACGAATCATCGTATGTGTAATGCAACACGTGAAAAAAACAATGGAAATAACAATTATGAGATGCGTGAATTTAATAGACGTTATTTAATGTCTAATGGTGCTAGTCCACCAATGGGTATTCAAATAATTGGACAAAATAAACGAACCTGACTATGGAGATGGTGTAGACGGCTAATATTTAATCGTCTTTTATACATAACAAATAGACCTGTCGAGCTTGCAGCATTTTAATAAGTAATTATCTTTAATAATTACGTTAATTATTTTAATTATAATTATTATTGTCATCAGTAAGCATAAATATTTATGTACACCCAATTAGTTTAAGAACAAATCAACAAACATTAGGATGTAACATGTATTATAAATTATCACATTTATGATTTTGATACTTTAATTGAAGAAGGATCAACAATTGTAGAGATATACATGAGAAATGCTTTAATGAATTAATTGAAAACTGTTATGAAAAAAAGAACACGTTACTGCCAAGTTAATTTTATTTATAATAAACATGATAAAATTATTCAATTTACGTGTCATGTATGAAGATAATTTTATTTTAATCTTAATTAAATTGTTAATTACGCTTAATTAATTTATTCAAAATCGCGCATACTGTGTCCTGTGTAATTAGAACATTTAGCAAATATTGGGTTATTGCAAAAGTCTTTACAATTAGATATTTATTTTTTCATTAATTTTTTTTTTATTGTTATTTTACCGGATAATTTTATTTTAAATATATATTTATTAATTTTAATTTTTATTATAAAAGACATTTGTAATAACTCTTGTTATAATTTATTGTTGTAACTGGAGTAATTATTATGATTATTATTAAATTAATATACTGAACAAAGCTCATTAGAGAATAAAAAAAAAATTTTTTAAAGATAGAATTATTAAAATGTATAGATCCGCTCCTAACTCATATATTCTTCTACGAGAAAATTTTATTTTATGTGAATTTCTTTTAATAAAAGACAAAAAATATTCATTCTAAACGATTATTAGTTAAAGAACTAACAACAAAGAAAAAAAAAAAATAAACAATTGAAAAAGAATTCTCTAAAAGAACATTTAATTTAATAATTTACTAGAAGACAATATTTAAATAAATAAATAGTTTATTTAATATTTAATTATTTTTGTATATCAATGAATATATAAATTAACTAAAGATAATAATATTTATGATCAAATATAATAAAAAGAATTCTTTTTCAATTGTTAAATACCACGAAATACTATTGATTATTGTAACCAGGTGAAAAATCTAAAAAACATTCAATAAGTAAAAGCTTCAGTAATCAGAATTAATTAGAAAGATATTTGTAAAATAAAATTGGATAGTTATATATCAGAGTTAATTGTCTGCTGTGTACAAAAATCCTAGATTCGTAAAGAATGTGAGACGAACAGGAGCTTTGACTAGTGCCTGCTTAAACAATAACGAAAAATAAAAAAGAACAAAAAAATATTATATGAATAAATAACTAGATTTGTTGTATGTATAATGGATGCAATTACTGTTAACCAAAACAGTGGTATAAATAGATTATAAAATTATATAAAGAAAAATAATAAATAATTTAATAATAATAAATGTACGCTTATGCGTATGAATTCATATATATGTAATATCTATGAAATACGTAATTGATATTGGAAAAAAAAAAATTACCATGACAAAAAAAAATAAATAAAACCTGAACCAGATGCATAAAATAATAATAGACTGCTGCTTCATTATGCTTTTCTTTTCATGCTTTGCTTTTATATAAAGTAAAACAAAATATATTATATATATTCGTAACGAATTTTCATGGCATGATTGTAAAAAACAAGCTTCAAATTTTTGCACGTAAATATCGGTATAGATACATCAAACTGCGTGAACAAAAAAACTAAACAAGAGTGAGAGAGAAGTAAAAAGACAGAAATCAAAGTGTTCTCTGTAATAGAATATGCTATTTCGTACATTAATCATCTATTTAAATATGTTGTTATTATTTATGTATGTTACTATAATTAAAATTATCATTTGTTATATTTCATTGATAATTACTATTTGAAAATGAAGATAATAAAAATAAAAACGAGTAAATCGTTATTTAGTATAAATATAGATTTTAATATTTATATAGACTTACCCTAATCTCTGGTTCCTCAACTTGTAGCACAGTGTCCAATACTACTCCTCCAACCACAACAAGATTTGCATCAGTAACTGATTTTTTACTTGAAAAATGCCTATTTTGGATGAATTTTTTACTAAAGTTATACGAACTCTCTGACGTTAAATGACTCAATTCAATAGCAATGTCAGCAGCCACTAGAGCATTATTTTCTATAAGAGTCTTATCTGAAAATAGATATCGATGATAATATTGATAAGCATGATGATAAAAATATTTAGTTTTCATTTAAAGGTAATTGAATGAACTCACTTGCTGATAATGACTTTCCTTCAGTTAACTCTTTAACTTTTTTCAAGAGGTACGGTGTTACATCTTTACCCTGAATGTTGATCTGTTCAACCTCTTCAAGAGCCATCTGAATAATCCGATCCACTTCGAAAGGATCGAGAGCAGCAGCTTCGGGTATAGGAACAGCAAATATAAGCCCAGTATTAGCTTTCAACTCTTGTTGAGCTTTAATACATCGTGCAGCAACAGTCGCATCACTAACAAAAGATGGAGATTTGACTTTAGCTGGAGTAAATCGGCTATAAAAAGCAGGAAACAGTTTTGTATCATCTCCGATTGCTATTACTGGAACCCCAAGAGTTTCCTGCAATTATCATCAGACTTGATAATAATATTTAAAAAATTATTCTTGATAAAAAATGATTGAATAGCATCTAAAATTTAGATTTCTCATTTACCAAAAATTCTAGTGTTTTAGGGATATCTAGAATTGCCTTGACTCCTGCACAAACGACAGAAACTGGCGTACGACTTAAGACTACTAAATCTGAACTGATATCTAAAGTTTTTTCCACTCCTCTATGGACTCCACCGATTCCTCCTGTCGCCATAATTTTGATACCTGCTAGATGAGCTATGGTGACTGTTCCTCCAACTGTGGTTCCACCATTTAAATTTTGAGCTATAGCTGTACAAATGTCTCTTTGACCACATTTTACAGTTCTTGAATTAATCTTGTTGTCACTTGATTGAGCTAAGTTATTTATTTTTGCATTACTCATTCCTACATGTATTTGTCCATTGATGATACCAATGGTTGCTGGAATTGCTCCCTAAATTTACATTTAATTCATTATTATGATAGTCTACATCATTTAGTAATTTTTAATTGATTTTAAAATGATTCTACACTAAGAAACCAAAAAATTAATTATACCAACATAAAGAAAAAGTTAATTAGAAATTTTAACACGTAATAATTATTGTTATTAACAGTTCATTTTGCATTTGTCTCAATAAACATGACTATTATTTTCAGTGATAAGCAATATTCAATCTTCATTTTGTATTGCGGAATCATTTTGATTTGTTTTGTTACTCATTAATTTACCTACTCGTTCTCTAATAATATTTTCAACATTGACTGCAGTTTGAAAATTATCAGGATAAGGCATGCCATGTGTAATAATCGTTGATTCCAATGCAACTAGTGGTATATTATTTTTTTTAGCAGCAATAACCTCATTGCTATACACAAATTGATTACTGAAAAATCGTATACCCTTTTTTGATCTATCCACGAAAATTTTCCACCGATTTTGGAGTACTTTCATTTTTTCACCTTCTTTTAATTATTAGTTTATGCGAACTTATGTATTCCTACTTTTTTACTGATAAAACCGGTTATAATACGGTCATTGAAGTACTTGATATGAAATAATTGATCTTATTATCATATAGTATAGATAACAGCGATAATTTTTGTTATCCGTTATTTGCCGACATGAATCCTTTTCAAGATCTAATATTCAAGTGATACACACATTCTTCGAAACTCTTGAAGTATAGCCCGCGCGCAAACGTTACTTAACCTCTCTGACCTCGCTTTCTACTCCAAACTTACTATAGTAAACATACCTGTCATTTTCCACAATTTTCTGTTTATTTTTGTTAGATTTCTCCACTTCGTTGGCATTAATTTGCATTGGAATAATCATGTTCAGTTTTGTATATATTTTCGAATAATTATTTATGTATTTAATTTGATTTTATCATAAACATATACGTTAAATTATCACACAAGCAACTTCTATAAACAGGCTGGTGTTTATGTATGCAAAGTTGATGTAAATGATTTTTTTTTTGTCATTTATAATTTTTGATGAGCCATTCAAGATTGCTTAATCATTAAGTTGCGAACAGTACATCACTGAATTTTGGCTTAAAACCTGAGTGTTATATTACTTAAATAAATCAAATAACCAATACAAAAATGTCACCTAAATCAGAAAAGGACAAAAGTAACAGTGTAATTAGTAAAATTTATTTGATTGTTTATAATTTCACATTAGTTATTGGGTAAGTTAGATTAGTTAGACTATAAGTCTTGCAATGAATCTAAATATTTCTTTTTTTTTATTTAGCTGGAGTTATATTTTATGTCTTTTGACAAGATATTATATTACCAATGATTTTAAAAATCAAAGTTTATGGGATACTGTGCAAAAAAATTTATTCATATTTCAAAATGCTGCTGCATTAGAGGTAGGAAACATTTTCTTTTTAAATAATAATTAAAAATATAAGTTTATTAAAAAGTTAATCAAAAAATCTTACCACCTTAGATATTTCATGCTGCCTTTGGACTTGTACGTTCCAACCCGGTTATTACAACATTCCAAGTTTTAAGTAGAGTAATGGTAGTATGTGGAGTGTTATTAGCAACTCCATCATCAGCTGCAGCAGCTTCTATTGGTCTACCTATAGCTTTGCTAGCCTGGTCTGTCACTGAAATTATACGTTATGGTTACTATTTTGCAAATCTTATTGGATATGTTTCTCATATACTCGTGTGGCTTAGGTAAAATGAAATTAACTGCATAAACTGAAACAAAATAAATCAAAAAGCATCAATATTGACAGAGATTTAATTATTTTCTAGATATACGACGTTCATTGCTCTTTATCCTATTGGAGTAACTGGAGAACTACTTTGTTTCTATTCTGCTCAACAATATGCTTCAAAGAATCCAGATTTATGGAGTTACAGTCTTCCTAACACCTGGAATTTCACTTTTAGCTATCATTATCTTCTTATTGCAGTAATGCTACTTTACATTCCACGTAAGTTTGTTATTAAATTACATATTCATAAAATATGTCATTGAAATATTTATATGTATTTTTATTTCAGTATTCCCACAAATGTATCTACACATGTTTGCACAAAGAAAGAAGATACTTGGTGCTCCTTCAACAGCGAAAAAAGTAAAATAAATTATGCTGAATATTTTTTTTTATCTATTATTTAAAAAATATATAAATATATATAGATAAATAAAATAAAATTGTACATTTATATTATTTAAATTTGAAGGAAAATTAAAATAATTAAACGCAATTTACCATTTTCTTTTTTTATGAATTTTATTTTTTACTTATTTATACATAAATATAAGTAAGCATGTAGAAAAAATTATGCCTGATCACCAGTTGGCATTGACTTGATGATATCTGAGTTTCCAGGATCGGTAATGGATAATGTGCATACTCGGAAATATTTACCACATGCAGTACCGAGTTCAATGTTGTTTCCCGTGTAATGGTGGACTCCAGTTTTTGCTAACATAGCATAATATTCTATCTCCGATTTCCTATGGATGAGAAAAAAAAAAAATACATTAATCAATCATTCACGAAAAATTAAAAAAAAAATTGTCCGTGCACTTACGACCACGGATTTAAGAGACTACTCCGCAGTACTCCAACATGATAGGTTATAATTTAATATAAATTTTAATTTAAACTATTGTTTTTTTAGAAAAGAAAACCATGTGGAGAACTACATCTCAGTCTCACCTAAGAGGAGGAGTGTTGTTCGCAATTATCACCAGCTTCGCTTTACCCTGCCTGAGGGATTTCAATGTCTGTTTATAGCCAAGGACATATTTTCCTGATTTCATGACTAAGGCAAGCCTGGAGTTAATGCTCTCCATAGCTTTTTTCTGAAAATATCATAATAAATTCATGTAATTTTAGATTAAAATTGAAATGTTTAGTGATTAACACGTGGTAAGTAGAAAATTACTTACTTGTTTTTTTTGCGCAACCATTGTGAATGTTTTGGCTGTACAAACGCGTTACTAGAGAGAAAAAAAAGACTATTATAATAATTATTGTTTAAAGTAATATAATAATATCAGAATATTTTTAAAAATAGTATTTTTCTAGAGCAATTGTGAACACGTTACCTGATGACCAATATGAGGTTAAGAAAAGAACGAAACTCGTCACCTAGATGGCAGCTTAGTAGCAAAAACAACCGATTACGCCATCTAGTGTACAATGAAAACATTAATTTTGTATCCTTGGAAAGGTCGTGAAGCGCACTCTAGGTTATGGTGCCGTAACAATAAATAGAATAGTATCCTTGGATTCTGGACCGAGTTTGTGGTGTGAAAGAATGTTTTTCAAAGCGAAAATCAAAACAATTCACGGTTTATTATTGTTTAAATTGTTCCAAAATTTATATAAATGAGGTAAGACATTATTTGAATTTGCTTAAAGTCTTGAGTAATTAATATGAACTCGGAAAATGATTAATTTATCGTTTTTAGGTTAATACTGTAATTTGAGTTCTATTCTTTTCTCAAGCATCTTTATCCTTCTCATTATCATAATGATGCACTATGGGTCTTGGATCAATCCTCAAAATGTTTTGGATAATCACAGATGTTATACTCAGTACATTGAAGAATCATATCGATTAAGAAATGATATTAGAGATGAAGAAAGTGAGCAAACTGGTGATGAAACTCATGATACAATCACCACAGCAACTTCTGGTGAGAGAAGTTCTAGTGCAGATTTATTCAGATTGGAATTTGCTGCTACTCAGTGGTCTAAACTTGTATCTAATGCTGAAGGATTGTTTAATAAATTAATGGCTAGCAATATTCTTCCTCATAATGAACAAGATCAAGTCGAGCAGTGGTTATGTATGAAGCAGGAATATGAAGAGTGTATTACAAACGATGAAAATGCAAGCCTTACAGGCTTTACTGAGAATAATAGAAGATCGTTAGAGAGAATTGAAGAGGTAACTGAGACTGATGAAAAGACTGACGAATCAGCTAATCCAGAGTTTAGAAATGTTTCTGAGTCATGTACAAGTACAGAGAGTGAAATGAGTGAAGATAATGAAGATGAAGAGGATGATGACGAAGAAGAAGAGGAAGATGAGCAAAGTGATGTGAGTTCAGAAAACCCAGATTTTTTGGAGAAGTTAGATGAGTGTATGAAGAAATTTAAATTTGAGACTGATCAAATGATAGAAAAAATTGACAATGAGTTCATGGAAACGAATCTACCTGTAATATCATCTGGACAATTCTTAGGAAGCAACATTAATGAACCAGTACCAATTTTGAAACCTATTCCTATAAGAAATGCCAACACTCGTCGGAATTCAATGCTTCCAGGCTCAGAAATGTGTAATGAAATTCTAGCATTTAACAATGGATTTAAACCTTGTCGTATTTCTGAACTTCAAGATGTTCAGGATAATTCTGAGGAAGTTGCTGAGGAAAAAATAAATGACGGAAGACAAGCACTTGTTCTTAATGGTAATAGAGGTCAAAAGGATAATTCTCCAGATATTTTAGTTGATGCTCTAAAGAGCAATGATGTTTCTGAACCAATAAAAACTTTAAAAACATTGACTATGAATAACGAAGCCAAACAAACACAAGTCAAGATGATCGAATCGGATTTGGATGAAGCTCACAAGAGAATTGAAGAGCTTCAAATGACTATAAAAATTAAAGAACAATTTATTGCTAGCATGATTAAAAATTCAGAATTACGAGGGGCCAAACAAAAACTTCGAAAAAGACTCAAAGTCAAAAAAGAATTTTTCAGTGGTAAAAATCAATCGTTTGATGAAAAAAATCATCAAAGAGAAATAGAATTATGTAAAAATATTGCAATTCATTATGAGCAAAGGTTAATGGATATTGAAAGAATTCGACAGATTGCTGGAGATTCTTCTAAAAAAGTTTTAGAATTAGAAATGTCATTGAATGCTTCCAAGAAGCAGATGGAAAAGCTTCAAAAGCAGTTGAAAAAAGAAGAAGAACGTAAGACTCAATTGGAGGCAGAATTAGCTGAAGATCAGAAAAAAATAAAAGAATTAGAAGAAAAATATAATCTTACTGAATCAAAACTTCAAGAAATGAGATCAGAGTCGGAGGATGAAAGAGCAAATTCTAGAGCTAGAAGTGATCAAGAAAAGAATAATTTACTATTAATGAATTCTAAGATTTCACAAATTGATTATCTATCTTTTGATAAGTTAGAAGGCGACGGTAAGATGTCATTGAGACGTGAAATTGAAAATTTAAGACGCACCAAAGATCGACTAGTAGAACAAAAGTGCGATCTTGACGAAAAATTACAGAAAGAGAAAACTTTAACAAATTATGAAGAAAGAAGACGGTTGGAATGTGGAGAAACAATTGAAATGATTGATGCAATGATTGAACATAAAAATGAGATGATTTGTGGTCGACAGAAATATGAAAAAGGTAAAAATCCAAGAGAAAGTAGTGAAAAAATAATTATTGATAAACATTTATCCAAGTTATCAGAGCAAGAAATGAGACAGCTATTTTACACGTACTTTAGAAAAGTTATTGATCTTAAAGAAAGTTCTAGAACATTGGAAGTACAAGCAGCAACTCAAGAAGCAGTGGTAGAAAACCAAAAGACTCATATCCGTACCTTGACGAATGTTTTGAAACACATGCAAATGGAAGCCGAACGAAGAATTGTTATTCAAAAGGAATATGAAGAAGAATTATTTATGTTTAGAAATTTCGCTAATGAAACAGGAAGTTCAAGTCATGAGAAGCTGGATAAAGGTTCGGAAAATGAAAGAAAACTCAAGAAAGAAAATAAAACATTAAGGAAAAAGTTAGAGTACTATGAGACTCTATTTCGAGGATCAAATGCTGCAAGAACAACTAGCCCTCCTAGAATTCCTCATCAAGAACTTAAACAAATTGCTCCACCTCCTAAGAAAACTACGAAGGTTACTATACAAAAGAATAAACTCATTATTCAAAAAACGGATTGTGATAAACGAAAATAAGAGCATAGTATAAAGTATATGTTACTGATAATACACCAGTTTGATTTACTGGAGATTAAAAATAATTAATAAAAACATGATTCAAAGCTTGAAGAATCAATTTTTGATGGAAATCAGTGTTCAACGGTTCAGTATTCAGTATCAAATGTTCAGGATTAATAAAAATAAGTTATAATGATAATTATACTTAATCTACTTTCTCATTTATGATTTTTCTATTCATGTTGAAGTCTAGATAAACACTTGAGTGCTATTTATTCATAATAGTATACTAAATAAAATAATTTCTATTAAAAATAGTATTATTTTTATTTAGTATATCTTGATGAATTAAAATTACCGAAGTAACTTGGAGATCTCAGTGTTTATATGAAATTATTTATGTATCGATAAATTAAATTATTGAAATAATCGTATTTACTTATGATTGAAGTTCTTCCAGTTATTGTATTTTGTAATTTTATTTATTATACTTTTTTGTAAATAAATTTTTACTCAGTTTGAATAAAGGAATTATTTGTAATTATTTTATGTATTTTGGTCAATTGACATTGTTCTTCTATTGATTTATACAATTTGTGAAATATGTTTCTTTCTATACAACTTTATATTGTGAATAACATTTTTAAAGCAATTTCATAATTAATGAAATAAATTAAGAGTTCAAAAATGATTGTCAAAGTAAGAAAATGATTGAGAAGTTATAATTAATACTTGTTTTGTTAAACACGACATTGTATTATTCACATCAATCAAAATTTCACTGTAATAAGTTTAGATTTTAGTTATACCTAAAGTAAGAATAACTTATTGTCATTTTAAAATAATTTTATATTTAATATTGGCGTAAACCACCACGTCTGACTGCTGGCTGCATCATTCTATTTGGTGGAGTAATGGAAATATCCAAATAATCTCCAATAGTGAATCGTGCTTGAGCTAGAGTTTTATTGTCATCAGCACCTTTTTGTCCTGAACAAGTTACTCCAATTTCTCGCATTCTATAGCCAGAATTTCGGAGTTCCGGTGTCACCAACGAGAAATCAAAATAAGTCCCTTTACTACGAGCATCAGGATTGACTTCTTTAACGAGCCCGGTAATTTCTCGAAGAGTTGCATCCATCCATGTATAAATTTGTAGTTCATTTGAAGGAACATTACCACGACTGTAGTCCATTATATTGTGATGACGACCAGTGTTGCAGAAAACTCGAAGTAATAACGGACATGTCTATAAAAGAAAAAAGTTTTAAAAACTAATTAAATAATATCAATTTTCTTATGATTTCTATCGGAATAAATCTTTTATTTTTAAAGATTTAATCAAATTTAAATAAATATTTTTGAAGTTTGACGATATTTTTGTTTTCATTTGAGAAATAAGAAATTTGAAAAATGTCTGATGAAAGGTTATGTTTATGAAAAGCCGGCTAAAGTTTACTAATTAACGGAAAAAATTAATTATTATTGAATATTATTATTTAAATGTTTATTATTTATTTATTTTATTATAAAAATAACTCACTTTTTCTCTATCCACTGGTTTATCTGGTAATTGTTTTTCATCAACAACCATTGATTCTAACGTCGACGCCATGTTGTTTCTAAATGTTTCGATGTTTATAGTGGGCGCTCAAAAAATTGTTGATCACGTGATGAAGAGAGAAAAGGGTAAAAAATTGAAAGCTTGTGAAACAAACTGCACTATTTTCAATATTTTGTACAATGTAATCTTTAATTAAATTTTATATTGAAATTTTGGGAGGAATAAAAATAAAGAAGACATTATTAATAAAAGCATAAACTCCAAAATATGTACTGCAATATGGAGAAAGATTCAAAGAAATGTATGTGATATGATTTTTGAGAAGCTGAGTAATTGGTATTTTTGTAAACAATGCCATTTTTTAATTATTCGAAAAAATTTATTATTATCAGTAACATTTAATATAAAAAATTAATCACACGATTGGGAATTACTTATTTATCTTTTAATTTTTATCGTTTTACATTAATCTTAGCTTGTTGTTCTTCATTTTGTTGATGCATCACTGGCTTAAAATGTTTTCTTGAAAATAAAAAATTCATATACCTTGAATAGCATGAAAAATAATTGTTAAATAAAACTACCATCATTTCCGTAGCTAGGAGTTAATAGTGTTAAGTAAGCTTAACTGATATCAATGATTCTTAGAATACCTTGCATTGGCGATACAATATCAGTTTAAGACACCTATCATATAATTTGTATATGAGCAGCATCGTTTTGGCATTGAAGATAATCTCTATGAGTAACGATGAAACTTCTTTTTAAGTTGATAAAAAAATTTCTATTGGTGATTAAAAGGATCATTATTTAATTATTCAGAGAATTCAAAAAGCTGATAAAAATAATGAATTTGTTTAATTATTTATTAATAGTACATTGACAGAGGAGGAAAATTTATAGAATATCATTGTGATAAATATAAAGCTGACATTTCGAAGAATTTATAAACAAATAAATAGAATAGTAGTTGATTATATATATACTGACAAGTATTATTGTCTTTGACAATGACGCTATTATTTATTTTAAAATGCAATGATAAGGTAGCGAATCTTTATAAAGAGCATAATCGAACAAACAAATTCAGTTTATTTCCTATTTCTATCGATGTTGTTAAGGAATCATAAATAGTTATAATTTACTGAATCTTCAATAAACAGTGAAATTGAAAATATACAATCATGATCAGTAAGTAAAAATGTTTTTGATATGAGTACAACACATTGAACTCTAGTCGTGATTAATGTCTGTCTGTTTAATGTAGGAAATTGGGTGATCGCTATCGTAGTGATAGCAAATTTTTATCAAGTAATAAGTGTATCAGCTCAAGATCACAAAATTCCGACGGAATGTCCAAAAGTGGATCCAATGAATACCACCGTGCTTCTATCTCATGAAACAGATTGTACAAAATTTTATGCTTGTTCTAATGGAAGAAAGATACTGATGGAATGTCCTATTATGGATGCTTGGGGAAATAAATTATACTTTAATCCGAAATTAGAAGTTTGTGATTGGCCTTGGAATGCTGGATGTCATGTACATACTACAGAAGTCCCTGAAGTGACAACTACAGAAATAACTACAACTGAATCTGAGGAAAATTCGACAGAAGTAACGACTGAAGCAGCAATCACGGGGTCGTCACCAATAACATTATCTCCGACTACAACAACACTAAAACCTACAGAAATTACATCTCAGCCTTCAACTGAAACATCACCTACAACTTCAACGACAGCGAAACCCACTGAAGTAACATCTCAAACTCCAACTGAACCATCATCTGCAGCTACGACAATGAAACCAACTGAAGCAACATCTACAACTACGACAACGAAACCCACTGAAGCAACATCTACAACTACGACAGCGAAACCCACTGAAGCAACATCTCAAGCTCCAGCTGAAGCAACATCTACAACTACGACAATGAAACCTACTGAAGCAACATCTACAACTACGACAGCGAAACCCACTGAAGCAACATCACAAGCTCCAACTGAAGCAACATCTACAACTACGACAATGAAACCCACTGAAGCAACATCTACAACTACGACAACGAAACCCACTGAAGCAACATCTACAACTACGACAGCGAAACCTACTGAAGCAACAACGCAAGCTTCAACTGAACCATCATCTGCAGCTACGACAATAAAACCCACTGAAGCAACATCTCAAGCTCCAACTGAATCATCGTCCCCAAAAACTACAACAGTGGAACCTACTGAAATAACAACTCAAGCTCCAACTGAACCATCATCTGCAGCTACAACAATAATTCCGACTGTGACATTACCTCCAGCTACAGAACCATCAGTTTCAACAACATCAACACAAACTACGCAACCACCTGTAAATGTTCCATCAGAGTCTTCTACTATTCCTGAACTGTCTTCTTCCACACAAAGTACATCTGAACTCCCAATATCTAATGAAACAACTTCACCACCTTTAACGACAATACCTACAATGATCCCTACAGCTGATTTTGAATCTAACGGAACAACAACAACTCGTCTCCCATCACTTCCTCAATGCTCTCCTGCTACAGCAGGAGTTCTTTATCCTCATGAGTCTGATTGTTCATTATTCTACGAATGTGTTTTTGGCAAATATGTTCTTCGTAAATGTCCACAAGGCCTTTATTTCGATGTTACCCATCAAACTTGTGTATGGCCTTGGGAATCAGATTGTGTTTCATCAACTGAACCGCCAACAACTCAATCAACGGATCCTCCAACAACGGAACCAACTAAACCTCCAACAACTCAACCACCTAAACCTCCAACAACGGAACCAACTAAACCTCCAACAACTCAACCACCTATACCTCCAATAACTCAACCACCTAAACCTCCAACAACTCAACCACCTATACCTCCAATAACTCAACCACCTAAACCTCCAACAGCTCAACCAACTGAATCCCCTACAACTCAACCACCTAAACCTCCAACAACGGAACCAACTAAACCTCCAACAACTCAACCACCTAAACCTCCAACAACGGAACCAACTAAACCTCCAACAACTCAACCACCTATACCTCCAATAACTCAACCACCTAAACCTCCAACAGCTCAACCAACTGAATCCCCTACAACTCAACCACCTAATCTATCACCAGTTACATCTCCTCCAAGTATATCCAGTCTTTGTCCATCAGATAATTCGAAAAATGGAGAGTCTTATCCACACGAGTGTGTTTGTAGCAAATTTTATGTTTGTGGAAACGGAAAATTAATTGTAAAGCAGTGTCCTGATGGCTTAGACTACAATCCAACACTTCAAGTTTGTGATTGGCCAAATCAAGCTGGTTGTAATACGACCAATAATAAGAGTCCTCCAAGTTCTAGTACACCTAGATTAACAACTTTACCTTCATCTACACCTTCACTTACTTCGACGACTACTCAACCTCCTCCAACGACTACTCAAAAACCTCCTTCATCAACTCTATCAACCACCACCGAAGTGACTCAGAAACCACAAGCTATAGAGTCGAAATGCCCTGACGATATCTCCAGTATTAAAATTCCTCATGAAGTCAATTGCGTTAATTACTACCAATGCAGTAAAGGCCAGAAAATACTGAAACAATGTCCTTCAGGCTTAGAATTCAATGCTGATCTTCGCATCTGTGACTGGCCCGAATATGCTGGATGCTCTCTAAACCTCAACTTTTCTGCAAAAAAGAATAATGTGATTCAAGTGTCAAAAAGAGCAGTTTTAAATTCTGACAATAATGGCTGTTTAGGTTCTTGTCCAACATCAGATCCGATGGAGTATTCAGTATTATTAGAACATGAAGATTGTAGTAGATTTTGTAAATGTACTAATGGTAGGGCTGTAGTTTTTAATTGTCCACCTGGCTTAGAATTTAATTCAGTTGATGAAACCTGTGATTTTGCTGAGATGTCTGGATGCGATCGAGAAAAACGACCAGCTGGTGTCTAAAAATATGACTAGCAAATTTAGCAAATTATAAAAAAGTTTAATTAACAACATTAATGATTATGTAAATTTTAAATGTGTACATAAAAAAAAGATAGGTCAAATAAATTCGATTAAACATGAACATGACTACGTAAATAATTTATTTTAATTCATTCAATAGACTGTATGCATCAAATAGATATTGCATTTTTACCAAATTCAAATGATCATATTCCTGTCTTTAAAGCAAGAAATAGATTTTTTTTAAATACAAAAAAATATACAAGCAAAAAAAGGTTATCCAAAATCTGTCTGATGATATAATTTGAAGTCGATGAAGTATTGATAATATCGAATGTTAAAGAAGATTACATAAAAAAATTGCTCATGCGATTGCAATTTTTGAGGAATTTTTGATTGCACTTGGTATTGATAATGAAATTTACAAAAAGTATTGATAAAGATATCAGGACAATCGATGCATATAAAAAAGGAGTGATGTTGGTAGCAGCTAATTAGACTTGATTCGGCAAACCTTACGAATAAACTGCAATTCAACATGATTAAATTACTAGGTAAGTACACCAACTAATATAATTATCAAATAAAATGTAGTATAAACATTTATTCTTGATGGTGTATTTTTTGATTTAGGAATCATTGCAGTCATTGCAGTATGTTGCTCAGCAGCTCCATCATCAGATGTCAAATCTTGTATTGGAACGTGTCCAAAAACTGACACTCCCAATCAGATAGTTCTTCTTGCAAGTACTATGTGTGCAAAATATTGCAAATGTGAGGCAGGTAGTCCAATAGTATATGGATGCAGAAATGATTGGTACTTCAGCATAGACGAAGGAACTTGTGTGCCACCGAAAGAATCCCACTGTCCGGCATCAGCAAGCAGATAATTATTCATAACCCAACGAGGTTTTTCAATATTACTTACTTAAGTCTAAAGTTATTTATATAATACAAATGTTTTTTGATAAAATCAATAAAAATTGAATATTAAAAATAGTCAAGAGCTATTCTTAATCTTTCTTCTACTATCATTACACAAATTAATAATAGATAAAAAATTACATTTCTTATTTATACCTTAATATTTATTATCGAATCTCGATAGTTTTTAATAGATTCGAGTCTCAGATAGTTGTGTGATCGATATCATCGCGAAAGTTCAACGATCAATAGTGTGTATAAAAAGACAAGAATTTTTTTCTAATGCTAGATTATTGGTTTAATTGAGACTCAATTTCTACAGAAATGATAAAGCTGCTTGGTAAGTAACAATATAAAATATTCAAAAAAATTTTTATCAAAAATATCAAAAGGTAAAAATTTATTAAAAATAAAATTACTTTAACAGTTTTTGATTTAAACAATTAAACATCGTACTTAATGTGTTAAAAATCAATCAATTTTATCTATCAGCAGGAATACTTGTGGTGATGGCTACATGTAGCTGGGTATTTGCTGACATATCAGAGTGCATTGGCAAATGTCCAGTCCATACATCTGTAGATTCTCCTGTCTTTTTTTTACCTCATAAGAATTGTAATAAGTATTGTGTGTGTAATTATGGGAAACCAATCGAGATGCCATGTCCACCAGGTCTCCACTTTGCACCCAAATGGAATACATGTGTTGATCCAACATTCGCTGAGTGTACTGGTTACGATCCAGAATCTTCAATGAACTCTGAACAAAAAGAAGAAGCAAATGACTTCATGTTCATTGATAATTGTATTGGCGAATGTACTATTCATGAAAACTCCAGTGGAATTATGTTACTAGCTCATGCCAACTCTAAAATGTATTGTCGATGTGAAAATGGTCGTCCAATTATTAAAAATTGCCTTGAAAGGCATCTCTTTGATTCAAATAAAGGAACATGTATACCCCAAAATGAATAGGAGCAAACCATTTATAATAAGTACTTTAAAATTTAAACTGGTCAAGATGCTAGGTTTTTTTTTTATTTTCAATATTATTAATTAATTGAAAATTATGTCTTATATTTTGTATCCAAGTACTTGGAAAATGAGAGAATAAATGTAACAAATAAAAAAGTTTTGATTTTTTTATAAATAAAATATCAACATCTATTGGGTTGGCAAGAAAATAGTGAAGCACTTAGAACAGCTTTTAATTTCATTATTTATCTAATAGTCTGCAAACTTCAATCTCCAATGCCATCACCATGTTCATCAATGACTTGTATTTGTCTTGAAGACAGAGTAACATCATGATACTCTGTATGCTAGAATATTTAAATTATAAAAGTGTTTCACTATTTTCTTGCCAACCCAACATTTAGATAAATTCTTAAAATCACTATCATCATTTCATCAAAAAACTATGATTTAATTACTTGTGGTTGATATTACACCAAAATCAAAGATTATATGTAATTCAACATTCTGCAGTAAGATAACATTAATAAAACACCATCAAAATCAATATGATTCATCTATTATCAGATTATCTTCAAGGAGTTCTACTATCGATTGCCAATTAATTAATATCAAATAAATGATTTCGAACTAAAAATGAAATACATATGTAAAAATATGTATAAAAACGAAAGAAAGATTTTAGAAAGTAATCTTTTAAAGAAATGTAGATAAGAAATTTAATACTTACATCACAAAAATATCTTCAAACTTAGCAAAAATCAGCAATAACGTTCAGAAAGTTACATAAGCGGTTTAGCAATGTATTGTAGATTTATAACGAATTAGTAGTTTATACCTGATACGGATAATATAATTTACAAGAATAATCAATTTATATGAGAATGATATTATCAAGGGACAAAGATTAAATGACAACCGATGAATATAAGAAAGGAGTGATGTTGGTGGCAGCTAATCAGACTTGATTCGTCAAACTTTACGAATAAACTTCAATTCAACATGATTAAATTACTAGGTAAGTACACCAACTAATATAATTATCAAATAAAATGTAGTATAAACATTTATTCTTGATGGTGTTTTTTTTGATTTAGGAATCATTGCAGTCATTGCGGTATGTTGCTCAGCAGCTCCATCATCAGATGTCAACTCTTGTCTTGGAAAGTGTCGATTGCCTGATGGTCCCGGTCAGATAATTCTTCTTGCTAGTAGTCGTTGTCCACTGTATTGTAAATGTGACGGAGGTAATCCAGTAGTTCATGTATGCAGAAATGATTGGTACTTCAGCATAGACGAAGGAACTTGTGTGCCACGAGAAGAATCTAATTGTGAGGACATCAACGCAGAGTATACTACACGCTATGATTTTTCATAGCTTTCAGTAGTTATTATTAATTTTATGTATGCAAAACTAATAGACATCAATAGCATTAATAAGAAATTTTTTTAAATAAAAATGAAAATTAATTAATTAAGCAATGAAGTTTTTTTTTTTACTATCAATACAATCAACATCTTCCAATAACTCGAGTTTGAGAAATAGAAAAAGAAATCAAGTGTAGATGAGTCAATAATAGATAAAAAAATCACACTTCTAATTTATATGTTGACAACTATCACTAAATTAGTAAGGATTTATGAGTTTGATTTATTTTCCTATTGATAGCATGGGGATTCATAGATTAATAATAGGTATAAAAGTCTAGAATTCTTGTTATGTGGAGTCAGAATTGATTGATCGAGTGTGATACATATACCTTGAGCATGCTGACTTTTCTAGGTAAGTAAGAATATACGAAAATCATAAAATAGAATTAATTGAATTGAATAATACGTTTTCCAGTAATTTTTGCGGTGATTACAAGATGTTTTGGGGTTGAAGGAGTTGATGAGTGTATTGGAAAATGTCCCCAAGAAACAGAGAATGATATCATCAACTATTTACCTCACAATGATTGCAATAAATACTGCGTATGTGTTGCTGGTCAACCTGAAGTACTGCCATGTGAACCTGATCAACATTGGTCTCCAGAACTAGAAATATGCACTCATCCAGTAGAAGCAAGATGTCAAGGCAAAAGTGTTGCACTGGGTTGCGTAAGCGAATGTCCAAATTATGATATTTTGATTGGACATCATTTCTGTTCGAAATACTGCGAGTGTACGGAATCACAAGTAATTGTTCGAAGTTGTTCAGCGGGATTATTGTTTTCTACAAAGCTTCAAGCCTGTGTAGAAAGGCAGGATTCTGATTGTCCCCTTCCAACTGAACCTCCAACTATACCGCCAACTGAACCGCCAACTAGACCTCCAGTTGCACCTCCCATCGAACCACCGACTAGACCTCCAACTGAACCACCAACTGATCCTAAAGGATGCATAGGAGAGTGCCCAGAGTGTAATTCTCCTGATCATACTGATCATTTACCTCATGAAGATCCACAGAAGTTTTGTAAATGCAATTGGAAAAAAACTTTTGTTTTTCAATGCCCTGATGGTCTAGTCTACATTAAAGAAGAGCAAGTTTGTGGTTATCCTGAAGTAAAATGTCATTAGAATCATTTAAGTGAGTGATTGAATCCTAGATTCATAATTAATTTTAATTCTTCTATCAAACAAGAATCTATCTATGTACGCTTTTCATGACTTTAAATAATACAATTATTGTTCATTCTATCAATGTATATAATTATTTTGATGTTAAATAAACAAGACTTTATTATGTACACTGTTTTATTAATAAATCGTTTGCTATAAACCACAGGCTCTGGTAAACAGCAATTTCTTGCAAGCAAGACTTGAACCTGATATCCCCCAAGTTTGTGCATTAGGTGCTCTATCATTTAAGCTATCGCAAATACTTTAATGTGTTATGTACCTATGGGACAGGCAAATATTTTTTAGATAATTACTAATATTATGTTTTATATACGTAGTGTAATAAACAAATAATGATGCATGCTAACCCTGTTATTCTCAATTTTTGAAGAAAGAGAACTGATACATGATGCAAATAAATATAATGTAATATTCAAACAGTGATTATTGCTGATTAATTCAAATTATTATCAATTCCTACAATGATTTCCTTCAACATGAAGCCCAACGAACTCTTGAAGATGAAAGTTAGGGAATATGTATATTCATAAGCATAAATAAACTTCATAATTTGAAGTCGATGAAGTATTGATAACATTGAATGTTAAAGAAGATTACATAAAAAAATTGCTCATGCGATTGCAATTTTTGAGGAATTTTTGATTGCACTTGGTATTGATAAAGATATCAGGACAATCGATGCATATAAAAAAGGAGTGATGTTGGTAGCAGCTAATTAGACTTGATTCGTCAAACCTTACGAATAAACTGCAATTCAACATGATTAAATTACTAGGTAAGTACACCAACTAATATAATTATCAAATGAAATGTAGTATAAACATTTATTCTTGATGGTGTATTTTTTGATTTAGGAATCATTGCAGTCATTGCAGTATGTTGCTCAGCAGCTCCATCATCAGATGTCAAATCTTGTATTGGAACGTGTCCAAAAACTGACACTCCCAATCAGATAGTTCTTCTTGCAAGTACTATGTGTGCAAAATATTGCAAATGTGAGGCAGGTAGTCCAATAGTATATGGATGCAGAAATGATTGGTACTTCAGCATAGACGAAGGAACTTGTGTGCCACCGAAAGAATCCCACTGTCCGGCATCAGCAAGCAGATAATTATTCATAACCCAACGAGGTTTTTCAATATTACTTACTTAAGTCTAAAGTTATTTATATAATACAAATGTTTTTTGATAAAATCAATAAAAATTGAATATTAAAGATCGTTGACTCGATAGTCGATAAAAAATACACTTTTTATGAATACTTAGATATCTTCTAGTATTATTTGCGGATGAAGGATGAATACAATGTTTTTCATACATATTATCAATCTAAGTTTGGCAAATTTTTTATTGATGTTACTAAAGATAAAACTTCAATTATCAAGAAAAAATCTTGAGTGTGATTTTCAGCATTATCGATCATGTGATGAGAGTTTATAGATTAATTACAGGTATAAAAATCAGCCAACTTTTTCGCATGAAGTCAGAATTGATTAATCAAGTACAATACGTATACCTTGAAAATGCTGACTTTTCTAGGTAAGTAAGAATATACGAAAATCATAAAATAGAATTAATTGAATTGAATAATACGTTTTCCAGTCATATTTGCGGTGATTACAAGATGTTTTGGGGTTGAAGGAGTTGATGAGTGTATTGGAAAATGTCCCCAAGAAACAGAGAATGGTATCATCAACTATTTACCTCACAATGATTGCAACAAATATTGCGTATGTGTTGCTGGTCAACCTGAAATACTGCCATGTGAACCTGATCAACATTGGTCTCCAGAACTAGAAATATGCACTCATCCAGTAGAAGCAAGATGTCAAGGCAAAAGTGTTGCACTGGGTTGCGTAAGCGAATGTCCAAATTATGATGTTTTGATTGGTCACAGTGTCTGTTCGAAATATTGCGAGTGTAAAAATTCACAAGTAAAAGTTAAAGATTGCCGACCGGGATTCTACTATTCTTCACACCTTCAGAATTGTGTCAAATGGGAGTATTCTGATTGTCGTCCAGAAAACGTAGCTCAACCGCCATCTGATCCTTCACCTGAACCACCAAAAGCTGATGCTTTAGGATGTATAGGAAAATGCCCATTGTGTAATTCTCCTGATCATACGGATCATCTACCTCATACTGATGAACACAAGTTCTGTAAATGCAATTGGGGAAAACCTATTGTTTTTCAATGTCCTGATAATCTAGTCTACATGGAGAAAGAACAAGTTTGTGGTTATCCTTACGGAGGATGTCCTTAGAACCAGCTAAATGAGTGAATACATCCTAGATTTAATCATAATCAAGCTTAATTCTCCTATTAAACAAGAATTTATCTATGTACGTTGCTTTATAAATTGAAATAATACAATTGTTATTCATGTAATCAATGTATTTGATTATTTTGATGTTAAATAAACCAAACTTAATTACATAAAGTATTTCTTTAATAAACTTTTGCCATCAGCCATACAGCTTCTATATCTTCATCATCTACCAAATTATGTTACTAACCATCATGTTTTCGAGTATCACAAAGTCAGAACTGAAAGAAAATTAATTAAACTCACTTAGTTACAATGTCAGTTCTATCCATTTTAAGTATGTGCATTAACAAAAAGTTAACATTAGCGTTTATTTTATTAATGCATGATTCCTCTATTATTCTCCACTTTCAAATAAGGAGAACTGATATCTGATAAATATAATATAGTATTCCAACGCTGATTATTACTTATCAAATTAAATTATTATCAAATCCTACTATTGTTTACTCCAATATACCACCCTTATGAACTTATGGGAATAAGATGATAAGAAGTATGCTCATCCAATAGCAAAAAAAGGTTATTATTTGAAGTTGGATAGAGTATTCAATGACTAAAGTAATTTATTTTATACAAATGTATTTTATGAAGTTTATAAAAATCGAATATCCGAGATAGTTGGCTCGATAATTGATAAAAAAATACACTTCTAATTAATACCCTGATATCTTTAAGCATTATTTGCGCGTGAAAAATGAATACAATGTTTTTTATATATATCTTATTAAGTTCGGCAAATTTTTTTTTATCGATTTTGCTAGAGATAATAACTTTAATTATCGAGAAGAAATCTTAAGTGTGGTTTGTTGTATTATCGATAATGAAAAGAGAGTTTACAGATTAATGACGGGTATAAAAATCAGCCAACTTTTTCGCATGAAGTCAGAATTGATTGATCGAGTGTGATACATATACCTTGAGAATGCTGACTTTTCTAGGTAAGTAAGAATATACGAAAATCATAAAATAGAATTAATTGAATTGAATAATACGTTTTCCAGTCATATTTGCGGTGATTACAAGATGTTTTGGGGTTGAAGGAGTTGATGAGTGTATTGGAAAATGTCCCCAAGAAACAGAGAATGGTATCATCAACTATTTACCTCACAATGATTGCAATAAATACTGCGTATGTGTTGCTGGTCAACCTGAAATACTGCCATGTGAACCTGATCAACATTGGTCTCCAGAACTAGAAATATGCACTCATCCAGCAGAAGCAAGATGTCAAGGCAAAAGTGTTGCACTGGGTTGCGTAAGCGAATGTCCAAATTATGATATTCTGATTGGACATAAATACTGTTCGAAATACTGCGAGTGTAAAAATTCACAAGTAAAAGTTAAAGATTGCCGAGCAGGATTCTACTTTTCTTCAGACCGTCAGACTTGTGTCGAATGGGAGTATTCTGATTGTCGTCCAGAAATTACAACTCGACCACCACCAACAAGGCCACCACCAACTAGACCTCCTCCAACTAGACCACCTCCAACTAGACCACCTCCAACTAGACCTCCTCCAACTAGACCTCCTCCAACTAGACCTCCTCCAACTAGACCACCTCCAACTAAGCCACCTGTAACTAAACCACCGCCAACTGATTCTAAAGGATGCATAGGAGAGTGCCCATTGTGTAATTCTCCTGATCATACGGATCATTTACCTCATGAGGATCCTCACAAGTTTTGTAAATGCAATTGGGGAACACCTATTGTTTTTCAATGTCCTGATGATCTAGTCTACATTGAGGAAGACCAAGTGTGTGGTTATCCTTACGGAGGTTGTCCGTAATAAAATTATTGTTATAACAAATGTGTATGATTCATCTATTCTCAAATAAACGAAATTTTATTACTTATGTTTTATTAGTCACATTTTTTTTTTAGAGTTAATATATCACAAATTATTCTATTTTTTAAATGAAACTATGTTTATATCATTATTTTCTACAAGCTATAAAATTTTTTTCTTTGTAATAATTGATAAAAATAGAGAAATAAACTTATCTAAATTATATTATAAAGCCAGTTTTTTTTTATTAAATTCACTCGTAATTATACTAATAATTCTAATATTAATTTACTAGATTATTAAGTTTACTCTATTTAAGTGATAATAAACTTTAAAAATGATTCAATCAAATATTTTTTTATCATTTCATATAGTAACTCCTAGGGACAGTGAAAAATATAAAACAGGCGGAAACTTCAATTATAATTTATCAGTGTAGGTACATTGGTTGTAAGCAATGTTTCAATTCTGGCTTTTTGGAGGTACGTATATAGAAAAGAAAGAATCTCTTCAGTAGAGATATATTAAATAACTTCCCGAAAATAACGAAATTAAAAAATCATACTTATTTAAGATAAAATTTAAGTTCTATATTAATATTAATTTTTACTTGAAATTTAGTGATCATTTTAACGGCTGCTATAAGCCTCAATGTTGTTACTGGAGATAATGAGTGTGATAGAAAATGTCGTGCCCTAGGACCAATTACTACAATCAAACAGGTGCCTCACAGTTCATCAGACAAATTTTGTACATGTACTCCTGACGTTAACGCTGCACTTGGAGTCTGTGGTTTGCATGAAACTTGGTCGAATGTTGAGAAAAAGTGTATTCCTTATGATGATATTGCTAAAGGCTGTAAAGCTAATTGCCCAAAAGATTGTGAAACTTTAATTGGTCATGAAGATTGTTCAAAATACTGTCATTGTAATGACGGAAGTTCAACAGTTGAAGAATGCCCAAGTGGTTTTCATTTTAGTAAAACAAAGATGATTTGTGTACCTCCAAAAGAAGCTGGATGTGTTACAACTGGTACAATAGGATCAAAATCGAGTTCTTATTCAATAAGACGTTCTGATTCATCTTCAATGACTGAGTGTATAGGAACATGTCCGTTAATGAACTCTAGAACAGAGACAGTTCATTTACCTCATACAAATTGTCAGAAATTTTGTAAATGCAATTGGGGAACACCTGTAGTTATGGACTGTCCGGACAATTTACACTTTAATCCTACATTACAAGTTTGTGATTGGCCTTTTCAAGCAAAATGTACTGGAATTGGTGCAATAAAAATATGATTGTAAAAAAAAAAAAATGCAGAAGTATGAAATATGTTGAATTATAAAATTAACTATAATAAAATTGTGATTTTTTGTTGGAATTAAAATTCCTACAATAAATAATTTAATGCGTTTATCTCTTATAATAATCAGATATATATCATAAAGTATAATAAAATTTTTGATGACTCTAATTGTGAAATAATTTTGACCTTCTTTAACCCAGTCATAATCCTAAAATTAGCTTATGTTTCTAATCAAAGCTGCTTTTTGATAACTTTGAGTAATAAAAAAGTAGAATTATCTAAATTAAGGTGTGAAACTAACGGTATTTATTGAAGTAAAGATTGAATCACTGGTAATGCGACTAAAATGAAATAGATAAAGTTGTACAAATAGTAAATTTTTATCATTCAATTTGGTGGCAGTTCATGAATAGTATGAAATAAAAGAAGAAAACAAGCATAAGTTAGAATTGATCAGTGTTAGTACATCTGTTGTAAGAGATGCTTCGATTCTTGCTACTTGGGGGTAAGTCAGAAAATACTGGAATTATAAGATAAAAATTTGATTAATATAAAAGACACTGGAAAATTAACCAGATAGATCTTATCTTTGTTTTATGATGTCAAAGTTTAATGGCAAAAAGATAATTTTTTGATTCTATCAGTAATTTATAATTAATTAGTTGACAAATTATTAATGTTAGTTTTAAATATTCTGGTTTTTTAATCAAAATTTTATTTAAATTTAGCAATTATTTCAACGGCTGCAGTAAATTCCATTGTCATTGAAAGCTCAAGTTGTATTGGAAAATGTGTTCCTCCATCACCAAGTATCCAATATCTACCTCATCAGCAATGTGACAAATATTGTGTATGTGTTTCTGGTCAACCTGAAGTATTTAACTGTCACTTCAATAAGCATTGGTCGCGAGAATATGAAATTTGTACTCATCCAACTGAAGCAAAGTGTCAAACTTCGAGTAATACAACAGCTTCATCAAATGCTCTTGATCAGGGTTGTAAAACAAAATGTCCACAAAATGAGTCAGCTTTTTTAGCTCATAATGATTGTGAAAAATATTGCTTGTGTAGTAATAATTCAGTTACTGTTTTTACTTGTCCAAACGGTCACTTTAGTGTAAAAAGCAACAGTTGTGTTTCTGTAGCAGATGCTGGTTGTATTACAATTGATATCAGACCAGATACAACAAGAGTGACAAGAAAGTCAAATACTACTTCAATAATGACTGATAATGAATGTGTTGGATCATGTCCAGAATTAGAAGATCCATCTCACACTGTTTATCTAGCTCATCGTAATTGTAGTAAATATTGCCATTGTAAAAATAATCATCCAATTATTAAAAATTGTCTGCATCATTTTTTATTCAGCTTAAAAGATATGAGATGTCGTCAATCAAACGATATAGATTGTAATCAAGTTAATTCTACTACTACTATCATTATTCCACCATCTGATAAAGCTCTTAAGAAAGGTTGTCAAACTCAATGTCCAAGATATAATGCTTTGGTTCCACACAAAGACCGTCATAAATTTTGTCTTTGTAGAAATGGAAAAATAGTTATTTTAAAATGCCCAAGACCTTACTATTTTAGTACTGATCATGCTAGATGCATTTGTACAGAAAAGTCGCAACGTACTAATCTTACAAGACTTTTTTATCCTGGTAAAACTACTAGAATGTTTTCATCAACTTCACTTTTACTATCAACTGAACCCGTTCCATCATCAACTGAACCATCTCCACCAATAACAACTGGAATAATAGAGGAATTCAATAACTGTGTAGAGCCATGTCCAGATATTAATTCGGATTATTATGACCATTTTTATAACATATCACATAAAGATTGTAATAAGTATTGCGAATGCCTTCAAGGAAATATAACAAGAGTCATAAGCTGCTCGGCTGATCATAATTTTGATAGGTTTTTCCGAATATGTGATTTAAAAAAATATGCTGAATGTTATGGTAATGATATCTTTATTCCGTCAAATTCACTTTCATCACCACTTACATCATCTCTACCAATAACAACTGGAATAATAGAGGAATTTAATAACTGTGTAGAGCCTTGTCCAGATATTAATTCGAATTATTATGAACAATATTATAATATATCACATAGAGATTGCAATAAGTATTGCGAATGTTTTAAGGGCAACGTGACAAAAGTCATGGTTTGCTCCATTGACTATAATTTTGATAGATTTTTACGCAAATGTGATTTTTTAGTATTCGTTGAATGCGATGATGATGTCTCTTTACTTCTAACATCAACTGAACCAGTTTCATCATCAACTGAACCATCTCCACCAATAACAACTGGAATAATAGAGGAATTCAATAACTGTGTAGAGCCTTGTCCAGATATTAATTCGGATTATTATGACCACTTCTATAACATATCACATAAAGATTGCAATAAGTATTGCGAATGCCTCCAAGGAAATATTACTAAAGTCATTGAATGTTCGGCTGATTACAATTTTGATAGGTTTTTCCGAATATGTGATTTAAAAAAATATGCTGAATGTTATGGTAATGATTTCTTTATTCCGTCAAATTCACTTTCATCACCACTTAAACTATCGCCACTTATAACAACTGGAATAAAAGAAGAATTTAATAACTGTGTAGAGCCTTGTCCAGATATTGATTCGGATTATTATGACCATTTCTATAACATATCACATAGAGATTGTAATAAGTATTGCGAATGCTTTCAAGGGAATATAATAAGAGTCATGAGTTGCTCGGCTGATTATAATTTTGATAGGTTTTTCCGAATATGTGATTTGGAATATTTTGCTGAATGTTATGGTAGTGATCAGTTCACTTTCTTTTCTACGTTATTATCTACTTCATCCACAGAACTACCTCTCTTCAATCAGCCAACAAACGATGTAAATAACTGTATTGGAAATTGTACACAGATTTCATCCAAAAATTATGATACCGCGGTGAACTTACCACACGAAAATTGTAATAAATATTGCGAATGTTATCGAGGCGAAATTAACGTGAAAGAATGTCCACTTACTTATCAATTCGATTGGTTCCGGCGCGAGTGTTTAACATCATCAAATGCTTCTTGTTTAAATCATACGTTGTTTGTGGCTAATCCATCATTATTATCTAATTCTTCATCTGAAACTCCATTCATTACTGCCTCACCAGATTTTGATAATGATGATAATTGTGTTGAAACTTGTCCAGGTATTAATTCTGTAAATTATGATGAGTATGTAAAAATACCACACAAAAATTGTAAAAAGTATTGTGAATGTCATAGAGGAATACTTACAGTAATAGATTGTCCACTTGATTCTTATTATGATTGTTATTTTCAGACGTGTGATGTGTATAAATACGCTACATGTTACAACCAATATACCATTTCTGCAGGACCAATAACATCTGATCCATCAGCTGCATCACCTGAAATTATAGAAAACTGTATTGGCAAGTGCTCAGGAGTTAGCAAGATGAATTATGCAATATTTCTGAAGCATAAACAGTGTCAAAAGTTTTGTGAATGTTTCAATGGACGTCTTACAGTTAAGTCATGTCCAGTTCATTCATACTTTAATTCAAATCTAGGTCTATGTGACCAGGCAAAATATGTAGAATGTCCAGATACCAATAAAACTTCTATATTGTCTCCAATATCTTTATCTAACACTAGTGATTGCATTGGGGTCTGTGTATCAGACGATGTATATTTATTACCACATAAACATCGTGCAAATTACTGTGAATGTGATCTTGGTTTTCTCAGCGTCAAGTCTTGTCCATCAGGTACATACTTCAATGATTATACAAAGAGATGTGAAGATACGGAGTTTGATGATTCTACTAAAATTTCTAAACCTTCAATAACAATATTATCAGAGTATGTTGAAGGCTGTGCTGAAGAGTGTCCACCTTTCGTTGATGATAATCATGTGGATTTCGTACCACATAAACAATGTGAAAAGTACTGCTTATGTGGCATGAGGGAAAAACCATTAGTGATGTCATGTGGACCTAATTCACACTTTAATCCTACTCTTAAAAAGTGTGATTATATTGACAATGCTGGATGCAAAGGAATTACTAGTATAAATTCTACATTCACTCCTAATGTCATTCTTATACCAACAGCAGACTGTCCTGATTGTCATGACGGAAAAAAATTCTATAGTATTTTATTAAAAATAAATGGTATTAAAAATGGATCAGAAATTGATTTGACAATTGGCAATCCAGAAGATTCAATTTCAAATGGTGATGATAACGATGAAATGAATTCTGGTGACATTTCTACGATTCTTAAAAAAGATATTGATGAAAAAAGTCGCTTTCCAAAAGATCCAAATGGTTTGGTAACTGTTCTGGCAAATTTGAAAGAAAAAGCGCAGTGTATTGGTCAATGTCCTGATTCATATCTTGATTTGATGACAGTATATTTAAGACATCAGAATTGTCGAAGAGCTTGTAAATGTGTTGGTAACGGAGTCCGTGTTATGGAATGTCATAATAACTATTACTGGAATCCAAAAACACAAATGTGTGATCCGGTAATTTATACTGGTTGTACTGAAGTAGAAGATGATTATGAAGATGATGAACCGAGCGATAAAAATTCACCATTCGATGAATTCAAAAAATTCGTAGGCTGGTAAAGTCTTTTTCTTCGTGAATCAATTGGTGATACTGGAAAATAAGAAAAAAATATGATATTAAGTATTTCTGTTGTCGTCTATGAATGTTATATTTTTATAATATTTTATGTAAGAATGAAAATGAAATAATAAATATGAGGTTTACCTGTTTGCAAAGTTAAGATGAAGGCATAGTAATAAAAAGGGTCGTTAGATATCATTATAATTATCTGTAGAATGCATGAAGGAGAGTATAAAAAGCATTTAACTAATACTTGAGATTACAAATTAGTAGTTATTTATTTTTGATGAAGAATTATTATAAACTAATTTGAAAATTGTTTGGTTTCTTCCATTAAAATATTTAAATTATATTGGAATAATTAATGCGTCCAAAATTTATTTAACAGTGGTAAGTTTTTGAAAATAAAAAATAAGTAAATTGTATCATATAAAATCATTATAAACAGATACATATTAAAATAAATTTCTTTTTTTTAAAAATCTTTTTATCATTAATTTATTATATCATCCTTCCTGATTATTCAACCTTTTTAACTGAATATCTAAAAAAATATTTCATCATCAATTATGGTATTAAATTAAAAATCAGATCATATAAATTTATATTAATGACATTAGTTATATATCAAGCTTAATCAGAAAGTGAAAAAATAGTAAACATGACTACAGGTTTTAAGTAGCTTTTAATATTCATGAAGTTTTCAATCATTGATCCGAGATAATCGTAGATAATCGATGATCTAATAACAGTCTTTGTTTAAAAGCTGCCTTCAAATTGGTGTCGGCTAATAAGAATATTGGCATAGTTGCATTATTTGCAACTGTGGCAATAATCCGCGAATAGGAGGAACGATATAGCGAGGTCTGTGTTCTTGAGGTCGTGCTGGAGGAAGAAGAATGATGGTGGGGAGTTGAGAGAACGGTCATTGCCACCACCAAGACTCAAACGCTATACTTATGGTGTGCACGGTGGAGCTTGTCCAACGACATACCAGAGCGAAGATACTTTCGGGACTCTAGACGTCTACCGATCGCGCCTAGAGGGCTTCACCAAGAGAGACCTGTGGATCCCGATGTTGTTGGTGAGTCCCCGGCCGCCGATGCCAAAGCCAAAGGACTAGAGCAACTAAGAAAGGAGCGCAGGGCGGTTGAAGAACAAGAGCGCTCCGCCTTTCGTTTATTATCATCGGAATTCATTATCATCGTCCTTGAAGACTCGCGTGAACCTTTACCTCTTCAAGTGCGCGTCTCTTGTCTCGCGGTCGTGACTATTTATCATCGTTGTGCACTCGGCTAATGGACGAAAATTCATCTTTCATTTTACTTTCAAATATAGTGATCTGTGTCTGTTAATTAATCGACAATTAGCGATCAATCCTTGGATATAAATTTGTTATTAAGGTGAGAATTTTTTAAAATATTTTTTCAAACTTCTGTTTAAATATCTTCATTGTGTTGATGATGATTGGTGGATGATGGTTACGTTCCATTATTACTGCTACAAAATTCATTCATTTTTTAATAGACTTTCAATCAATGAACAATAGTAGATCAGTTCCATCCTCGATTGGATCATTGAACAATGACAACAATAAATTTTCTATTTTTTAAATGTATAAATAATTTTTAGTTATTGTTAAATTCCTTATTCAAAATTGTTTCTTGATTACTATTTATTATTTAATGTGGATAATCAATTTTAATGATTGCTGCAACTCATTCAATTTTATTATGATTCTCACCAGATTCCTATCAACGTTAATAACAGTTTTGGTTGTTATTTTTGTTTCTTTTATAGCCAAGGAATTAAATATATTTTTACTTGTTCATGAATAATAATAATCCCTGGAAAATCCAGTCCATCGCGACTCACGAATAGCGGTACCCTCGTACGAGTTGATTCTCGAGTCCAACTTTCACAAAAACCACCAACTGATGACATATTACACACTATACGAGTATTGACAGCAATTCAAAGTTGTCTCTTAGCAAACATTCTAGATTACGGAACAAACAATGATTGTAACAGTAGTAATATGGATAGTAATCATATGAATATCATAAAAATATTTTAGTTGGAACCTCTATCATACCCGCACATGTGGGGACGATCCACCGGCTTCAAACGAAAGTGGCTCAATACCGTTATGATACGAGTGACACATGTAATACCAAAGGTGTACGCACTTTCGTCAACAATATCCTCTACAAACTATACACCAACAATTGAAAAAAATTTGTTTACAGTTCTAGAAAAAAAGAATAAAACAATGAATTAATTTTTAAAGCAAAAAAGCAAATAACTTTTACATTATTTTTTATATAATTTGAATAAATAATCCTTTTTTCTCACTATTAAAATAATTTAAATTTTTTCTTATGATTTAATGAAAAAAATTATTATGTTTCATTTCAACAGATAATACCTATTATTTACAATGGAAATATTCCATATTTTTTGCTTGTTGAATAAATTGTCTTATTTCGTGAAAAATGCTTCCCTGTCATTACCATGATGGTTTATGTACTTTATTTGCGTGTTTTTGCTGACATTAAAAGTTAATGTATAAGCCTTTAGGACTAACAGACTCGTGAGAAATTTCTCAAGACAGTAGAATTATTAAACAATGAATTGTTTGCACAAAAACTTGTGATTTTCATTTGACTTTTGATTTATTCCAGATGGCCAGTTATAGAAATGTTTGGATATGCATGATAGTCATCAACATCATACTAAACACCATTTCTGCAACGCCTATGTATTTTTCACACATTTCACCAAATGGTAAATATAACCTTAAATAATAACCTATAATCTGAGATAATAGATTACTGTAAAGAAAGATTCTTAATGATATTTGAATTTTTTACGATTGATACAATGGTCAATTAATTAATGAAAAGTTATTTTGATAATTAATTAATTGACGGTAATAGATGTTAACTAATTAAATAATGAATCACGTTACCGTTGCGTGAAAGCAGCAGCGAGAAAGCACAAAAGAAAAGTAAAGACGGAAGGAAAACGCACGACATTGACCCTGTCTTATATATTATCAATCGTGGGCGGACTGGTCAGTGGATTTGCGCTCATCTAGGTTGCATTCGGTCAACGACACTTGCATTTTTATTTTATTCATCTTATTGTCCTCATTTCAAAACACTGATCAACGCTAGTCATTTTTTCATCATCATTTTGAACTTGAAATCCTTTTAGTTGTTTTCCATGAACAATCGGCATCTATTTTTGCTAGAAAAACACATTTAAACATTATTTAATATTTATTAAAAGCTAATTAATGATTCCTTTTAATAGATTGTATTAAATTTTAATAATATTATTTTCAAGTTTTATTCTTTGGATAAAAAAAAAAGATATTAAATAAAATTACAGTAAAAATCACTGCTGATTTTCAATAAAAAAATAATTCCAGTGGAAATTATTGTCAATAAAATGGAATGACAGATAAAATGGAGGAAATCATTTTGAATCGGATAAAACTGCAATTAAATTAACCACTTAAACTTTACCGTAAATAGTCAATTGTGTCATTAACATAATTAAATAAATTAGCATAAAAAGACATACCTTAGATATTTTTTCGGGTCAGTTAAATGATGATGAGTCACGAATTACGATGTAAGCAGTTGAACTGTCATGCGAAAATTTGTGTATAAGGTGGACTATCCAAAGAGTCAGGAAAGAGTAAACATCAATACGAAGGCGCCGTCACTAAGTCCCGTTAGCCTTCAATGTGTAAACGTTAGTTGTTCGATGTAGGTCACAGTCATAGCCTAATGTAACAGCTTGTTTCCCGCTTGGATTCCTTCATAATCTCAGTTTGCTCCACGACTTCCTCTCCCCTTGATTTTTGTTTCTTGATGACCGAAACGCGCCCTATGCATTCCTCAACAACTAACTCACGTCTACCTGCAACGAAACAGGTACTCCGATATCTGAAAATCAATGCAATCAATTCAATAAATGCCTGACAATTATTACAAAACAATTTACTATTAACAAGTAATATTTTTTTTAACTAATAAATTCAAAACATTCTTATAGATTCAGTTTTATTGGTTATGTAAAATAATAAACAAATAATTCATTGATCAAAATACATTTTTATTGTGCTTAATCTAAATTTCTAATGTTTCATTGGATTGTTCATTTTTTTCTTATGATCCATGGCGTCTCCGAAAGTAAGAATTAATCTAATGCCACTTGTATTCAAACCTATCATAATCTTGAACCAAAGACATTTCGTGAAATTCAATAAAATGTGTATTGCAAATATTTCAAATACTTTTTATTAATTAAATTAAACATTTTTTTGAGTACCGACATTTTTTTCTCAGTATTGATGTGGAGTAAAAGCCATTGTATAAACCATAATAATAAGCTACTTAATTTTTTCTAGAAATAAGCATCAACTTGAGAAGTTGATATTTTTAAGATTAGACAAATATCTCAGATCATAATCAAACTATTCAAGAAATACTTAAAAATTTTTGAATCAAAGTTCAATCAATTGAAGACAAATTGTAGATAACCGGATTAATTTTTCAGTTGTTTTTATCATTTTGTTTGAAAAAAAAAATAGATACAATTATATCTGATAATAGTGAATTATTTCAAAACTAATAAAGAAATTTTTTTTTCTAAAGTTAATTCAAGAAACATCAGACACTTGCCATGCGTGTCAGTGAGGACTGGTGAAACGGGGGTTTGCATGTTTGCTTTTGACTGTGTGAAGGCAAATGGAACGCATCTTGGTACCTGTCTAGACAGGTTTTACTTCGGGAGCTGCTGCAAACTTAATGACGAAGCTGAAGTGTCTCCGCAAGACAATACAATAGATGACCTTCCTTCAACGACATTTGCACCAACGGGCAAACCGATTGAAAGCAATGATATACCAGATTACTCAGTAAAACCGAAGCCAGAAAAGGTTCCTGAATTGTCATCAACATCACTGACTAGAAAGCCTATCATCAGCACTCCTTACACGACTACACAACGGCCTGTAGAATTTTCTACCTTCCAAACAGTTCAAGACAGTCATCGACCAGCTGCAAATACACCTAGTAGCTCATATGCTTCAACATCATCAACTCAATATCAAAAGGTCACGACGGTTACTGAATCTACCACAAAACGTACCGAAACGACTTCTTTCGTTAAGCCTCCCATCAGTTCCAGTTCAGTTGATGATAGAAATCCACCTGCTACTCGATTTCCACCAAGAAATGTTACGACAACCACTCAAGCGACAACTACTCGACGGACGACAACGAAAGCTCCTACGACAACGACACAAAAAATTTTGACAACATCAAAACCTACTGCGAATACTCAAAAAATATCAACGACAAATAAATATTCAGCAACCGTTTCAAAATTGACAACGACAACGACGAAACCATTGACAGTGGGAACTAAAAGACCCATTATCACTTCTTCTACATACACTAAAAAACCAACAAGTCCTCATAGAAAACCTTCGACAACACCAAAACCTCATACAAGTACAGGATCAAATATCCTAACAACTGGAACGACTAATTATACATCAACTCCAGTGACTAAGCCAACGAAACCAAGTTTAAGTAGTAATAGTAGTAGTGGTACAACAGTGACAGTTATTAAAAAGCCGATTTCGGAAAGTAGTACAACTACTCTGAGTAGTACAAGTCGATTTACGATAACACCAAGGCCAACAAGTGTAAAACCATTGATTACATCAACGCCAAAACCAAAACCCTCATCACAAACTATCGAAACTAGCACAAAGCCGATAAAGCCAGCTACTTGGACGACAATTCAGAGTACGGAAAAACCAAAACCAACTACGACAAGTGTTAAACCAACTTCAAAGCCTAGACCAACTGGAAAACCAGGGAAACCTACGAAACCTTCAAAACCAACTACAGGTATAAATCAAATATCTTATCGTGATTCATTTGATCATGTTTATTTCAATTTTAATATCTATTATTTTTCTATTAGCATCAACAAGTACGACAGCTGCATCAACATCAACAAGTGTTCCAAGTTCTTCAAGTATTGCCTATACGACTTGGTTATCAACACAGACAGTTAAAACTACTACTACTACTACGACTACTACGAGTAAACCAACAACAACGACAACAACATCAACAACAACAGAAGTGCCAAGTTCTGTAACACCAGGGCTGATAACTTGGAGTTCCAACTCTGATGATGAAACGACACGAACACCATCATCGACATCAACAACAACCCAAGAACCAGAAGGTGAGTCTACAAGTGCGGTATGTAGGTCAATCAGTGGTTGGTCTTGGTTAATATCAAGATAATATTCTGCTGAGACGCGGCAGGCATCGTAACGGTTTTAAAGTCCACCGTAATCTACTTCCTGTTCTGTTGGAATCCTGAACCTCTCGCTATCATTCATATGATTCACAGTTAATTCTTGAGATGTATGGTATTTTATTACCGTAATTTACTTAACCGTATCGATAAAAATCCAAACTAGATTTTATGGAGATCATTTTAATCTCAAATCTCGAACAAACTTTTTTTCAATACATGACTTAAAGACCTATAAAGAGAACGGTAGAGATTTTTTATTGCTTTATAAACACATTTTTTACATGTGATAATTGTACTAATTATGGAGTAAATTCTATTAAGTTTTTTTAAGATAAAAAATATGAAATTATTTTAAAATAAGAAAGATGAATTTTTTTTTAAAAAAAAACTAACTGCTAATGATTTTTAAATGTTAGATAAAAAATGATATAATTTATGATTACAACAATGGAAAAATCTCTTATTGGTGATGATCTTAGTTTAGATAAAAAAAAAATATCACTTTGTTTAAAGTTAAGGTAGTTTCATAGAAATTGAAATTAAAAAGTGTCTTCCTTCCAAATAGGATAGATCGACTTTCGAGATTGTATTAAATAATTTGGATTCTTAAAAAAAAAAAATAATGACTTTTGAATTGAAAACGAAAAAAAAAACTCGTTCTGGAAAATCGAAAGTTAAATTTACATAATAGATAAAAGTCTTTCATGATTCTTACATCAAGGAAAAGTCTTGACATTCGATTTCTTCCATCTGATAATTTTTTATAAGTTCATTGACTCTCATGAATGATTTTTAATTGATCGACACTTCCTCAATACTGAGTAATTATCATTATGTTGAATCATGAGCAATTGTAAGGTTAAATTTTTTTATCTGATATAATGATAAAAATCATATCTCAAATAATCAATCAACCAGCAAAATGATGATTCAATATTTTTCGTTGAAGTTATTGATGCGTGTTTCAGTTATAAATTTTTTCAATAGCTAAACTCAAATTAAGATGCTTTTCTTGAGATTTAATGATTGATATTAATTTGATAAATCATACAATAATTGTTAGAATATGTAGTAAATTAACTATAGAAATAGAAACCATTAATTAAAATAAAAAATTTTCCAGAAATAACTCAAACACAATGGTCTCCTCTAACAACACCTGATGGATGGGTAATGATTCAATCACCCAGCACGATGAAGCCAGGTATCCAAGAAGAACCAGTTACAGAATCAAAACCTACCAAATTGCCTCCACCTACAGGTAAACCATCTTATCTTGCATGATCTCTTTTTCCGAATCATTAATTTCAGATTACGTTTTAACACTTGTATTGAAATTTTGTAACTTTGAATAGTTTAAGGTTCTCATATTACATCTGCTTTTCATGATGATGCAACAGATTTTTCATTTGTTTACATTGAGGATCTTGAATTGAAAAAAAAGCTTAATTATTTTTTTCTAATGTTCAGAACCTTCAACACCTGCTTCAACAACAGAACGTCTATCGACAATGAAGCCAACTGTACCGACTGTGGTTTCAACACCTTCAAGCTCGATTTATCCTAGTCTACAAACAAGTACAGTACCTCCAGAGGAGTTCAGACCACTCAATATGTCCGACTATAGACAAGGTTGGTATAAATTAATTTATTTGCTTTTTATCAGCTGATGTTGAAGTATGTAGGATAGGTTTGATTCACAAGGATCTTGGTCTGGAAGGAAGAATAAAATAAAAAAAAAGATGAAGCAAAAAAAGTTGAAGGCATCAAGTAGAAGAAGAAAAGGAAGATAAAGAGAACGAGGCAAGGAAGGAAGGACTGGTAGATCCAGTCAGTTGTATTTAATACTTAGCTTGTTCTCCAATATGGCGATTGTAGATCTAAATGTTTGGAAAGGAATAAATACAACTTTTCTTATTCTTGCAGTTTGTGGACGACGAATGATTCCGGAATCACGAATTGTTGGTGGAGAAAGCAGTTCTTTTGGACGTTGGCCTTGGCAGGTATAAATTAAACACAATAAAAGGTTTTTAATTGATAAAAAAAATTGTTAGTACCTTTGAATACATAAAACAAAACTTTGAGTTTATTAATTTTATTAAAAATTCAACCAATAATGATGTTATGATTAAAAAATTGTGTAGAGAAACCTAAATTATAATTTATTTAATAACAAAATGATTAATAGCATGTTCTAGATATTTCTTATTAGAAAATGCAAAATTTTCTGCATGATACGTTTGATTTATTAATAATAGAGAGAAAATTGAAGTAATACTTTATTGGACCTATAAAATTAATTTATGTATGAAAAATGAGAGAAATTAAACTATTTTACTTCTAATGACTATAAAGTTAACTGGTAATAAATGAAAAATAATTTGCTTTCTAGATTTCCTTGAGGCAATGGAGAACTTCCGCATTCCTTCACAAATGCGGTGCAGCTTTGTTGAATGAAAATTGGGCAATAACAGCAGCTCATTGCGTTGAAAAGTACGTATTTATCTGTTATTACTATCATTACAATTATATAAAATAAAAAACTAGAACAAGGATAATATAATGAATAATAATTTTTCAGTGTTCCACCAAGCGACCTTCTTCTTCGTATGGGAGAGCATGATTTAGCAAATGAAGATGAACCATATGGTTTTCAAGAAAGAAGAGTTCAAATAGTAGCAAGTCATCCGCAGTTTGATCCAAGGACTTTCGAGTATGATCTTGCTCTCCTTCGATTTTACGAGCCACTTTTACCTTTTCAACCGAATCTGCTACCAATTTGCTTACCAGATGATGATGAGGGATATGTTGGTCATACTGCTTATGTTACTGGTTGGGGAAGACTCTATGAAGGTATAGAAATGAAAGAATAATATAAAATATTATTTTACAAAATTATTTTATGCCATGTAATTTTTTTAACTCTAATGAAAATGTTTTTCAGATGGACCACTTCCATCAGTCCTTCAAGAAGTTCCAGTACCAGTCATCAATAACACTATGTGTGAATCGATGTATAAAAATGCTGGATATGATGAACGAATTCCTCATATATTCATTTGTGCTGGTTGGAGGAAAGGTGGTTTTGACTCTTGTGAAGTAAGTATCTTGTTAATTCAAAATAATTAAAAAATAATCTAGTGATTTATTTTAAATTAAAATTAAATTTTATCAATCAGGGTGACAGCGGAGGTCCAATGGTGATCCAGAGACCACGAGATAAACGGTGGATCCTAGCTGGAGTCATCAGTTGGGGTATTGGATGTGCGGAACCCAATCAACCGGGCGTGTACACAAGAATTTCGGAGTTTAGAGAGTGGATTACCCAAATTCTCCAATTTTAAAAAATGAACGAATGTACACGGAAAAAAAACTGTGCCTGCAACAGGACTGCTTAGTGGTAGTAAGGTAACTGCCCTATTGCAGGCACAAAACATTGTTCTGTTACTGCAACAAAGCAAATCCTGTGGCAGTAACAGGATTATCCTGTGATAGGGGCAGAATTTTTGTGTAGCAAAAACGGGATTATCCTGAAACCGTACGAAAACTTATCCTGTTGCAGAGACAGGGTATTGCTTTTTTGTAATAATAGTATAAATATGTATTATAGTAATAAATAATAATATGTATTATTATAGTATTTAAATTTGTATAAAAACAATCATAATGATAAAATGAAACATTCAAGTTCAAATTGAATATTTTTTCGAACAACAATAATGATTAGGATTTGACAATTTCTAATTATCAATTCAATTAATAATGAATTTTATTTTTTAATTCTCATTAATTAAATTGATTTAAATAAAATTAAAATTCACATAAAATAAACAAAAAATATTTGTGCAATACTTTTTCGGAATTATTATTATTACTGATATTATTATATTATTGTTGAGTGTATTGATTATTGTTAAAACAGGTTGTGAATGAGTGTTTTTTTCCGTGTATGACAACAATTAATGATATTTAGCAATGAATATTCTGAACATTCAGCTTTAAATCTACTTGATGAATGATAGGATATGAGCTCAGTGAAATAAAAGAAGTAATAATGAAAGAAACTTTATTAATAAATAAGAAAATCATTGCATATAGGCTCATTATGTCGATCAATTATCAGTGATATCAACGTATTTATTAACGAAAAATCTAGTATTAATTTATGAAGAATGAATTTGAGAATTAATGACTCATAATTTATTAAAAATAAATATAAAAAATGTTAAATAAAAAAATATAGAACAATTGATAAATAGATTATTTTATATATCAATTAATTTAAGTTTTATTTGCTGTCCAATTATCGCAAATGTTGTACATAATAATTGTAGTCCTTAAATATTGTATTTAAAATTTTTACATTTATACTTAAAAATAAAAATCAACTTTTAGCAACAAATAATTATTTAGATATATATTTTTTTTACTCTATCCATTGTTAAAGAAATATTAAAAATCTTTTTTTCTTTAATTTAAAAATCAATAGAGTCAATTCCAGATCAGAATACATTGTTTTGACAGTTTTAATAATTACAGAAGCTGAAATTGAAACTTCATTTATTGAATAATGAATGAGAAGAAAGCCTTTTGTATTATTTTTAATAAAAACAAAATGACAAATGTTTCTGTCGTTATAGAATTTGAAAACATTCTATAGTATAAAAAAAAAGTTTTAAATATCATTCACCAGATTTAAACATATCCTTGCTATGCATTGTTAGAGATTGTATGAATGTTAATTAAAGTGCTGAAGCAGTTTACTGCCACAAAAGAACATAAAATAATATTCAAATGGCTTTTCAATGAACACTCTGATTTAATGTGATGAAAATAAAGCTCAGATGTTAAACTATTAAATAATTAAAATCTAAGCTGATAAAATTATCAAATCTATCTCTAGGATGTTCTTCTGTTTATCTATCATGTCACTTTATTGCTAAAATAATTAAATTTTTTTAGCTTCTAAAAAAAAACGGAAAATACTGAAAAATATTCTATGCAAGTTTTTAAACAATAATAAAAAAATATTATTGATAGAGATTCAATCCGCCCACTGGTTATTTGCAATAAATACACTCAATTCAACTTTATTTACTCTTTGAAGAGAAAATTCTTTTGGTGTACCAGAATGTAAATATGTAATAATATTGACAATCTAGGTATACATATATTTTATTTGCCATTAGAAATATTTTAAACACACCTCCAGTACATGATAGAAAACCATGTATTAAAATATCGTTAACTATGAACTAGCAATGAAGTCAATTTAAATATTCATGGGCTGCAGCATAATTGATAGTATATAAAATATAAAATAAATTTATGTTGCTATTCAATAACGTCAAAATTCATTACGAAGATGACTTCATCAACAGCATCTCATTTATTGGCTCGTTTACCGACTTAAAGATTGGAAAAAGAATAATAAAAATCACCAGAAATCAACTTAGTGTTCAGATCATTAAAATAGTTAATATAAACTTCAATAGAATTTTTTTTATTGTCGAGAGTATTCTGCAAAAAATAATTGTTTTGACCTAGAAATCATGGTGGAAGAGAGACGACCCGGTTATTTTTTCAACTCCTTCTTCCATTCTGTTTGACATCCGGCCTTTAAGAAGAAATAAGAGATACGTGTCTCTCAATACAACTAGGATTAATAAGATAAAATACATGATTTCCTTCTAATATCAGTGGTATCACGTTCCACGTACATGTAAAGAATATTCCTGATTACAATATAATAAAAAAAATAACTTTATAATAAGAGATTAAAAAAAAATGCTATGAAAATTACGGGTGTGACGGTCTATGGATGTTACTGGACCGGGTTAAGTAGCTTTGGTGAAAGTAGCAGTCGACTTTGCGACACTATTTTGCCCACAAAAATCAATTGAACGCTATAATAAATTGCTTCATGTTTGGGAAGATAAAAATAATGTAAAATAGAAAATTGAATATCAGTGCACTAGTAATAAAGCTATTTGACATAGACACTTTCTAATGAAATAATCGATACATGACATCAATTATTTATTTTATTTAAATTATGCAAATAATATAACATCATTTTATCATTTATGTTTTATTATTCAATTTTTTTTTATTGATAAGCATTATAAAAAGGTACTTGTTAAAAAATTTTAGATTGGACATTTTTTTTTTTTTTTTTAATTAAAAAAATATAAAAATTCATAGTGTTAGATTTCAACAGTTTGCACCATAAAGTTATTTCACCTTTGACATTTCATCCGAGAACAATCGTTAAAAGTTAGTGGAGACAGAAAAAAATTTGTACTAAAGCAGTAGATTTTTTTTTTTTTAAATGACAAAGGTAGTAAAGAATAGTTGAAACATTTTAAAACATCATAAAATAGAATAAAAAATTTTTAAAAATTAACGAAAGATCAAATATTTAATTTTAATGTTTAAAAGTAGAATATTTTATTTATAAATATTTTTAAAATTCTAAAAATGATAGAATAGAAAGCTATTTCAAAGAATTTATAAAAATTTCTTAGATAAAATAAAAATTAAATTTTATACTAAAAATAAAATAATTTTATGATTTCATGATGTTATAGTTTTATTCAGGGATAGACATTTATGAACAATGTCCTGATTAATAGACAGTAAAATTTATAATTCAATAAAACGTAAAATAATTTTTATACCAAACAAATTGATTTAATCTTATGTGATTGATTTCAAACGGTTTGTTGATTGGTTGGATGACCTTTTTTAGTAAAAAAAATTCACAATCCTTGTGTGTAGTATGGTGATGATAATGTTACGGTAAATTTGCTTATACCACTCTACTAAATTAACCAACAGCTTCATCGTATTCCTTATAGCCAAACGACATTGGAAGTTTTATCTATGCTTTTACGGTAACTTCTGCTCTATAATTTTTTCCATACAACCATGAATTAAATTAATACTAATAATACCTTCGAAAGTTTGATTACAAAGTCATAGACAATTCAAACTAATCTCATGAAAATTTTTGTTATAGATTTCATTCAAACTTTACCAGTAAAAATAAATTTATTTGCTTCAAGGATGAATGTTTAATATGTAAAAAGATTGCTTTTTAGCTTCTTACGTAGGTGGACCAATTTCACTATGAAAAATGACCAGACATCAAGTAAAAGCAATATCTTATTCATTGTACTAGACTATTTTGAATCTCATTAAAACATTAGTAAGTAATTTAACAATATAATTTTTATTATTCTAAAAAAGTTAAATCTTCTAATGACATAAAATTTTCATATTTAATCAAGCAATATTGAAAAGAAAGAAAGTATTTCATTTATTTGCAATACTCTTTCAACTGTGTATCATAAAAATGCAAAAAAAAAATAATTGTCACTCATTAAAAATGTTCTCAAGATAAAATGAAATTGAATGTTTTCAGTAAAAATAAAACTATCCTACTTCTTCATGGTAGAATAATCATAAGTCGTAGAAAACTAACAATAAATAATAGAGCAATGAATTTTAAAATGAGAATGAATGTAAAAAGTATTTGAAATGTTTTAAAAGAATATTAGAATACAATTAAATGATAATATCATAAAATTATTCATTCTGCATGATATCCAAGTTATTCCATAAAACCACAAAAAGTAGCCAATAATTAATAACGTCTATTAACTTTCATTTAATAATTAATAAGTCTTAAAAGTATTCAAAAACTTGTTCTAAAATAGAGCAACTTTTATAATAGAAAATTAATAAGTGTCATTTAACGACTTTTATTGGTACATTACAAATCCTATTGAAAAATTGAAAGCAATTCAAACTGTTTAAAAAAAGACCTTTATATCTTTTTTTTTTTTATACTTCTTATGAGTTTACGGTATTTTTATCCGGATCTTTTATGACTTATTAAGATCCATGATCGATCGACTTTTCAAGGAAGTCTTTCGTAAGACTCATCTATTGTGTTGAACAAATCAAATTAAATTCTGAGGTGTCTACAGGGTAGGTCTAAACCCTGGTGCAGCGCCTGCGACCCTGGCCCGGAGTTGTATTTGCTGGTGGGAGCTCTATCGAACCACCCCTACTACTTCAAACAATCCTACACGTCCTTGCTGATACATTATCCTTTAATCCTTCCACTATACAAAGAGCTAACCGGTCTTCTTTGGTGAAACGTGTCTTGCTGACTTGAAGAAACTTCCTTGATTCAACACCATTTTTTCAGCATACCCATTTGCATTCTTTTCTTCGTTGGAATTGATATTCATTCATCGATCTCCAAGCTCTTGGAATAATTTTCTAAAAATAAAAATAAATCATTTACATTTAGAATATTGTTTTAAAATTAATAATATAAATAGATGGTAGAATTAATTTAATTAGATTGTGGTTCTTGTTAATTTCTGGTTTAATAAAGTTTATTTAAATTTATCTTATTCATGAAGAATAAATTAATTTAACTGTTTCATTTGAAAATAAAATATAATTATCACCCTTTTTTTTTATCTATAATTTATATTATTAAATTATAAAATTTTGAATTTGATATAATTCATAAATTAATTACGTATATTTTATGTAATACAATTAATAAATATTGCATTATGAGATAGAATATTTACTAAGGATTTTAATGTAATGAGTATTCGAGTTTAATTCAAAGTGTTTTAGCCTAAGTAAAGCTAAAAGTTAATTATGTTATTGACAAGCGTTCGATTGCAATCAGTGGTACAAGGTTATTTGTAAACAAACTGTATTGTGATTTGAAATTCCAAATACGTTTAACAAAATCAAATTTAAAATAAGCAAAAATATCAAAAATGATTTAATAATGTGATAAAAAAAAATTCATAAATAAATTTAACCTCAAAAAGGTCGATGGAAATGACATATTTAATTCAATTGAAGTGTTTTTTAGTGGAAAATAAATTTCCAATATCAATTTTATGGAATAATAATTTAATAAAAATGAATAAAAAATATATAGAAACAGTTTATTCTATCAAAAGCAGATGAGGGTTAGATAAAAATGTAACCTTAAAGAGTATCATGAAATCTCATTTTTCCACCAATCACAGCAATATTTTACCTTTCTTTAATTAATTGAGAATGCAATAATCTAAGTAAATACAAGAATTATAAATCAAGTAAGTAAATAGTAGAGTAAGTAGATAAAGAAATATAGCATGTACATTGCTATCTGATCAAGTTTTTCCTAGGATAATATTGAAAGAAGTAAAAAATGAGAGTTGGAGCACAAGAAAATGTTTGGATATGTTTGAATGCTAGAAGGACCGTTATCGATTACGCATTCCTTTGGCTACCTATCACCACCTGTATTATACTGAATGATGGTAATGCTCCAAAGAACACAATGAGTGAGCCCACGTGACAATTTGAGAAAGCTTAGCTAAATAACTTATGACACTGAACCATTTCGTTCTCCAGGACTATCAAAATTCACTACACTCCATGTCTTGACTCATAAATTAAGTGAAATGTGTCTTGGCATTCTGCCCTAGAAACATTAGCATACCTTACTGGCCTTTGGTGCTGACATTTAGCCGAGTTAATAAATTGATTAAGTAGTTTTGAACAAAGTTTACATTATTATCAGCTACTGTAATTGAAATACATTATTTAAACTGGGAAGCTCAGGATGAATGAAGCTTATGAATAAAACTTCTTAAATTTTTTTTTCCTAGAAATGATCTCTATGGGAAAGTATGAAAGCATCATTTTTGTTTTATTTTTATTCTTTAGAAAAGAGTTCATTTTCTATTGTGTTTAACTTGAATTAAAGTTTTAATGAATAGCAATATCTTCTTGAATTGGATCAAATAATTTGGTTATGATAGATAATATTACAAGTTTTGAAATAACTTTAGTAATAAAAATTTTTTATATTACATTTTATTCATAAAAAAACAAAATAAAAATGTATTTACATTTGAATTTTATTAAATATTATTATGAATAATACCGATTTTTTATACCATTAAATTCTTCATTAAGGAAAGTATTGATCAAAATAAGATAATATAATGAAAATATCTCTATTTTCTCATTAAAATTTAATAAGTTTAATTTATTTAATTACATAAAAAAAAATAAAATATCTTATTTTACAAAAAAAACTTTACTGTAAAAAATATTTAGTTTCATAGAAGAAGAGTTCTGGAAGATTAAATTTCATCAAAATTTGATCTCAGCAAATTTGTAATTTCTAGTTTTTTTGAAGCAGATTTTTTTTTTCTACATTGGACTGATTCTACTTCATACTTTATAATCCTCTAAAAGAGCAATGAAAAGCTTCAATGAAATCCTTGTTAGCAGAAAACTGAAATTCAAATAAAAAATTAATTTCAATATTAAAATTAATATACCTCGAGTAATAAATAGCTAGAGTGAAACTAATCACAGAGATTAATAAATAATTATCCAACGACAAAGATCGAAATTCCATGATGAGTAATTGTAAGTTTTGTTCATTACATAGTTTGTAATATAATTGAGTATGATGAGTATATTACACTACATCACTATGCTATATTAACGCTACGAGTTCTGATTACGATGACGGTCGAGGTAGTCGGAAGTTGAAGCCTTGGAGAGGCCATAGAGTGCAGATTACCTGGCAAAAAATTGTAATGCACGCGCGTCGTACATCGGAAACGGTTTCCTCAATGGACATAACGATCATGAGGAGCTAAGAGCGATGAGTAGGACAGTGTGTCGCTGTCGATGCTGCTCTCTTTCTTCCGCGTATGACCTGGCCACTGGCCCACTTTGGTTTCTCCACTTTTTTATCCCTCCCAAAGTCCTCTTCTCCCCTCCTGGCAAATGAGTTTGTCACTTGTAGGTCTTTTCTTTCCCTTTCCAATGTCTTCCGGGTCCTCAGCAGCTCTTCAAACCCATGCATCCATTCTCCACTTGCCCACCACCATCACCAACGCGTGAATCAATCTAAGAGGGGATTAGGACCCAAGTAAGCCCAAGCAACGTCCAATCTCATGACTTTGCGATGCATTCCCGGCACATGCCATGCCGGTCAGACGAGTAAAGTCCACTTTGCCAGCCGGATGGATCGATAGTTGATCCGTGATCGGTCCAGTGTTGTTTATCATCTAATTTGGTGGACCTTCTTTTTTGACTTGATCATAATAATGATTTAAAAATCATCATTTAATTGGTGTTGACCTTTTTGTTTATTGTTATTGTTTTAATCACTATTGACCAGTGAAGTGCTGAACAATTTTGACCATCGCTTCGCTGATATATCAAGATTTATCTAATAAGTTATGTAACGATTGTCACTGAGGAATTGTTATCAAACGATCAGTTAATATTGATAAGGGTAAGTCACTAAATTTGGTTTATTGGTTTCTTCACAGAAAATTAATCAATAATTAGACAATAAAAGGAAGAAGATCTGTTATCAAAAAAAAAAAAGAAGATGAGACATCAACAGAGACAGAAAAAAAGTCGTTTTGTCCCACTTTTAAAAATCAGGTTCTCACAAGTTCGTGACCGGTCGTTTCTTTCCACGGTCAAAGAATAATGCGAGACTTATGAGAGTTCTTTAGCCTCTAAATTGAAGGTATAGCAAAGATTCCCACGTGTTGAAATGAAGCAAGGTGCCGTTGAGCACACAAGAGTATTTGATCATGAGCGTTAACTCAAGATTGCTAACGGTCCAAGACTTACAAGAATGACTTGCTTAGAAGCAAAAGAAGAAGAGGAAGAAGAAGAAGAAGAAGAGTCCAAGAGTCAAAGGAGTCAAGAAAAGTTGTTTTCTTTTATTTTTATGTATACGTCTGAAAGCACCTGGAAGTCATTTAATCACTTGGCTAATGGCTGCAATAAATCTTATAGAAAGTGAATACAATGCAGAAAGAAAGTCAAATTAGTCAAGTGAAAATAGCACTGATTTTTGTCGCTAGTTTATTAACATTTTATGGCAAATTAATGTCTGAAAGATAGAGTTAGGAAATGAGGAAGAGAGAGAAAAATTGGTGAAGAATGTACGAGAATGAGGAATAATCGTGACTCAGGGTGGGAACAATCAGGTCACCCAGATTGCAAGTCGGACCGGCAACCAAAGAGAATCAAGAACGAGCTTTCTCCGCAATGAGAGATGCAATGTACATTAATTCAAAAAACAACTAACCTATTTGTAGTTATATTATATTGGATGCGTACTGATTATTTTGACAATAGCTGTTGATATGTAATGCATATCGCTACATCATTTAGAAACACTAATAATGCATTGTAATCATGCAAACGATCCTTGAGAAAGGAAAATATCATCATCAGGTCTTGGAACAATACTTTTCAACACCTTCATTCACAACGTATATTATTATATATATAATACATACATTAAAACAATTAGATACAATTTATGTTAAAAAAAAAGCTTATAAATGTTGTTAATTTTAGAAAAATGGTTTAGTATTTTTGTATGTGAGAATTTTTTTTTATTAAGTAATTGATTCGTTTAATGATGGAAGAAATGTTTTTTACTAGAAATGTTTTCTCTAGAATTTCCTTTTCGTTTGAAAAACATTTTTCCATTCGATTGAATATTGATGTCAGTGAAATTTTGTCACAGAGAAAATAAAATTGATCTTGAAATAATTTTCAGATATAGTTACTTGGTTTTCAAAATATCAAGACTCACTTATGATAACAAGAACATTACAATGGAATTGGAAATTTGATGTATATATTTGGAATAATATTTTTTTTTTAAAATGATGGTATCATATGCAAGTGGAAAAAATTATGTGTTTTGTTACAATCAGATTCTAGAATCAATAAAAACTTGAATCCTCTGATGAAAACAAGTTTGAAGATTGGAATTGAGATAAAAATATTACGATCCTATTATTATGTTTGATTAATTACAAGTAAAGAATGAAAATTAGTTATAAAAGGAATTTTAAAACATTATTTATCTGACGTGCGTTGATAATTTCATTCTTTAAAACTAAAATTAGAATAGAAAAACAAAAATTGACAAAAAACCTTTTTTATTCATTCATATAATTGGAAAAATATTCCATGTAAATTTGTAATAAGGAAATTTAAAATTTATTATTAGTAAAAAGATTTAATTAACGGTAAAAAAATAACAGTTAAGCATCAATATTCATGGTTGTGTACAAAAATGATTCTCACTTAATAATCAAAGCTAATAATGTTCATGCTAAATAAACTTGATCAATGTTGAACTATTGGAAAGCATATATACTTCATTTGTTTATTGAAAAATTATTGATGTCCATGTATTTATATTTAAATAGCTTACATACATCAGCTTGAACATTATTTGTAACTAACACAAAAGAGAGAGGGGATTCATTCATTATTATTCCATCATCATCTTGAAGCTCAACTTGGATTAGTGTATTATCTGTAAAGAAAAAGTGAAAATTAACTGACAGAAAATTATATATTTTTATTTAGAAAAATATTAAAGCTATATTAAATATTTATTTTCTTATTTCGTTGATTTAAAAATCTATAAATAAGTAATACAAAAAAAATTCATAGATAATTACCACCTATTTATTATTATTTATTTATTCACTAGAAATTGTTATCGGTAAAGATTCTTTCCGTTTGTTTGTAGCTAATACAATTCTGTTGGTAAAAAAAAGTCGTTAATTACCAGCGCATTAGAGCTCACGTCAAAGCTAATAAAAAGTAAAACATGGAGTAAATATTTCCGATTTACTTTATCATATATACAATCTTTGCTTCTGTGTATTTATTTAGCATCCTATATATGTCATAGTGTTCACTGTAGCGGGCACTCGCGGTTGGATAACGGGATTCCAGAGCCTCGCATCAAGTGCGTGCGTGAAACTCTGGCTATATCACGCATTAAGCAAAAATGGCCCTGCTATGGTCATGGATTACATTAATTATACGTCTCTATCACTAACTCAACTCTTAAGTATATAATTAATCTTCAGAATTCTTTTTCTTTATCTTTGCAGATGGAATCTAGGAAATATATCTTGCTGTTAGCATATCTGACAATAATCTCTGGCTTTTCAATCTCTGACAAAGATCACAGTCGAGGTAAATACAATGTCACGAACATGAGACGAATTGAAAGTCTGACATATTTTCTATTCAACCGCATTAATAATAATAATTTGATTGTTCTTTAGGTCGAAAACTCTTTGGAGGCTACAGAATAGTGCCGAAAGTGTGCCAGCCAACAAGCCCCTCTAGGATACAGTCAAATCAGCCAGCCATTTGTATGTTTAACTATGAATGTAGTCAAAGGAATGGCCAAGTTGTTGGTGCTTGTATGGATGGTTTTCTTTTTGGAGCCTGTTGCCAACTTCCACCAAACTATCAAACCAGTGAAATTCTTCAAGAGCAATTTAATTACTCTAAGATTCCAATGACTGAAACAACCAACTCACATATTACAACAATACAAACAACTAAACCACCATCTCCAGTTCACCATGAAGATAACAAAAACATCTCTCAAGTTTTCACTTCTCAAGATATCGATGATCTTTCAATACCAGGGATTATTACTCATGCTGATTCCCACAATGATTTACAAGAGAAAGAATCGCCTGAAGTGAATCCAGTAACGACTTTCTTACGACCAGATCAGATCTTGCAAATTTCAGATCCTGTTGATCAACTTCCTGGACTTTTTTCCCAAGGAATAGGAGCTAGTAATTTTTCTGGAGCTGATACCGTTTTAGTTGATAAAAATGGCACAGTAATTGATAATAAAATAAGTTCTGACTCAATATTCAGGCCTGACAATAGAAGTACTTTGGGTCCAAATTATTCCGTGAATTTTGCAGGAAGCACAACACGAATGCAACCATCGCAATATATGAATACCAATAAGATCATTGATTCAACAACGATTCCATCAACCTCCGGCCTCGTTCGAGTGCCAACAATTAATTACGGGACACCAGTAGGAATAAAAAAAGATGACGATGATGAGTTTACTAAAAATGAAATGTCTATCAATCATATACTTACTCTTCTAAATAGTAGCACACCAAATGCTGGATCTCCGACTCATGTTACTCAGCAAATACATTCTACTAATGGTGGATCGTCTGTTCAATCATGGTCGGCAGTAGAAAACACGTCCAAGCCGTCAACTGCTAAATTAACATATCCTTATACTTATTATAAGCCTGTAACGAAGCCGACCAATTATTATTACTATAATACTGGTTCTCCGACATCTTCATTTAGTACATCAACTAAAGCTAGACCAACTAGACCGTCAAACTTGGTATTTTCTAGTGATTATAGTCCTAAATATCCAAGTACTGGTTCTTCTTCATCATCGACTTACTTCTTATCAACAAAACCAACAACGTTACCTCCTGCTCCAACAGTTATTGTCCTTGGACCACTTGGTACCAGTGATTTCACTTCAGCAACTACACCAAAATTTACAACTAAACAACCACTTACTACTACTCCAAGTTCAGCAAAGCCTTCACTTTTGACCAAAAAACCTCCTCAAGCAACGATTACTCACAATATTAGTACAGTTATTTCCACTGATAGCTCTGCTGACACTTCAGCCACCAGTAACATTATTTCCACAAGTTTTATTAATGTGAAATTTAAAGACACCAGTACATCCAAACCTGCTGAAGCTTTGCAAAGTGTAGTACCAACTAAAAAACCATCAACAGTCTGGACGACATTATCAACTTGGTCAAATAAACCAAGCTTCCAGCTGAGACCAGGACAACCTGATTTTGCTTGGCCGGATACTAATTTCACACCTATTCAAACGATTGTTTTACAATCATCTACTAAGCCGGTAAACTCACCATCATCAACTGAATATAATGTTGATGATGATAGAACAGCAGCTCCTGATGAAATGAGCAATTTTCCACCGGATCGGAATCCAAATTTAACAAATTCCACTCCAATTTCTCAAGCTGAAAAGCCAACGATTGTTGAAAACGGTTATCCAGCGATAGAAATAATTGGTGAAAATGAAATTCCAACACCAAGTTTGATCGAAGACGAAGTTTTGACAAATAAAGTTGATGACTTTGTCAATAAAATAGTAGACTCTCTTCAAGATAATTTCCAAGATTTAAAAGACATTGTTTATAATAAGAAAAATATATCTGCAGTTTCAACTTCTTCTCCAGCACCATCAGCAACTAGAAAACCGACAACAGTGAAAAGGCCAACACCAAAACCATCTAGTACCAAGAAACCGCCAACAAGAAGGCCAACAAGTTCACCGAAACCTGGTACAGCTCCAAGTTCGGCAAATAAACCAGTTAAAGTAACAAGACCAGCTAAACCAACTAGTACTACTGCCCCACTAAGTGCTGGGGTTATTACAAAGAGGCCATCAGTTTCTTCTAGTTCACCAACAAGCTCCAAAAGACCTAAGCCGACGAAAAAAGTAACCACTACTGTTACTCCAACTACAACAGTAGAAATCAGTTCGGTTTCAACCATTCAAATTCATCATAATGAACCTTTGAATGAACCCACCCAAGGAACAACCAGAGCTCCTGATTATCGTCGAGGTAAAATATTTTTTCATCAGATCTAATATTAATACTTTTGATAATACCATCAAAGTCAATTGTATATTTTTTAAAATTATAATAACGCATTCTAAGTAATATAAATGAAAGTTGTTGGAAAAAGCGTTTTTTATTTTTCTACTTGTTAGCTTTGATAAGTTTACGACTCAACTAATTGTTATTTTATGCTACATGCTATTATTTTGTAAATCAATATATTGATTATCTGTCACGATAGCACAAATGTTTTAAAAATAGTGTAAAATCCGAAATAAATATTGTTATATTTCACAGGTATCTTTGTGCTATTTGAATAACTATACATTTTATTTTTTATATAGACTGATAAAATAAATTGTTTCAATTCTAGAACTTTTATGACTCTTATAAAATTTTCGTTTGAATAATGTATAAAGTAGATGTGCTTTTTGTGGCTACAATCAAATAAATTCTGATATTTTTAGCATAATAAAGTTTTCTCATTCTTTTTGCATTCCCAGTTTTTTTTTAAAGCTTTTTAAATTTTTTTTCTTCATATCAATAATTTTACTTTCAACTGAAATATATATTTTTTAGTAAATATTTTTTTGTTTAAAAAAAGAGTATTCGCGTGTTTGAAAGTAATGATAGGTTGAGCTAATATAGATTGTTTTTATCTGTTCTGAACAGAATGTGGGGTAAGACCGTTAGTTCAAAGAGCAAGAGTTGTGGGTGGAAAGAGTGCAACATTTGGTGAATGGCCTTGGCAAGTTCTCGTGAGAGAAGCCACATGGTTAGGATTGTTTACCAAAAACAAATGTGGAGGTGTACTGATTACAGACAAATATGTGATTACTGCAGCACATTGCCAACCAGGGTAAGCAATCATTTTACAACTTATTAATATACTTTTACAAATACAAGAAAAAAATTAGTAATAATTAAAAAGTATTTGATCTCACTCACCATAGCTGATAATTGTTGTTATTTTGCAGGTTTTTAGCATCATTGGTTGCAGTATTTGGTGAATTTGATATCTCTGGTGAATTAGAATCCCGTCGTAGTGTTTCTCGAAATGTCAGAAGAGTAATAGTACATCGAGCATATAATCCTGCAACATTTGAAAATGATTTAGCAATTCTTGAATTGGAATCACCAATTGAATTCGATGCACATATTGTTCCCATTTGTATGCCTGAGGATGGAATTGATTTTACTGGAAAGGTGGCTACCGTTACTGGCTGGGGCCGTGTTAAATACAGTAAGAACAATTATTTATTCATTCAATTACCTCTTTAGTTATAATTCCCAAGTTAATTAATCAGAATTCACAAAGAATTATGCTTAACACATGCTTTTAACAATATTAAATAACCTTTTTATATTGAAAAATTTATTTTTATAAAGAATTGAATATTTTTTAAATAATTTCACTTAAACTAATGGTATTTTATATATAAAAAAATATATTATAAAAAACTTCACTTAAGAAAATTGCTAATATCCTTATTTTTATTCTCTTAATTATCTTTTTAAAAAAAATGAAAACGATTGGAGAGAATTAGTAATTAAAAGTTTTAAACTTCTTTAAAATGAAGATAATTTTCAACGTAATTAAATATCAAAATTGAGGAGATAGAGCTATTAAGATGAAAAAAAAATATTTCAAGTGTATTTTCTTGCTTCTTCTTTCTACTAGATGGTGGAGTTCCATCCGTTCTTCAGGAAGTTCAAGTTCCAATCATAGAAAATTCAGTATGTCAAGATATGTTCCGGACAGCAGGACACTCGAAGCTTATTCTTGATAGTTTCCTCTGTGCTGGATATGCTAATGGGCAAAAAGATTCTTGTGAGGTAAACACATAAGATATTGAATTTTAAATGGAAGAAACAATTACCAATTATGTGATCTTTAATTAAAATGGAAATCTTGATATCTTTAGGGTGATAGTGGTGGACCTTTGATGATGGAGAGACCTGATGGAAAATGGTTTCTTGTTGGGACAGTATCTCATGGGATTAAGTGTGCTGCTCCATATCTTCCTGGTGTCTACATGAGAACAACATATTTCAAACCTTGGCTCCATGCTGTCACAGGCGTGTGAGAAATAAATTAGATAGAACAACCCAACTTCTGAAACAGTATAAAAAATTTATTACAAGGGAAAATTAAAAGCTGTAAGAGAAGTTAAAAGGAAGATATTTATATAGATTTATAAACAATTGTACAAAAAATTTATTTATATAATTATTGATCAATGATCAATAGAATTAATCAATTTATTCGAAGAAGACCATCAACATGAAAATGTTCTGTTGGAGTTGAAGCAAGGAACTTTCAGAAGGGAGTTTTAGTAATTATATGATAATATTCATTTTTTATTTCAACAAAAACTAGAATTATCGTTATAATTGACGTTCATTGGGAAAACTTTACAAAAGTGGTTCTTTTAAGAATAGATAAAAACTAGAGCCTTTCAAATTCGATTGATCCAAGACCAAATTGATTTTTAAACAATTATTTATCAATCGAAATGAAACAATATTATTATTATGTCTTATTTATATCAATAACTTATTTATTTATTTATTTAAATAAAGAATCCATATAGAAATTCCCAGGGAATATTAAATGATCGTTTGAATAGGGGAAAAATAATAATTAACCTTTTCAAACGATCAAAAGAGTAATTAAAAAATGAATTACAGTATCATTTATTTATGAAGCGAATCAAAGTAAGATGAATTGGCTCGCTAGACTAACTTTGTAAATAATTAACCTATGTAGATGTAATTTATAATATAATAATTGTAAAAAAATAATTAAAAGTAATATTGTAAGTTAATTATTTATTATCCTGATATTGTTAATTTATTTATTATGTAATTAAATAATTAAACTGATATTTTTTATATGAATTAACGTGTATTAATTGTTGGGTTGCAAAAAAAGTTACCCTCTAACAATGATTATAAGTTTGATTTAACTTCTATCTTATGATAAGGTATCTGAAGCTTAACCTTGACTTCAACACATTTATGCATTAGATGGAGAATTGAAAAAAATAAGAATAAAAGGTTAAATAAATCTAAATGTAAAATTTCATGTATAGGTAAGTAATGGGCCACTTGAGTAATCAGATTGCTTCATGTTACATGAATATATATCTAAAATGACCGGAAACACGAACGTGTGCGCGAGATGCTTTGCGATCAATAACAAGAACAAGTGCGATAGATTCATTTGTAACATTGGGTGAGAAAAGAGAACACGAGATACCGCCCACGTTTAAAACTCTTACGCTCGTGCTTTCATATTACGTCATTTGATTTCGTATCTATCTGAAAAACATAGAAACTTTGATAGAAGTTATTTCCACCCCCCATTGTTTTTTCAGAGGGAAACAAAAAAAAAGATTTGTCTCGAAGATGATGAACAATTATTTTTAAAAATTGGAGAAATTAGATAAGAAGTTGATAAATAAGACATCTTAATATTTATTTTTTTTTGAATAATTTAAAAAATACTAATGAATTTTTTATTTTAATTAACGAGTTGGAATTTTTAGGTTATGTTTTGAAAAAAATATTTTTGAAATATGATGGAAATTTATTTTACCGGAATTTTTTGATAGATATCTTGAAAGATTGAAGTCACTTTTCAAGTGATATTTTTTTTAAATTATCCATTTTTTTCTTTTTAAATTAATAGTTTAAATTTTGGAGTATTGCAAAAAAATTTTATCCACATTGAAATAATAAAAAAAAAAATATGTGATATAAATTTTGTTGAAAACTATTAGTTAGACTTTTATGTTTGAAAAATGAACATGTTTATGATATATTTTATGGTGTATCCATTCGAAGCAATGAGGGGTGAAGAAAAATCTTCAGATAAATTTTCCAGGTGAAAAATTTTTTTATGGCTGGAAAAAAAATACTTGATCATTATTTTAATGCTTAATAAAAGTTTCAGAAAAATAAGTGGCGTCATTAGGGGGGAAAATGGTGAATTTTTCTACGCATGCGTGAATTATTTTATCCCCACAAGTAGAACTCTTATCACAAACGCAGTCTGATAACCCCTGTTCAGTTTTCTCCAAACATCCAGGACGAAAAGTCTGTAGTACCATCTATCCTCATTCAATAGCCATCAATTTGTTTATTAACATCAATAATAAAAACATTTTATTTCAAACATTTGAGTTCTAAAAGAAGATTAAATCATTTTTAAATACAAATCAATAAGTGCAAAAGGTAACTTACCTTAATCTAAATTACCAAAAAAAAAAAATTTTATCTTAAAAGCAAAATTTGATAAAACAATATTCTTCTAGAAAAATGGCTGATCCAAGGTACAAATTTAGCTCGATGCTTTGTGTGATTGCTGTCTTGATGTGCTTAGCAGAGATGCAGGGTCAAGTTGAGGCTTGGGGTGGCGTATTCAATCGTTTCTCCCCGGAGATGCTTTCTAACTTTGGATACGGAAGTCACGCTGGAGGCTACAAATCCTCTTATCTCCAAGTAAGTGATACAAATCGATTCTATATTAATACTTTCTTTCTTCAATTCTACTAAAACATCATAACGTTAATCCTCATAACAAAAATGTGGTCAAGAAACCAGATTACTTAATCAAGTTTTATTAACATCCCTCTATATAAAAATGAACGTGATGCTAGATTTAATGTTTCATTCTTCTTCATATTCTTCTGAACCTTTCTAACATTAAACTTTGATGATTTTCGGTAGAAAAGCAGTTACATTATCTCCACTAACCCTAAATCAGTTCCCAGTTCTTCTAGAACCTTTTCTGTTCTGCTATGCTAAACCCTACCCATCATGCAAGTTTGGACACAGCTATTCTTATTCCGTCAAGTCCATGTCAAAATTCTATCAGCCAAATCTTTGATAGTTTTTTATTGAACAATAACTACTTCTAAATCAATTTGAAACTTGCTAGTAATTAAGCTCAACTTAGCAACTGTCTTAAGTAACAGAAAAGATTGAATCTCTGAAAAAAGATGATAATAAAAATGATTGTAATGTTGATCAATATCAGCTTGCTTGAATTAAAATAAAAGCTTAAATGAATATGTGATGTAAACAAATCACTTTAATGGAATATCATCAAAGCAAGTCTGAAAATTGGATGACATACTGATTTCAAAGATAAAAAAAATTAATACTAATATATTTCTTATTATATTGATACTCTTAACATTTATTATGATACTGGAGGATGTTATTTTAAAAATATAAACACGTGCGTATTGCGAAATGACGTGACATTTACACAATATGTAATATTATTATCGTATCACGTTATGTAGAAGGGATTATATTGTGTCTTTTATCGATCCAGAGACCGCTCGTAGGAAATTACGCCAACGACTTTGGTGAAGGTCTACAGGTCATAGATGATTGCGAAGACAGGAGTTGCGGATGGAATGGGGATTGCTGTCCAGGGCAAATATGTTTTATCAATACAGGTAAAGTGACTTTCAATCAATAATACCGATATTGATGATTACATATTGTCGTCATCACCATCATCATATTACTTATTGACCATAATTTGTTAAATGTAAATCTCACCAATTGATATTAGAATTTAATATCAATAAGTGGATGAAGAATAATGTAATTTTTTTTAGCTTTTAACTTAATCATATGATAAATATCATGATCATGATAAATTGATTATTCAAGTTATAAAAAATTTAAATTATTTATCATTTAACTTGACAGTAAGGTAAATCGATTTTTGTTCTTAAAATAAAATTCTTTCAACTAGAATTGTTTATCCACACTTTTAAACAAAGTAACTGAGTTAAATCAGTGAAATAAAAATATTCTTAGTCAATATAAATATTTTTCTATCGATTTATACAAAGATCATGAAAAATGCATGACCATAAGTGAACTCATTTTTTTTTTTTTTGAAACCATTATGGTACATAAGTATCACTATTGTAGGAACAAGAATAGAATAAGAAATCGAAGAATAATGTTTCTTTCACCATCTACGCAAATAAGTACTATACTAGGTCAACGAAAAAAACTTGGAGAAAAATTGGATCACGTAAAGACTACTATTCAACCATCAGTGCCAAACAATTCATCTAGATATATAATGCAAACTGTCTGAACTATCATTAGTTAACGTTTACATCAAAAATAGATGTTGACATATCAATCTTGTTGATGCTTTCAGAGACTGTAGGCACATGTCACTATGTAAGGGGTTTGAAACAGGGTGAACTATGTCACAGGGATAATGATTGTGAAACAGGCCTTGTCTGTGGTGATGTTGCTGGTGCTGATGCTCGATCATGTCAACCACCAATTACTTCTAATAAACAATACAGTATGTTCTAACTTGCCAATTATTTTATGTGACAATATAAATACATTATCATGCATAATATCAACAATATGTTGGATTAACAAAGCATCAGTTGGATTAATAATTTAAAAAAAAAACAATTTTTAAGGTGAAGAGTGTACTATCTCAAGCGAATGCGATATATCAAGGGGTCTATGCTGTCAAATTCAACGTCGTCATCGTCAAACTACGCGCAAGGTTTGCTCATACTTTAAAGATCCTTTAGTTTGCATTGGTCCAGTAGCTACTGATCAAATTAAAAATATTGTACAATACACTTCTGGAGAAAAACGAATTACTGGCCATAATAATCGTCTTCTCTACAAACGTGGTTTATATCTATAAATAATCAAACCATTAATACACAAATAATTATCTCTCCACCACATTATTTTGTTAAACGTATGAGTTATTAATTATTATGTTTGATGACTACTTATTTTAGAATTTTACTCTAGAATATTTAAAGCATTGTTTAAAAATAAAATATTTAAAATGTGTTGGAAGTAAAAGAATTTAGTTGTTTAGAATAGTTTCCATTCAACTAAATAGTTGAAGAGGAATGAAGAGAATATTATTTCAATGAATTTATGGTATACATAACTTCCATTTTCTCCTTCCTAATTATTGTGACTGAAAATAATTTTACAAAATACTAAAAAAAAACATATGAAATGGTACTTATTAGAGTGATAAGTGATGAAGATTAATTTTGAAATAATGATATATTGATAAAAATCCTCAAACTATAGCACAAATTAACAAAAATGAAACATTTGTTTGAACCAAAAATTAAAATAGTTTGATAAAACAGTCTTCAATTTTCATAAATAAGTCGAGCTGTGATTTTTTTGCATTACAGTAAATTATTATTCTTTTACTGTCATAAAAACTATTATTAAGCGATAATTAAAAAGAAATTTTTGTTGAAAAAAATTTAAGAGATCCATAATAATAAAAATTTTTCAATTCAAAAGTAAACTCTTTCTCTCTAGACTCATCATTTAGAGATAAATGTAATTTTACAAATATTTTGTGGAATCATATTAATAATAAGAGTAATTGAAAAGATGGTTTTTTAATAATAGTAAAACCAATAATTTATAATAATAATAATGGTTCTCCTAAATTTTTAACTACATGGAAAAATACATATCAAAAAATGCCTAATGCATGGAAAGACTCTAAGATAAAACTATTGATGTTAAAAAAAATCCTATTATAACAGATGTTTATTATAAAACTGATACTTCTTATTATCTTATAACTATTATTGTTATTACTATCATTACTAAATTAACTGTATCAGATAAGTGGTTAAATTAAAAAATTATATTTTTATCTTTGATTCATATATAAAAAGTCTATACACAATATACATTTGATGATGTAAGAGTATATAAGTATAAATATATATTTGCATAGTATTCATATACTTTTCTTGATAAAAGTAAAAATTATATAAGAAAATTCAAAAATACTGTAAGACATTAATTAAATGACTAATATGAAACAAAAACATATCATTGTTTATGAAAGTATAATATAATATTATTAATTAAGTGATAAATTATTGTGAATTTCTCCAATGTATTCCTTGGCCTAGACAACATTGACTTGTTTAAATAAAAATCTCATTTATGCGGTTAATTAAAAACTGATCTGAATGAATATTTTATTCTCAATAATTAATTTTTAAATTATGTTGAAAATAATTAAATTGTTAATACTTTTTTATTTAATGGCCATAAAATTATTAATTATGAAAATTAAGATATTTTTTGTATCCAAATAACAGAAATTTCAACATTCTAAAGTACTTGACGTTGAGAATAAAATAATTGAAATATTTATTGTTATTTTTAATATTATTAATAATAAAAACAATCGCAGGCTAATTTAATTTTAATCTCAAATGATAAAAAATTTTTTAACAATCCAAGTGTCTGGCCATTTAGGCTGCGAGTCGAAAGTACCTTCTAACAATCCATTTATTCTTTAATGATAGTATAATGAATTACCAATTATGTATGCATATCTACATGTAATTCCGATTTTATTGTTCAGAAGATGTATAGTTGATATACAGAATAAATTATTGTGCATACTGATAATCTCATTGATCCTTTAAATTTCTTATTAAACTCTATTTTAACATTTAATAATAATCATTAATTACGAAACATATATTTAATTTTACTTAAATAAAGTAATCAATACCTTACGTAGTGATAAAACAATTATAAATATATTTTTTTTAGACCTTAGATAATATCCTATGATAACTTGTCTGCATTTAAATATTTATTCAATGTTTTTTTATTATCGCTGACCAACATAAATAATTCTCATTAAATCATTAATATTAATGTTGAAACCATGCATATTTTTTTTCAATTGATTATTGGAACTCTTGATTAAAATTAAAACAAAAATCTAATATCATCTATCAATTTCAGTTATCAACTGTGAAAATATTCAGAACAATTTTTACAACCGTATTTATGTAAATAATAGTAAAGAATTAAATTTATTGATGAAAGTCAATAGCAAAAAGTAAGAATAAATAGAATAAAACAAGTTATTAGATTAGTTTTATTCGCGAAAAGTGTTTTAATTATTATTGTTTATAATTTACTTAACGTTTAAATTAAGTTAAGTTGGTGTTTTATTATAGCTTAGCTCTCAACTTTCAAGGAGTATCCATAACTTTAATTAATTTCATTCCGTGCAGGACTTGACAACTACTAGGTATCATTTTTTTTTTTTTTGATTTATACTTCCATTGTTTCATTTAATCATATTATCTATTTTTTTCATTATTTTTCATTAGATCAACTTAGTTATTATGTTTTTCCCTTTTAATAATATCAATTTTAGAAATTTTTTTCTAGTAATGAATCTTCATCATATAATAACAGTAACAAAAGAATTATATCAATTATTTCCAACATTTTTCTATCAAATTTCTGAAAAACGAATTAGGTCAAAGTTTAACTAGTCTGCACGGTGAAATTGAGTTGACAAATATTTATCTTTATATGATAGATAGTGGACTTTATGCAAAAGCACGATTCAAGTAAGTTTAGAACATCGAATAAATCGATTAACTCTTAGCATTCATACTTATATTGATGATTTAAAATATGCATTGAAGATTTAGAAAATGTTTTGCCATAGCAGAGTTCTAAATATATACCAAAGACGAAACATAATTGAAAAAATAACACTACCAACTAAATGAGCTGATTTAAATGAGTAGGGAAGGTAATTGAGCTACGTTATTTGTAATATAATATCAGTAATTACTCAATAATTTGATCATAACTTTTGGGTTATTACTTGCGGTAACTCTCTGCATGATCACAGATTTCGTTGATTCAAGATTAGATGTACTATAGATGAGCTAACATAAATTGTGGAATTAACAACTGAAACTTGAAGGAAAGTTTGACTATTTACACTTTTAGTACATCAGTTTGGTGGTATTTTCAGACAGAATTATATTCGATAAGATAGTTAATATTTAGGATTTAGATATTCTGATACTTAAATAATAACAAAAACCCCATTTTCGTCGAATAACTAAAAAAGAATTATAAAATAAAAATATTTTAATTGTAAATTTCAATTAAAACTTGTCTTAATATTATCAACTTTGTTTGGTGCTTGTAGTTTTTGAAGATAATAAAAGAGTGTAATAATGCAAAGTTTTGTGAATAAGTTTAAAGATGAAATGAAATGAAATTTTATCTCCATTAAAATAAAAATATGCATAATGGTTAGTAAAAAATATAATTATTTTCATGAATGAAATTGAAATAGTGAATTATTGTTAAAAAATGTCACGTGTTTATTTATAATGATTAATAAATGAATTCAAAGATTAATCTATCATATATATATAAGAATATCTTTATTATTATTGTTCATGTAGATACAAAAATATGATTGATCTTCCTAATATTTACAAAAGAGATAACTTTTTGTCAGGTAAAGTTAAATTATTTATAATTAAAATATTCAAATTTATTTTATGAAGATAAAATTTTCGTTTCACACCAGTTTTTATCGATATTATTATCGTTTATATTTATAAAAGTTTTATAGACACATGATATAAATATTGATAATTATTAATTATATTAATATGCTTTTGATAATATAATATATTAATTTATCATTAACAACCAAAACTCAATATTCGTCAGTCAAATAAAAAAATACAAAAATAAAATATAAACTCACCATTATAAATCGTCTAGAAAATCTAGACAAATCCGCTGAAAGCCTTCATATCCTTTAAATCCAATTTTTGCACCAGCAGTCCGACAAGCAAACGTGACAGCAGCATGCAAAACAGAATTATTTATGAAGTCAGTTTCACTGTACTCGAGGCTTTCAATATTGTAATTGTGCTCAATTCTTGTTTGTTTTTCAATCAGACTTTTTTGACTAGCTTCTACGATTTCATTGTCACCAACTATATTCTCATTTTTGTTCATTTCTCGATTTTCATCTGTTACCATATTTTTATTATTTTCATTATCCTGTTTTTTCTGATCAATTTTCTTTGAGTGATCACGTAATTTGACAAAATTAAGGCAGTGTAAAATAGCAGCAGTAAATGTATCACCAGCACCCAACGAATCAACGATTTGCGGTGGCGGAAATGCCGGTGATTGCACTATTGTTCCATTGGGAGTTCTCGCCATTGCTCCTCTGTCACCCCACGCACAAATTATTGTCGCTCTACAAACAGATAATTGAGGATAATTACTCATGCACGGATCATTTATGTATTGACAATGTTCCATTCTAATTACAAATTAATTACAGATTAGAAATTAAATGATTGAAATTAAAGTACAGCCGTTATATGAATTTCTAAATAATTAAAATAATATTAATTATGAAGTTAGTCTCTCAAATATTACTTAATAATAAACTTACCCAGACTTGACATCGCGTGCAATATTTCTGATGGTTTCACTCATGTTATTAAATCCTCGACTGCATGCAAAATCTTTGGAGATAAAAGCTACATCAGCATAGGGTAATAAATCTAATAGCTCCACATGAGTTTTCTCTAACTCTACACTAATTGTTATTGGAAGATGGTCTGGTTTAGTTAACTTTATTTTATCATTGTAATTTTCTATTACTTGCATCATTCCTAACACTCTTGGAATGTTTCTACCCTGTGAACAGCAAAACAATTGAAAGAAATTATAAATGAATAATTGAATTTTCTTTTTTTTAGTATTAAACAATTTAATTTACCTCGAAATGAACCCAACTGTAATCACTCAAGTTGAGTTTTTCAAAGTCTTCAACAGTGAGTTCAGGTAAGTTAGGGTTATAATGTAAAATTGTGCGAGATCCTGTTTGTAGGTTTAATATTACAGTTGATGTAGGAATATCTACACCTTCGATAACTGGACAATGAGAATAATCAATGCCATGTTTAATCATGTCATCTCTTATGAATTTCGAGTGATTTCCTGCGCCAAGTGTTCCTAAGAATTCTACTTGGGTACCTAATTTAGATAAAACTGTGCAATTATTTGAGGCATTGCCGCCTCTTTGCCATCTGTAATCTACACATCTAGAAAAAAAAATGTATCATATGACAAAAGAATTCATAATGATGAATATCAATTAAATCTTTCAATTATTTTGCAATTTACCTGGTGTCGGAATCTTCAATAGGAAAACTGTTACATGTTTGAATAATATCAAGACATGTAAGTCCAACACATAAAATTTTCTGTTGATTATTTTTTACAGGAGATGATCCAATTATTTTTTCATAAAAACTTGATATCATTGCTGAATAGTTTTTCATATATAATCCAAATGATAAAGAAAATCAGTGATATTTGTTTGAATGTTGACCTTTAATCCACTATAAATTCACCAAGTGCCAATGATAAAAAAAACTGATATAATATCCAAGTCACCGTGATAACTTTTTCTTTCTCTGGCTTATTATTTTTTTCAAGTTATTGATACAAAATGATATAGAGTGACGTATAAATGTGTTCAACTACATTAGTATACAAACGTTCAAAAGCATTTCCAAGTAGTGTTATTTGATACTATTAATTATCTCAGTCTATCTTATAAGTAACCTTTGGCAAATTGTCTTTGTGTTAAAGCAAGGAAATTGTTGATGAAATGAACTCATGTTGTTTAGTTTATTAGAAAACTGCCACTTCATTGTTTTTATCAAGATAATTTTGTTCTTTCAATACTATATAGAGTGCTATTTAGTAATAATTAATAGACTGACGATAGTGCATTCTATTCTGACGAAAACATTGACGCAAATTGACACGCAAATACACGTGATCAACGTTGCTTATATTTTGTAGCCATTTTGAACTTCATGAACAATGCGCAAGTGTATTGGTGAGGAATTTTACAACGACGCCATCTTGTAATTAATTTAGAAAGCTTTTCAGTCGATTTGAAATTGGGAAAAATAATAATTAATGTAATGAAATAAAACTATTGTTTTATCTTTATTACTTTTATATTTTTTTCAGTCGTTTCTAAATGCCTTATAATTTCATTGTTCTATTTTTCCAAAAAAACAAAAAAACTGTGTTCTGAATTTTGGCGGCAATTTAAATTTAAATTTAATCAATAAGAGACATCTGTTGGTAAGTGTTTAGATTATGGAGTTATCGATTGATGCTATAGTTGATATTGATGATATCTCTGGAAAGTAAACATGTCTAGAAACAAATTTGACGCTAACCTCAAAGACATGTAGATACTTATTTAAGCACCGCTGGTTGTTATCTATTTTTTAATAATTTTATTATTATATATAAATATAAATTAATAAAAATAGTTTAATAAATCTATTTTGTTGAATAATTTATTCAAGATATAATAATAATATCCGTTCAAATACTCGTGGTTTCTGTGAAAAAATAGAATGGATCCAAGATTACATCGACGAATGGAAGTTGATAATACTGAGGAGATGGTTATTATTTATTCCAATAAATATAATTAGAAGATAATTTAGATATTAATTTTTTATTTTATTTGATATTAGTTGTTTCCTCAAATGAATACAATAATTATTCATCTGTTAAAATCTTATTGTTATTAATAATTCCATAAATTCCAGATAAAAACATGGCTAAATGAAGTAAGCGGAAGTATGAGCCCACAAGTGAAAGTTCATAATTTATTAAAAATCCAAGAGTATCTAATAAATAAAGATCCTCATTTATTGGGGAATTTTTTGGACGATATTTTACTATTTTGTGCCGATTTGATGTCCGAAGTCAGAACAGTTATTGCTGCATTCATTGAAGAGGCTGGGTAATTGAATTTCTCTTTGTATGACGTTGAATATTATCAGTTTTATAATATTGATTAAAATTCTTACAGAGACAAGCAACCGGAAAAAATTCCTTCAATGCTCCAATCTCTTTCACGATTAGTATTAGATAATACTCCAGCAGTGGCAAAAAGAGCATTGAGAGCAAGTGGAAGAATATTAAGATCTGCTTTAAAATGGATCGTGAGTGCAGTAGTGGTGACTCCAGAAATGGAAGCTGCTTGGAATGAGCTGAGTTCACTGAAAGTTCAAATAGTCAATTTGATAGATAGTGACAATGATGGTATAAGAACGCAAGCAGTAAAATTTCTTGAAGGTGTTGTTCTTCTACAAACATATCCAGATACAAATGCCCCAAAAAAGCCTGAAGATTTTTCATTAGAAGATGTTCCGTTGACTTTAAAAATTGCACGAAGACGAAAACTCGAAGAAGAAGCTAATCATGTAATGGACTTACTAATAAAATTTCATGGCTCTCAACACATAAGCAGTCTAAATCTAATGACTTGTATGGGAAGTCTAGCGTTAATAGCGAAAATGCGTCCACAGTTTATGCCAAGAGTAATTCAAGTTCTCCAACGATTACAAGGTAATTTTCCGCCTACCTTATCTGGATCTCAAGAGGAGAGTGTTAAAAAACAATTAAAAATGACATGGCTAGGTTTAATGAAACATCCATCAAGTATTGAATTTGTATCAACAATAGCTAAACAACTTACACAGCTTGGTACGAAAGAGCAAGATATTATGAAAGCCTATCCAAAACAGGAGGACATCAGAAAAATGAAGAAACGTCAACAAGAAGCGGCAGCTGCTACAGCAGCTAAGAAAGCAAAACTAGAAACCATCATTCCAGAAGAAAGTGAACCTTCAAGTCCACTCCCTGTAATCCCCAAGCTTCCAGAGCTTATAGAATTATCAGAAAGTTTTATTGCTGAACGTTTAAGCGTAGAAATTGCTACAGATTTAGTTATGGATAGCATGACATGGGTCCCTGACACTATGACGTCGATATTTCAACGTGAGTATCAACCTAGTGTATCGGGAGATCTTAATGTTCAACGACAAGCAATAGCTAAATTGTTATCAGCACAAATAAAACAAGCAAAGGCCAAAGCAATTAAGAAAGATATCAAAGAAGAGGAAGCGGTAATGGAAGATTTGATTAAAAATCCTACGATTACAGTAGCTGAAGTTAAACGTGAAAGAAAGCGTGAAAAAGATCGAGAGAAGGAAAAAGAGGCAAAAGCAGTTATAGAGGCTCATGAAAAAACCCTTACTAAAAATAGGAATAGAGTAAAGGTATTGAAGTTAGCAGAAGTTACGAAACCTTTACCTCAGGAAGTAAAAGAAAAGATGCTTCTATTAGCTGTGAATAGAGTTTTGCAGGCAGAAAAAAGTGCTGTTTTCGGTGGAGTCTCTTCAGTAAGATCGAAAATTTTAACAACTCTTGCAGCAACGTTTACTCCTCATATAAAAGAAACTGTACTAAGATATATCACGGATGATATGAGATCTAGGTTGGATCTAGCATTAGGATGGTTGTATGAAGAGTATGCATTGTTTGTAGGATTTCAAAGACGAACTACTCTTGGAACTAAACCTCATGAAGCTCCTTTACAAGCTTACAATTTTCTTATTTGCACTTTAGTATCAGCTATTGATTTAATTCAAGGCAAAGATCGAGATATTTTAATGTCTAGACTTTATTTAGAAGCGCCATTGATTACTGAGGATGCAGTTGAAGCATTAAAAATGGTGTCTTGTGATGAATCGAGAGGTTTAGCTCCTTTGACATTACTCAAGGAAATGGTGGTAAGAAGACCACCAAAACAATTGAATTTTTTAAATGTTTTACTTTGTCATACCGGCCATGAAAAGTCTATAATTCGAGAGACAGCAATTAATCTTGTTGTAGAGTTGTACAGTCGACCAGAACTTAGTAAATTAATTGAGGAATATGCAATTTTGTATCTAGGTTTTTTGAGGTTGCCAAATCCTCCGGAAATTGTTTTTGGATCTGATCGAGGCAGACCACAAGTTGAAGATCAGTGGACAGAATCGACAACTAGAGCATGTCTGAGTCTTTACTTAGCATTATTGGAGAAGCATCAAGATCTTATTCATGAATTGGCGAGGATTTATACGTTTATGGGTGCTGATGTTAAGAGAATAGTTTTGAGATTGGTTGAAACTCCTGTCCGATCTCTTGGAATGGCTTCTCCTCAACTTTTGTCTCTTGTAGAAACGTGTCCAAAGGGTGCTGAAACTTTGGTAACAAGAATAATTCATATTTTAACTGAAAAATCAGCACCTAGTGCTGAGCTTGTGGCAAGAGTTCGTGAGCTTTATCAAACCAGAGTATCTGATGTAAGATTTTTGATCCCTGTTCTGAATGGGTTAACCAAGAAGGAAGTGGTTGCTGCTCTTCCAAAGTTAATCAAACTCAACCCTATTGTGGTGAAAGAAGTATTTAATAGGCTTTTGGGAACTAATGATAGCGGGATACCGCACACTTCTCCAGTCACTCCGGCAGAATTGTTAATAGCATTACATAATATTGACTCCAATAAAGCTGAGTTAAAAACCGTTATTAAAGCTACATCACTGTGTTTCGCTGAAAAACAGGTGTATACTCAGGAAACTTTAGCGGTGGTTATGCAACATCTGATGGAAATGAATCCATTACCAACTTTATTAATGCGAACCGTAATTCAAAGCCTTACTTTATATCCAAGGTTAAGTGGATTTGTAATGAATATCCTGCAAAGATTAATTCTCAAACAAGTTTGGAAGCAACCCAAAGTGTGGGAAGGATTCGTTAAGTGCTGTGAAAGAACTCAACCCCAAAGCTTTGCTGTAATTTTACAATTACCTCCTCAACAATTATCAAATGCATTGAAAATGTCGCCAGGACTCAAGGCACCTCTTCTTGCTCATATTGATACATTTGCAGAAAATCAGAAGGCACACATTTCATCATCAGTCATGGATGTTCTTCAAGGAAAACAACCAGTTGATATGCACGATGAGTTTGATATTGCTCCTCCTGGAGATTTTGTGGGTGAACAAAAAATTGAAACTATTGATACTGATCTCTCTGAACCTGCACCTCCTGGTTTAGAGTAGAGTGTATGGAAATAAGTATTCCTAATGTAAATTAACAATCTATGAAAATAAAGATAAAGTGGTTATTTAAAATTGTAAGAGTTTTTTAATGTTCATGTTAAAATAACCAAAAAAAGTAAATCACTTACCTGTAAGCTTACTAATTCAATAACATAACACATTATAAATTAGTTTAACATTATTTATATTATTTAACAATTTTTATTTTCTGTATATAATTTTTTTTTTGTGTCCAACAACATCGAAGTTGGCGCTTTTTTAGTAATTTGCTTAGAGCGCCCTCTTTAATAAAGAAATAGAATTATCCGTATAAACAATTCGCAGTATAAAATGACCAAATCCGTATTGTCTTGTTTACTAAAATAAAGTAGAAGTGAATAATTTTTTATATTATTTAAATAAATTAACATAAAGACTGAAAAAATGTATCGTTCAAGTGGTAGAATCCGTTCGCTATCAGTAGAGTTTATAGATTGTTCTGAGGACTTTGAAATCGGAACGCTTACGGTTGAAAGATATGTGAGTGATCCCCATGACGAAATTATTATCCTAAAAACAGACGATAAAACAAGGATTTTAATTGGATTTACTGAAAAACAACGAAGGGTTATTCAGTTTCAATTATGTGGTTGCCCTGAAGAACTTACAATAACTCTTTGGGATTTGATGGAACTTTTTGAAATTCGATGCGGACACCATTCTCTTATTGTAGCTTTGAAAAAATGTCCAAAAAATATTCTTTTTGCAATAGAGATGGAGAGAGGGATTTTATTTTGTTTAGAAAATTTAAAAAAAAGCAAATCAAAAAATAGTCTATATGAGATATTCGGTGTTTATGGTAAATCAACAGAAGAAGTAAAAGTTGAAAAGAAAGCTTCTGTGTTTGAAAATAAAATTAAAAATAGTATTGTTACAAATAAGAGAAGTTTTATAAAACAATTACAAGCTAGGAAGAAAAAAAAAACTAACAACACAAATGAATCAAATAAAATAACTGTTTTAACTAAAAATCAATCAAGTTCACAAAAAATAGCACAATTTGTTGTTGATGGAGTAGTGACGTATACATTTTATATGACTGATTATTGTTGTTTAGCACAAGGAGAATGGTTGAATGATCTTATTATAGATTGGTATTTAATGTATTTATATAGTAAAGTGATTTCTAATAGTGATCGGGAAAGAACGTTCATTTATAGTGCTCTCTTCTTCGCTGTTTTAAGAAAAGAAGCTTTTGAAACTAAATATTATCCGTATGGTGCCATTCAGCGGTTTACAAAAATACGACAGTTTACTGGAAAAGTCAACATTTTTGAAAAGGATTTTGTGATTATACCTGTAAATGAACAAGCGTCTCACTGGTATCTCATTGTCATTTGTTTCCTAGGACTTGTTGGTGATCATCAGGTAAGTACTGTTTTAATACATCATAGAGTAGTATTCAGCACAACATAATGTTTTTAGATCGATGATGCTTCTCAATCAATGAGTAGTTTAAGTTTATCAAACGATGATGATCATTCTGAGAAGAAATATCCCTGTATCTTAATATTTGACTCCTTAAAAAATTCGAAAAAAAAAGATGATATTTTTTTGTTGAGGGAATATTTAAGCTTTCAATATTCCGAACATTACAAAAAACGCAAATTTTTCTCAGAAAGTGTTCTTAGTTGTGACTATCCAAGTATTCCGACACAAACAAATTATTCAGACTGCGGAATATTTGTATTACAATATGTAGAAAGTTTTTTTAAGGTATGTAGTACTCAGTCTTCCGCATATAATTTTGGGATAATGTTTCATAAATACAATGGTGATATAAGGTTTTAATAATTAAGGTATAAATTATTGCAGAATCCTATCAAAAATTTCACTCTACCCATAAAGTCATTAAAAAAATGGTTTCCTCCTGAGGTAGTACGAGAAAAACGAGCTTATCTTGCTCACATATTGAGGAAAATGTCTAATGATACAATAGGACAGGTTACACCAATTAATTTCCCGGAATTACGGTTCAGTGATGATTTACTTAGTGATGATGACGAATAAAACTCTAATATTAATAATGAGTTTGTATAAAATTTTACATAATGTTTCTCGTTTTTTATACTATTTTAAACAAAAAATGCAACTGTTATAAAAATATCCAGACAACTTTGTTATATTTTTTTTTACTTATCAGTCTTAGGTTTAATACATGAGTATTAGGTACTTAATAAGGTAACGTTATTAAAGAAATAATAAAAAGCTTTTTGAGAACATGAAGTTGGAAATTTTTTTTTTTTTCATTTAAAGTTGATTTATCCAAAGTTAACTCCAGCATCCAATAGATCTTGAAGCATAAATGAAGCTTTCTTAGGTAATATTCTAGAAATAAATACATAAATAATATGAGTTTGGAATATTTTTTTTAAAAATGGCCATTTTTTATTTTATTCTTATCATTTACAATACCTGAGTAAATGGCCGAGATACAATAAATATCCAGGGACACTGAACTCAGTGTAATTCCTTCTAACACCGTCCAAAATCCTTCTAGCAGCTTCTGAAGCTGGCATCGTCCCAAAATAACTGGGTATTCTTTTATATAACAGAAAAATAATGATTATTACAAAAAACATAAAATGTCTAGAACATTGGTTCTCAAATAGATAATCAAACAATGAATAATTGAATTATGATACCTCAATCTTATATCCTTGGCTACGTCTGCATCAAGGATGAAAGGATAAAAGTGTACTAATGTTATGACAACATTACTATTTGATTGCCTTAATTCTGCATGAAGTGATTCAGCGAATCCTTGAAGTGCAAATTGTGCCGTTGAAAAAGGCACTCGTCCTCCACGACTTATTCCCCCTGAAAATCCAGCTACTGATGATAAAACTACAATATGCCCTCGTCCTGTTTTCTGCATTCCCGGTAAAATGGATTCTAATAACTTTATTCATAGGATTATTATTCGAGTTATTCAATATACGTATTGTTTTGTTTTTTTGTGAATGAGTGAATTTTTGTAGTAGAAAAAAGAATAATTTATCTATAGTCTTTAGAAAAAAAAATTAGAGATTATTGTTCGTACCCAAAAGTGACTGATTACTGATATTTCCAAGGCTTCTTTAATCCCAGGTGGATCCTCTATCAACGCTCTTGGGCTGGGAACTCCACAGCAGTGTAATACCATTGTTACATTTCCTAAATCATGTCGTATTGCTTCAACAGTCGTTGCTACCTAAGTTTTCAATAAAGGAAAAAATAGGCTATTTTAATTTGTCTTTCATTGGCTTTAATTAATAGAAATACTTTTATAATATATTTTAATCTTTTTCGACAAAAAAGAACTTTTCATGTTCATAAATATTTAATTTGTGTTATTGATAGTGTGATGTTTTGTTGTACTAATATTAATCATTTTTCAATATTGATGATCAATATGTTATTATGAGTTATTTGTTTTTCTTGGACGATATTTTCTTACTTGTTTCCGATTAGAGACATCACAAATATAAGGTCTTGCTATAGCCATTTCTCGGGAAGCTTGTTGAACAGTAGCTCTACACATTTTTTCATTCTTATCTACACAAGCGACAATCGCCCCTAGCTGACATAATTGGAGAGCTATTTCTTTCCCTACTCCACGTCCAGCACCAATTACCTTTAATAAAAAATATAATCATTTGATTACTCTGGAGAGACTTGTGTTTCTAGTTAATGTTAAATAATTTAATTGTTAAAAATAATTTTTTTCATTACCATTATTACTTCATTCTGAAGACTTTTCATTGGTAGAGGTTTTAATGTTCTATAGAATGCCAATATTATTGAAAAACAAATACCAAAAATCAGTGCTATTACATCTAGAGTTAGAACTAGCATAGAGTATATTTTCAATAACATTTTACTGACCCAGGGATGACTAGAATACCTGAAAAAAATTGTCAATTAATTTTTTGCAATAAAAATAAATTAATTAACATTTGCAGTTTATTAAAATAAGTCTGAAAGATCAGAATGTAGTAAATTTTTTTGCAAGTATCAAATTATAGGTTATAATGTGCGAATATTCTAGGCTAAATATAGATGCTAATTGCAATGATAACGAGATCTTATCATCCTAATTGATCATTTCAATAAGACTATCAATAAAACAATTGCAAAAAATAGTAAATAGTAAAGAGCAATATTTTACCTTGTTATTTATCAAATATATTTTGCAAAAAATTTGTCCAAAAAATACTTCATCGAGGAATATTCAATTCCCTCCAAATTTAAACAAATGGAAAAATTATTATTCAGACTTTGAGTGATCTTTGATCGACATGTTCTAGATAAGAGTTATCAAATAATGATATCATCCGATGTAGGGGTTTATATAACCCGTTGAAGTGATCAAGTCGGTATATTTCCGACACCAGATACCAAAAATTCTGATGTTCAAAAGAAAGAAAGGATTATTCTGTGAGGAGTTTGATATAAAATAGAATAGATAACAGGAAATCATTAAAACAATTATGAATTAATCATTTTAATAATACACTCTAATAATTAACCAATTTTACCACAATCTTGAGGTATTGAACTGTCTATTAATTAGTCTTTAATGTCATCAATCGACATTAATAGACAATGAATTGATTTTGTAATTGATTACAAATCTATTTTATCAAAATTATCTGAAACAAGTGAAAATATTTATAAATTTTCGTATAATCTTTATCAGTATATCATTCTAAAGTCGTTATAATAATATTCAAGTAATTAAAGAGCATAAATTTCACGAAATTCAACTTCATATCCAAACATATGGTAATATGTTTAGCGACTAACCTGAATCTTTTGATGTCACAGAGATAAATAACGTAGTAATTTGCAATTAAGTTTCATCTGCAGCTTTGATTGTTTAATATTTACAGAAGATAATACTGATAGTATGTAAATTTGACATTCAGTAATGTTTACTTAACAATAATCACGATAATTATATCAATAAGTAAATTGAATAAAGGATACAAATTTGTAAATGAAAAGGGAAATATAATAACCTACAATACAGATTTCTAACAAATAAATTTACTAATCCTTTTAAGTAGTAGATAATGTACTAATTTGCATAAACGTAGAAGATAATTGGCCAAATGACAGTCAAGTCGATTCTGCAGGAATTTGTAAACCCCTTCTTGAAACTTGTCTACATACCAGAACATATTAGCCTTTGATCTTCTCTTGAAATCAACCTACAATGTGTATCCTCTATATGCACTATGTGAACATTAATTATTAATTTAGTGTAAGTGCATCTTCCTAGCAGTCTACAAACTTTGATTGAGATCTTAAGCATTTGTTTAATAATGTTTTCTGATGTTCTTCAAAATAAAAATATCAAAACCAATCGAAGCAAGTTTTTAAATCCATTTTTGGTATTAAGTGAATTATTCAATTACTTCTTGGTCATGTGAATGAATATTTTCATTTTTTTATTCATCCATTGATACTATAATACTTACTCTTATCTGAAGAGGAAATAAATTTCATGGTTGGTGAGTTGTTGAATTTTTTTTCTGATCATCTAGATCTCCAAGACTTTTTTCTCCATTTGTTTTAGAGGTCATTGATGATTCTTCAGCAAGTGAATGTGCTGGTCAATCGTGATGCTTGTTTCTCCAAGAATAAAGCTTAACTGTTGCATTTTTTGCTAACAAATGTACAATGTTCAGCACCTGAAACTCTACTGAAAGAAGAAATCCAGTAGACTTTAATTTAATTATTATCTGGATAAATCTTTGGATTGTTTGTTTGATATACAGAATGATAAATATATTACTTGTTTATCTAAAGAAATACTGATGTGCATGAAGAGGAAAGATGTATCTCTCGAGAGTACAGGTAGTAAGTAATTTTAAAAATATTTAATAGTAATTTGGTTTTAAAGGTAGCTAACTTTTTTTCAATTGTTAATACCAAAAGTCCAGCTATTTTCATAGCTTTTAATACTTTCATCTTTAAAAAATGCTCTGAAAAAATATGGAATAAAAAATATTGCTTTATAAACCTATCCTGCTGAAGAAATTTAATATAAAACTGATAAATATTCATTTTTTTTTAGATAAAATCAAATCCGTTAAAAAATTTCAAACATCGTTTAAAGTTCAGACACTATAAAAACTATCAATATCGGTTGGAGTGGTCGAAATAAATGTGACAGTAAAGACCATACGTATTATTATTATCGTATGAGAAAGATTAAAACATGAAAGCAAAGAAGAGGGAGTATAAGTTAGGAGGAAGAAGAAGAAGTGGATGAAGAGAAACTCTGTAACTTGATGTCACTGCTGTCAGTCTTTTTCCTTATGTCTCGGTTGCTTCAATTTCCTCATCTCTTTTACCCCCTCTTTCCGGGTTTTCTCATCAAACCTCGACTTGTCACCTGTTATCCAAACTATTCCCGCCATTCTCATTATTATCGTAGCTGCAACCAGCTGTTATCCATTTTTCTTCTCCATACTCCAACCAACTCACAGTAACTCTAAGTAAAGCGAATCTCTTGGCTGCCTTCTCCTCCTCTCTTGCCTCACCACTTGAAGCTCCTTCACTCTTTGGATCGGCCTTCACTCGGTCGAAGGCGAAGAAGGCCGCCAGAGTTCCGGCGGAAGCGCCTACTCGTGTTCCAAAAAAGACTTTTTTGCTACCAAACACAAAATCATTTTTATTTGGGTTGAAATTTATTTACAATTATTCAGTCAATTAGACTTGGATATTGAACTGGAAAAAAATATTTTTGAATTAAAATAAAACTTTTTATTGGGGGGATAAATAGTTAGAAGGGAGAGGGAGAGAGAGTGTTGGTGAGTTGTCAAAAGTTTTCTCTAGTCTCTCACTTTCTCTCTCGGTCTCTTAACCAAGACCTAGAGGGATTATCAACGGCCTGTCTTGTGTTCACAAGTTCTCTTAAAGATTATCACGTAAAAGGATCGTCGATCCTTGTTCCCTTGAAACGTCCAAAGTGCCACGAAACTTGTTCTAATATCTTCTCCAGTGACATCAAGACTTTTTGACTTCAATTAACTCTTCAGATACTCGATTAATGGTTCAATGGTGCTAGTGAATACGAATTTGTGTCTAGAAAATTGCGTCTGTTTTTTAGTTAATTCTTTTTCCTCTCTTTGAGAGAAATAAAAGAAAAAAAAATAGTGAGGATTATTTTTATCTTCCATGTAAAGATGTTTGATGTCTTAAAGTTTTGTAACATTAACGTGCTGTGAATCTAACACGTTCAGACGTTGGTAAGAAAAGTTTTACGAGTGATCAAGGTGGTTTAAGTTATATAGAAAAAGGATATACCCTCAGGCATTTTCCTTGAGCTTAATTTGAAGCTCTCAACTCTTCCGTTCTTTCAAAGTGTACAGGTAGGATGAAGACATTAAAAATTCCGCCTGTTAACAAATTGATGAGATATTTTGAGTGAATTAAAAATCTTTTAGTTTAAAAAAATCTCTTATTGTCATTTTTTCTTTAATCTAATTTAAATATCATTATTATCATTTTCTTAATATTATTAAAAATATAAAATTAAACAAACTGTTTATTCAAATATATATTTATTTTTTTATTATAAATGATAGTATCAGAGGTCAGTTATGTATCGAGAAAAAAATCAGGTGTATCAAATTAAAAATTATTTAAATTAATTGACAATGTTGTTGATTATGTGTCAAATATTAATTAAAATGAAAGAATATTTATTTAGTTAATATATTAAAAATAAAATTATTACATCAGTGTCAATATTTAGATAATTATTTGAATAATTACTGGTTTGTAATTGGTCATCTGAATGAAATAAATTCATATCATGATGTACTTGACATTAATATTTCTTTCTCAATGCAAGATCACTGTTCTAAATATACATTTCATTTATAAAATTATAACAAAAAGATTTATTTTTATTTTATCATTATTTATCATTGATAAGTGGTAATAAATTAATTTTTTTTTTTTTTATTTTAATCTAAATCATTTGTGATAGTTTTTCCTCATTACATGATGTAATTTATATTTACTGAGAAATAAAAAATTAAAATAAGGGAAACTGGGAGTTAATTCCCTGAGGACATAAAGTCTACATAAAAAAATATAAAAATTAATAAAATAAAATTATTAATATTCCACTTAAATATAATTGATCAATAATAAAAAGAAGTAACTAGGAATGGAATAATTAATTTTTTTATGAATTAATAAAATATTTATTCTAAGAAGTAGCTATATTAATTCACTTATTTTTATTTTAAACTAATAAATATGTTATTAATAAATAATTCAATCGAATTGAAAAAGAATGAAACATTGTTAGAAATATTTTTTACAATTGGTATGATAGACAAAAATAAATAGTTAATATTAAATATAAATTTTCAAGACTTTGAAACCATTGAAGGATTGAATGACAGCCACTAGGAATATCTAGTATCTAAAGGAATGGAGCATAAAGGATTGACGAGTAAGAATTGACGTGATAACGTGACAAACGAAGACAGAATGTTTTAGCAATGAGTGATTTCGCAACGTCAATAAATTCTGTCACTGACTTTGATCTTTAGAATTTTATCTTTCATTTCTCTATAAAGACTCGTAGTGATTTGATTTTTTATTGCACTCTGTAGACCTCCTCAGCTGTTTTGAAGTAGTAAAATGTTCTATATTATTAATGATTATCCGTGAAATGGAATTATTACTGTGTAGCGAATGAAATAAAAATGCATAAGCAATTTTCAAGCAATTTCTTGAGTGATTGAATATATATTTTTATATGAGTATAAAAAGCAGTAGGTCTACATCATCAAGATGTTAATAATTTATTTAAAGTGACATATTGAATAAAATTTATTTACATTTGGGCATATTTAAATAATATTTTATTTCAATGAATTAGCATTTGCCGACAATTAAAAGATTTGATAGTGGATTTAATTTGAGAATTATACATTTAATTGACGTCTTCTATCGATACCTTTTCTCCGTCGTACGAGGTCGAGTAAATATTCATTAGCGCTTCTTCCTTTTCTCTTCTCGTGCCCCCGTGTGCCTTTACTCCGCTAATTTGCATATCACAATCAACGTCATATCATTTGCAGTTCCTTCGAGCCTTCTCCTTTCTCGTTTAGGTCAAATACCCGAGCAAAAGAATCGATCGTCGTTTCATTTCATCGTCATTCCAACAGTCGGTGACTTTCCTTTAATCTTAGTCCATATTCCAACTTATTCAATATTAAATCCAACAAATCTATCTAATCTAACGATATCCATTGCTTTCATTATTCCAAATTTGTCTTCAATATTTCCTTTTTTTTGTCAATATCAGATTATTAATGCAGTTTTAATTTTCTTTTTTTACAGTTTAACGATTCACTTGGAAATATTTTTAATTGGTTTAAGTTTCATTAAATTATTTAATAATGAATTTTATTGGGAAAAGATTTTTATTTTAAATATTTTTTTTCATTTTATTGTTATGTCTTGATGTACAATTAATTTATTTTATTACAATTAATTCGTATTTTAAGATAAATTTTTTGTTAATTTAAAGAATATTACAAAATAATTGTACACAAGGAATTATTTAATAATGAAAGAATAATTATTGAAAAAAAATTTAATATTCGAAAATAATTATTAATTATTTTTGAAAATTAATAAAAGCAGATGAATATAACATTATTTTATTTCAGTTTACTCAGATTTTTCTTAATAATAAAATATTGTGAATAATTGAAAAAAGAAATTTTCTTTTGCATTTTAATTTTATGGTAATTAATTTCAAAAAATTTAATTACCACAATTTTAACGGAATTTTCATTTTAATTTTATCGTAATTAACTTAAAAAAATTGAATTTTAGATAATGAGTACGAAAAAATATAAGTAGTGCTTTTATATTTATTTAATAAAGTAATTGAATTCTTACGGTTGTCATACCAAGAGAAATATGTAAATAAAATAGCTGTCGTAATTGATAAATATTAGAGTGAGAGAATATTTTTTAAATATTATTTTCAAGATCTGTTTTATCAGTGACACTTGATAATTAAACATTTAAAATGATTGATCATTCAGTATAAATAGAATTAATTTTTCTACAGCAAAAAAATAAAAAATGTTATGCAATTATTTACACTAGATCATGGCCAGAAAATATTTGCATGAATTATCAATTTATATGAACTCATTTAAATAATTGTTTAATGAATGAATGAGTACAAATATTGATTGTCCCTTTTTTCTAAAAATGAATTTATTGATCGACAGATTTTTACATCTAAAAAAAATCTCGGTACTACTGTGCCCGTGAAGGTAGATCGATTGAGTGATTAATCAAAGCGAGGGTCGCGCTCAATTAGCCAGCATCGAGCACCTTCGACAAGCGTACCTCCAATTAATTTATTGCACTCGTATTGCACTTGTATTTTTTTTTTCCTTTCATTTTGTACCTTTTTACCTCTTTTTTATAACACTGCTGTACACTGGGTGCCAACTCAAGCACAATAATTAGCACGATAGTTAAATTCTTCAATGTTTAAAAGAGGGCTGCTGCGAATGTGAGAGTTTACACATTCATTTTCATCTTCAGTAATAATTCCATTCTCTTTCTTCACGCTTACCTTAACGATTATTATTACCCATTTGTCACTTTAAATTATTATTTCCTCTATAAAAACATCCCGATGCATCTGCGATATATCTTATGAATAAAACTTCATCAATGTTAATCATTAATAGACATCATTTTTTGTTGGTTATTTGTCAATGTACATTGAGAAAAAAATTTACTTAGGAAGAAGAAATATTTTTTTCAATTAATAAAATCAAAATTTTGAATAGTTGCAATGGAATATTTTTTCGAAATTAATATAGTAAGGTAAAGTGTCCTATTGCCGACCTAGTGCCTAAAGCCGACCATTAAATTTATTCGTGAATATCTAATTAAAAAAGGTCTATAGATATATTTTGCTATATAAAATACGTATAATAATTATATAATTATAATTTCCTGCCCTAAAAATCCTGATAATTATTTTTTTTATATTTAAAAAAAAATACTCAAGTTGTCAAAAGCCAGTTTCTGCAGATTCGATCGTCGAAATTCTTAAAATGGACCTCCAAAAGAAAATGCGATAATTTCATATATAATTTATTAATACCTGATGTTATGAATATTTTGGGTTCATTTATTATTAAGTCACTGAGGAAGAATTTACTATTCGAAACTGATAATTTTTTTAGTTGAAAATTAATAAAATAATGTGGTTGGCAGTAGGCTTCATTAAAATCATGATTTTTCCTTGGAACGACCAATGGTCATATTATTACTTAATATTTTTATAGATCCAATTCTGATGGTTACTTTAAGTAATTTCATTTATTTTAATTAATTAATTTATTTAAAAATACATTTTGATTCTGCTCGATTATTTTAAAATAAATAAATAACTATTTTAAAATAAAATTATTTGATTATTGGTTTATTTTACACTAAAAAAATAAATTTTTAATATCAAGTAAATATGTAATTGTTGTAAGATCAAATAAATAATCACTTATGCTGAGTAAATAATTAATTGAAATAAATATTTAACAATCTATTTAATAAATTATTTATTTAGTATTAGAAACTATTTACTTGATCCTACAATTGATTTTTACAGTGTAATGAGTGACTCTTTTCTTATTGATTGGAAAATTCAAATTATCATCCAATTATTATCCTAATTAATCTAATGTCACTCATCTTTAAATTTCATATAATTTATATGTTTATAAAAAAGCATATTTAACGAGTAAATTAGCAGGTGAATTTGTCTTAATAATGCCGCATTAAATTTCAAAGAAGATAATATTTAGATAATCGACTAGAGTACAGGGTAATTTTTTTGATTACTTTTCATTCCTGAAGAGATGATATTTTTGTTCAGACTAATTTCTAAATTTAATCAGAGATAATTAAAAATGAAATGCTGTTTTTGGCGACAATTAGTGTGGAGTTTGAATAAAGGACATTATTAAAAAAGAAATATTATTAATAAAAAAAAATAAAACCAAACGTATATTTCATCGTGATCAAAATAAGAAGAGAGATGACGCAAAATGCTTGTAAGCATATCCTATTACTGAGCCTCGTTTCAACTGTATTACAATACAATGGCGTGAGGAGTCCTTTGTATACGTTAACCTTGTGTATTTAAAAAATATCCTGTAGCTACTAGTAACGGTATTATGTGATAAAAGAAATTAAATATCCTGCACATAGTAAATAGTTTAATTACTTTCTCAGAAATAAAAATATTTTCATTCTTATTCTATATTTTTGTCACTAGAATTTTATTCATTATATAAATAAAATTAAAAAAAAACTTGAATTAATTAAATTTAAATTATTAAAATAAAAATATATAAATTCATTAGCTGATAATAATTTATCATAAAATAATTATT